ACCTTAAGACTCTCAGTAGCACTGTTTAACAAAAAGATAATGGGAATCATACCTTAAAGATCCTTAGTAGGCCTTTTCTCTATGTAAAAGGTTGTGTGAGGAGCAACCTCCTTAGATCTTTTGACGTCTTCAAGGATTTTTGTTTTTTAAGATTTTATTTATTTTTTAGAGAGAGGGGAAAGGAGGGAGAAAGAGAGAAACATCAGTGTGCAAGAGAAACATCACTCCATTGCCTCTCGCATGCCCCCAACTGGGGACCTGGTCCCGGCCTGGAACTCAGGGATGTGCTTTGACTGGGAATCGAACCTGCTACCTTTTGTTTTGTGGCACAATGTTCAACCCACTGAGCCATACCAGTTAAAGCAGTCTTAGAGGACCTTTGCTGACTGAAGAGGCTGAGAATTAGAAACAGTTTTCCTTTACAGATGCTTTATAAAATATCAAGGAACCAAGTCCTGGCTCCTTTACATTTCTTTTAAATTATGTTTGTTTTGCAGCTGATTTTCACTCTTTTCATACTCTGCCAAAAGAAACCAGTTGGCATTTTTGTTGAACATTCTGCTTGGAACTCTGTTTACCTAAATCCATCAGTTCATTAAGTATCTATTATGTAACTGTATCTAATTTTCTGTTTTGTGTGTCTCACCATAGGTGACAATTTTGGTCACCTCTTGCCACTACATAACAAGGATCCTTTCCCCCCAGGTTCCAAAAATATACTATTTTTCTCACCTTTATTAAGCCCTCGCCAATACTCTGCATGAAGACCATCAGGCTTCTGCTAACAGTTTTTTTAAGATCCTTCCAGTTCCTCCCCGCTGTCCCTCCCTCCCCGCCTCCTGTCCTAAAGTCACTACTGCATACTTTTTATTTTGTTGCAGTAGTACCTCACTTCCAGGTACAGCTAAAAGCAACTATTTGGTTATAACTGTATCACCCCAAACTTAGTGGTATTAAATAACAGTATCATTTATTTTATGATAATAAATAACATTATATAGATAGAAATTATGTTTATATTATATATAAGTAATACAAATAAACCATTTATTATATAAATAAATATTTCATTCTAATTCTAAGGGTTTCTGGGCTTTGTTAGGAGGTTCTTGAGGTCTCATAAGATTGCAAGGTTCTAGAAAAAAATACAATATGTCACAATAAGTGAAAACAAAAAAATACCAAATTGAGTTTGGTGTTACGAGAATAACTGGATAAAAGTGTAAAAAGAATCAAGCATTTATCCTACTTTTCCTGTATGAATTGTACTATTGGGTAACTGAGTAACCGAATTGTAGATTGCGAGAAACATCTCTTTATAAAATATGTCAAATAATAAATAAAAATTAATGAATTAGAGGTCACTTTTTGCAACTTTTGGTAAATTAATGGATTTAGATATTTTGCATCAACACAGTAGGAAACATCACAAAAAGAGAGATAACCCAAATTGTGTGCCTCCTGATGAAAGAACACACCACCACCTAAAGCCACCACCTAAAGCTTTGCCAAAGAGAGTAAACCTGAGTCTGAGCAAGTGTCTGGATCCATCTGTAGTTTATAGGGACTACAGAGGACAGGAACATGTTAAATTAAATTGCACCTTGAACAAAATCCAGTCTGGAGAATTCTACAGGTCAAGCAACCCAAATTCTTCATCAAATTAATTATTGGAGGGAAAACATAAATTAAGAGAGACTTAGAAGACATCAGCTTTTTTTTTTTTTTTTTTTTTTTTTTTTTTTAATGTAGGCAAAGTTAAACTGGTGTCTAGAGACTCTTACTTGGGTGATAAAACCATGAAAAACTTAAATTTTTGACTTTTAAAGCTCTATTCAGGATATTAAATACTACAGAGAATATGAGGGTAGGCTAATGAATTGAAGATGTGTTATTTAATTGAAAGCATTTTGATAGCCCAGCTTTCAAAAATAAAAATACAGAAAGGCTCCTATGCTCATTGCAGCATTGTTTACAGTAGCCAAGATTTGGAAGCAGCCCAGGTGCCCATCAGTAGAGGGATAGATAAGAAAGCTGTGGTGCACTTACACAATGGAATACTACTCAGCAATGAAGAAGGAAACTTTACATTTTGTGACAGCATGGATAGACCTAGAGAATATTATGCTAAGTGAAATGTGCCAGTCAGAGAAAGAGAAGTATCATAAGATTTCAGTTACGTGTGGAATCTAATGAACAAAATAAGCTAACAAAATAGAAACAGACTCATAGATACAGAGAACAGACTGACAGCTGTTGGAGGGGAGGAGGTTTGCGTGAAAAAGGCGAAGGAGTTAAGCAAAGAAAAAAAACCTCATAGACAAGGACAAAAGTATGGTGATTACCAGAGGGAAAAGTGGAGGAGGGTAAAGGAATAAATGGTGATGGAAGGAGACTATATATTGTATTTTGGTGGTGAACACACAATACAATATACAGATGTATTATAGAATTGTGTACCTGAAACCTATATAATTTTATTAACCAATGTCACCCCCATAAATTCAATACGAATTTTTTCTAAAGATTCTGAAAAATTTTAAAAAAGAATAGCACTAAAAGAGAGGACTGTCCCTATCAGATTAAAATCTAATTCTAATATGCAGTGGTTACTACATTGTGATTTTAGTGTATAAATATGTAGGTAAGTGGAACAAAAAAAGGAACTTTAAATGCATCAAGGAATTTAATATATTTGAAAGGTCGCATTTCAAATCATTGGAAAAAAATGGATCACTCAGTCTGTGATTTAGGGGGAACTGAATAGACATCTGGAAAAAAAAAACTGAATCTGTAATACTTTACGCTAGGTTCAGAAGTTTAAATATTAAAAAATGAAACCATGGGAGTCGAAGAGACCATGGAAGAATTATTGTATAATCTGAGAGTGGCTTTCTAAGAATACGAGAAAACCCAGAAGGCAAGAAAGGAAAGATGGATGATTTTGATTATGTAAAAGTAATTTTTTGCATGGCAGAATCTACCACAAGCAAAGATAAGCAGGTCACAAACTGGATAAAAACATTTGCAATTAGCATACACATGGCTAGTTTCTCTTCATACATAAAGAACACTTATAGGAAAGAATATGAAAAAGATTAGTCTATTTAAAAGTAGTGTAAAGATACACTCTGGTCCTTCATATGAGGAAATAAGAAGGGATCATGGATATATGAACAGTCATAGTAAGGGAAATTGTGATTAAAATTACATTGAAAGTATGGTGGAAAGGCTGTGGGGAAACATTCTCATTATTCCTAGAGGGCAGTTTGGTTAATTTGGCAGTATTTATCAACATTGTGAATTTTACTTTAAGAATTGACCTGAAATGATGTGTGTTTCCCAGGCAGAGTTACTTATAACAAAAATTAAGACAAACCCCAATGCCCATCTAAAGAGAGCTGGTTAAATACATTAAGTAACATCCATACAGTGGAATACTGAATTTGTAAAATCCCCTGGGAAGATTTTCATGTACTGATAGAGAATGATCTGAAATACATATCTTGTTGAATGAACTTTTGTGCAGAACGGGATATATGTTATGGTATCATTTGTGTAAAGGGGTGTGTCAGGAATTCTCTGTCACAGAATATACCTGGGATATACATGAAACTGAAAGCATTGGCTGCCTATGGAGGGGGGGCTCTGAGAAGTTGGTGTCGTAATTATGAGGGAGTGTCCACTCTGTACGTAACTAAATTTTGAGTTTTGATTTTAAATTTACTTATAACTAGAAACTATAAATGTTCAGTCCCATCAAATATATTCTGTCAAAGGGAGGAAGAGGGTTAAGATAAAAGAAAATAGAAGATGGATAAAGACACGGTTTAAAAATAAATATTGATGTGAACAAGACATTCTCAAATTCTAGCTTTGAGCTCCACAGAATGGACTATTGACATGAGAAAATAGATGCAGTTCTGTTTAAAACTTCATATGACCTGCTTTACAGAGCAGTAGGAAAACACACTTTTCTGTTAAATGCAGTTCAAAAATGTTGAGAATTCTACACTTAAGTAATAATTGAAATACTTTAAAAATATTAATTATAGTTGCTTTACATGTTTTAAAATATTTATTTTGTTTTGTGTTTTTTTCCAAATTAATATGTTAATTTGATGTTTCTATTAGGCTTTGGCAAATAGAGTATAAATTACAACTATAATTCTAGAGTCATTTCATGTGCCCTCTAGTGAGGTGATATATTTTCTTCACACTTAAGATACTTCTAAAAGGAAGTTTGTTTACTTCTGATATTCCTTGGATGCAGCTTCATTAAGGTCCTAAAGAAAGCATTTTTCCCCCTTGACTTATTGCAGTTTGATTTTCTACCAGGTATAAAGAAAGATTTTATTTATGAATGCAATGAATTTGAAATTTGAGAGTGATAGCAATGAATGGTTTAAGTTTTTCAAAACTTTCCCCAAGCAGTACAACTTAGATGTGCATTTATTTGTTTTAAGGGATCCATAGGTATATTGTTAAGAAACATTTGAGTTATGTGCTTTATTATGATTAAAACAAATCACAGAGCATTGTCCTGATGATACTCACTTTTGTGTTAAGATAGATTAGCTATATGGAGATAAATATTTACTTGAGCCTTTAGAACAGTTAAAATAGTTTATACCATAAAAGTAAATTAATTTTACAAAGTAAAGATAGATATTTTATTTTTTTCTTGCCAATTAAAAAAGCATATGGCAAATTCCAATTATATCCAAGAACTAATTAGCATATGTAGTATTTAAAAGTGCTAATTAATTAGTCTGAATTTTTTTAATCTTAGCAGTTATTTTATATGAGCCTTGGTGTGCAGGAAACATCACTGTTTTTAAGGTCTGTAAATGTTTCATGGTAAATTAATTTCTGAAAGTAAAATAATTTTTGTTTAATGAAGACATAGATAATAAAAGTATTACTTCTAAATCCAACCTTAAAAGCTTTCCAGAACCCTTTAACTGTATAGGTTGTGATGTTTTCTTCTTCCTTTTTAGAACTGTCTCTGTGGGAAGTTTATCCTCCGTCCATTACGACCATGCCGTAGATACTCCACTGCAGGCAGTTCCGGGTATGTAGTGCGACTCTCTGCAAACAGGCTTTTGTGTGCTGAGGGGCATGTGTAAATTCTCCTTTGAATATGGGAATAGGTGCTTAAAACCTTTTTTGTAAAGGAGTACAAACACTGGAGCTTTATCATAATATCTTTGGAACATTGCTTATTTGTAGGTGAAGGTTTATGACACTCATTTTGGTTCTTTGGTAAATGGATGATGTTCAAGGTAGATGCCCCTGCCCCGGCCCCATAGTCTTATCTCCCATTCTGTGGCAAATAAATTTCTTTCCAGAACTCAACACATTGTAACTTAAAAAGTGTTTATTAGGTCTCTTTGACATTTGTGTTATTATTATTTTTTTAAGATTTTATTTATTTTTAGAGAGAGAGGAAGGGACGGAGAAAGGGAAAGAAACATCAATGTGTGGTTGCCTCTCACGCATCCTCTACTAGGGACCTGGCCTGCAACCCAGACATGTGCCCTGACTGGGAATCGAACTGAAAACTCTTAGGTTCGCAGACTGGCACTCAGTCCACTGACCACCAGCCAGGGCTATTATCTTACTTTTGTAAAGGGTTTATTTTACTGTATTTACAGAAATGTGTGAGTAAAGGAAGAAAGGCTTTGAAAGTTAGCGATATTTCTTTTTTGGGTTCAGAGGAAGTCTCATGATTGTGAACATCTTGAATTTTAAGTGTTAAAGGGTAGATTTCTTCATATGTACCTATCTTAGCTATTACTGTGTTTAATTTTTTTAAAATTATCCCTAAATAAGTGTCATTTTTCTATTATGGACATTTTTAAAACAAACCAGGGAAAGGTGATGTGCAGCTGTGCTAATAAACTTGAAGTAGAGGTTAGAGGTCTTTGAGTAGGTTTAGGAGAGCCAAGAAATATAAATGTGTTTCCTATTTCTTTCACTTAGGTTGTCTCCTGGCAAAATTGCTGGAGCTGGTCTTTTATTTGTTGGTGGAGGTATTGGTGGCACTATCCTGTATGCCAAATGGGATTCCCATTTCCGGGAAAGTGTAGAGAAAACCATACCTTACTCAGACAAACTCTTTGAAGTGGTTCTTGGTTCCCCACCTTATAATGTTCCATTGTCAAAGAAGCCGGTAAGCATTTCAAATATTATTTCAGTTTACTCTGTAAAAGTAGGTTGTTTCATCTTGAAAGTATCTTGCACGTATAATTCAATAGAACTTGCCAGATGGGTTTGTCAGTTTTTTAAAAACGTTGATCTGTAGTGTTAGATTTTTAACCCTTTGGAGTCCCATAAGAGCTCCCATTTAGTATACACCACATAGGAAATAATTGTGTGGCACATGAAGGTACATGGAAGAGCCAGTTCCCGCAGAGGTAACCCTGGCTGCCCAGTGGACTAGAGTCTGTGTCAGTCCGTACCATTGCAGCTGTCAAGCTCTGACTTAAACACTAAAAACATAAACATAAAATGGTTATGACAGAGAATCCAAATATTTTCATTGGTAATGGCTCCCTTTAGACCACAAAACAGTCTCAGAATTTTCAGCTACATACTGATTGGTTCTTCAGTACTGATTGGCATTGCTTGGACTTTGTACATATTCCTCAAAGTTTCATCCCTCCCCCTCTCCCCCCTGCCCTACCACTAGACTTTAAAAAAAAATCTTAAATGCATCTTTGTTCAAACAACTACTTGAAAAAAATTTATAAAAAGGCACATATTTTTGCTGATTTGGTATTGGGTGTTTTCTTATGCTCTGAAGCTGGATGTGGCTGAGATAAGTTCATGCTTAGAAACTGGGTGGACTTCTGTTCTCTAGTATTTAGTATGGTCTAGAGACAAATCCTGTTACAGAGTTAATGTTTAGAAAAGCAAGTGTCCTCTGACAACCCCTAGCCCCCAAACATGCTTTTTCAAAATGTCCTTGTTTAGTCTCATACATCGTTTGTTCTTCCATATGAACTTTCAAATGTCTGTGCTGCCTGAGGGAGGCAGTCTTGCAGCTCCAGTAGCCAAGGAGCAGAATCTTCGGGATTCATTCTAAAATCCTGGGTCCATTTTAAGCTACATGACCCAGGAGGAATACCTAGAAACAATTCTAGGAGCATGGAGTCAGGCTGAATAGTTCAGAGTAGTGTTCTTTTCTTACTTGATGTGACTTCCAAGTGTCATTTTTTTTGTAGGTGACTTGTTACTCTCTCTCAATAATAACTTTGGCCTCTTCTCAGTCCTTTAGCTACCCTCCTGAACATTTCCACTTGGGTAACTTGGCAGGTCCATACTGCACCGCCTCAAAACTTACACTCTTCCTGATTTGCTTTATACGTATTAAAGATAATACCATGCTCTCTGGTAGCTAGGTTAGAATCCTTGGATTCATCTCTATAGTTACCTATATTTTGTTAGCTATTCTATCTTGTTTAATCTCTGATATTTATTATTTTCTTTGCATTACCAGTATTCTTATCCCACTTTGGACCTTTTTCACTTCATAGCCATATTATCCTCCACATTGAACTAGTTCCTCTCCCCCTACATCGCCTTTCCTATCTGTCTTCTAGTCTCCACATCCTAACATAGGTCTCTCCTAACATAATCTAAACCAGCCTCATATCAATACCAGAGAGTCTTATAAGTGCTATCAGGTTTTCATTATATTTTCATGAGCCCATTTATCAGGAACTTTTCTACATCTCCTTTTTTTTTTTTTTTTTAAAGATCTTATTTATTCATTTTCAGAGAGAGGGGAAGGAAGGGAGAAAGAGTGGGAGAGAAACATTGATGTGCGAGAGAAACATTGATGTGTGAGAGAAACATCAATTGGGTTGCCTCTCAACTGCAGACCTGACCCTCAGCCCAGGCATGTGCCTGGACAGGGAACCAAACTGGTGACTTTTCTGCTTGCAGGCTGGTGCTCAGTCCACTGAGCCATACCAGCCAGGGCCATTTCCTGTTGTTTAAAAGGCAAGACCACACAATGTAAAAACTACAGAGACTTTAGAGATTTGTCTCATGTTCCTGAAAAACGAAAGTGAAGCCAGGAGTGATTAACTGTCAGCCTAGGAGCTGCCCATTGTCTCTTTTATTCTGTAGTCTGTGGTTTTCACTAGTTCTTAGGTTGACATTTGATATGCTTGGCAGTCTGGCTTTTATTTTCCTCTCCAGTCTTAACCACTGAATGGTCCTGCACATCAATTCTTAGCTTCATGCCAGTTTACCTTACAAATATGCCCATGCTTTCCATTCGTTCATTCATTCAACAAATGTATATCAGATGATTATTATGACTAGGCCCTGTTCCAAGTGCCTTGGTTAAAGCAGAGAACTAAACAAAGATCCCTTCCATTTGCATGACTTTCCCATGACGGTCTTTTACCTGGAATTACTTCCTTTCTTTGCCTGCTAATGTTCTCTTCAAGTCCTGCATCCTTCACTACCCAGATCAAAGTGAGTTTTCTCCCCTCTGAATTAAAATAGCAGTGAGTGTTTTCATTAAAAATTTTTTACCATTTATTTAGCATTCTGTACTGTTGTATATTGTTATCAAATTACTGCTTTCAGAAACTGCGTTATTTAATGGGAACCCTTTTAGTGCCAACATGTGTAAATGACATAGACAGTAAATACTGAGAGAAGATAATCTTAAAATCTTTCTAATGGACATGGAATAGGCCAGCCTAAATGGAGACAAATGCTGTGTGTTCTTGGATGGGACTTAATATGTTAAAAACGTCCTTTCTCTCAAATTTCTTTTCAATTTGTATATAGTTGAAAGAAATGACATATACATATATACATACCAAATAAGAATTCTAATAGCTTTTTCTAGACATTGATGAATTAGACAAGGTGATTTTAAAGTTCATATGGAAGGATTAATAATGTAGCCAAGAACATTTTGAAAAATGCTGGGGTGGGGAGGGGTCAGGTGACACTTGCTTTTCCAGATAATTACTTTGTTACAGTCTTCATTAATAAAGAGTAAGGTTTGACACAGAAATAGAAATTAAAGAGAGCAACTGAGTCTGGAAATAGGTCATATTTATACACAAACACATTTATTGTGGGAGTATGAGTTGCTAGAACCTTATGTGAAAGGGATCTGTTAATATCAGTTGAAGATATTCAATGCCTTTGACCCAGCAATTCCTCTTTAGACAAACTGTCTTACAGATACCACACTACAGTGCTTTTCCACTACAGTTATATGGATAAGGATGTTTAACAAAACAAAACAGGAAACAGCTTGAATGACCAAAAATAGGAGAATACTTGATCAAGTTATGGGTTTTGCAACTACATTAGGATATGCAGTTAAATTATGATATTATGCACAAGAAAGAATTTCTTGACTAGGAAGAAAATGTCCATGATATAGTGTTAAATGAGAAAAAGCAAGTTACCTGGTAATTTGTATAAATTACCCTATTTTAGTTTGTTTAATGAAATGAAAAATTGTATATGTGTATGTTCCTGAGCTTCTGCTGGGGTGGGGGCAGGGGAAGGGTATAGTTCAGGCTATTAACAGTAGCCGTCTGAGAGTGCTAGGAGGGAAAGGAGCAATAAAGAGGCGAATTGAAACCATTGCTATGTCTTGATATTATTTTGCTTGTTATAGTGAGCATGTATTTCATGATTTAAAAAATAATAATTTTTTTTTTTTATGTGCCTGCCACATAGTACATTCCAACATGTCAACCCAGGAACAGGCTATTTTTTTTTGTTGTTGTTTTTTGTTTTTGGAAGACTATTTATTTATTTATTTATTTATTTATTTTTAGACAGAGGGGAAGGGAGAAAGAGGTTCAGAAACATCAGTGTGTGGTTGCCTTTCACACGCTCTCTACTGGGGACCTGGCCTGAAACCCAGGCATGTGCCCTGGCTGGGAATTGAACCAGTGACCCTTTGGTTTGCAGGCCGGTGCTCAATCCTGGGAAAAAATAAAAAATAAAGATTTTATAAAAGAGAAAATGCATGTATGTTTAATTTCTAATGTGACAAAATTTTGGACCATTTCTGTTTTGTTTGAGTAGTCATTTTTGGGGTATCCGAGTTCCTCTGCCCGCCAAGTTCTGGCAAAAAGAGGGACAACATAGGTAAATGAAAATATTGCTATTACTCAGTAATTTTCTCCAGCTCATCATCTGGCAGTCCTGTTCATGAGCAGTGCCTTAAACTAAAGGCATGTGGTAACTGAGGAAGAGAAAAGGAGGCGTGACAGTTGGAGTATATAGTCTAGTATGTAGTTGCATGAATCCTGGAGATTAAAGATATGAAAAGCTAATTTTCATTTTTACTCAGAGCCTGTAAAAATCACTTGTTTCTAACTGAATGTATACAGGAGACACTGTAATTTGATTTAGGAAGCAAACAGAAATAGCCTTCTCAATATTGTATATGTAAAAAAGTGGTGTTTAAAGAGAAAGTCATACATTACGTATTTTATTAGTTACCCTAAGAGAAGCCTTTGTTACTACTAAAATATGGGCTAGTTCTTAGAAATGAAATTTTTGGAATGTATTCTTCTAATATGAAGGCTTCTCTTACTATGGTTAATAAAATATATTATGTTGTAAAGTGTTAACTTTATGTTAAAAACCTGAAAGACATGACTTTTGAAATAACATGTTACTGTATACTACCTTTTTAAATAAATGGTATTATATCCAAAATGTTAAATGTTTTTCATTTCTAAGATTCAGGCTGGTCCACTAAAAATCTCAAGTGTGTCAGAGGTAATGAAAGAATCTAAACAGCCTGCCTCACTGCTCCAAAAACAAAAGGGAGACACTCCAGCAACAACAGGTACCTATATTTAGAATCATTCTTTTAAAATTATAGGTAAATGAATTGTTTTAATGTATTTGTACCCATGGTTAAGAGGGTGGTCCTTCTACCTTGGGGAAGGATTATTCTCACTTACTTTGGCTCTCATTTTAGGAATTGAGAGGGATACGGGATTGGGCTTTGTAATGAACAGCTACTAAGTGAGGGTAGTAGCAAGGATTGTCCTGCCTGCAACAGACATTATTTTTTTCTATTGTTTTTTTCTCTGATTCTTTGCTCTTTCCCTTCTTTAGATTTTAAGATTTCATCTCTTTTTGTACCTGTTTTTTTCCTCTTCGGTAGTTGTCTTTCTCCTCTCTTCATTCTTAGTGATAAAAGTGTCTTATCCAGTATAGATCTGTAGGTTTTTTTTTTTTATTTCATGATGTATCAGTAATCCCATCCTAGTGTATAGCACTTAACCTCACTCTACTGTGTTCATTAATATATTTCAACTTAATGTTTCTCTTTAAAAAAAAAGACTTCTGTCCTTAATCAGTTGACTTCCATTCAGCAAATATTCACTACTAAGCATTCTCCTAGGTACTGGGGATATAGCAATGAACTAAGTAGTAAAAACTAACAAGCACAAACTCTGGGGATATTCCTTAGTGGCATGAGGGGAGGGAGATCATATATTAACTACATAAGGAAAATATATAGGATGTTAGTCAGTGATAAGTATGGGCGGGAATATTGCAGTTTTAATGGAGTAAGGTAAGTCTCACCTGGAAGGTTTCATTTGAGCTAAGGCTACAGAGGTGAGAGAGTGAGTCATAAAAGGTTGGCAGGGAAAGGCATCCTAGGCAGAGAGATTAGCTAATGTGACAATGTGGCATTTTCTAGCAAGGACCATATGAAACTGGAGTGGAACAAAAAGCCTACTGTGGCAGTCCTGGTGGGAATCATGAGTTTGCTTTATATTCTGAATGGGATGAGAAGTCTTTGGGAGGGTTCTGAGCCAGAAGATTGATATCTGACTTTTATTTTAATAAGGTCACTATTGTGGAGAATACATAAGGAACCAGCCGCAGAGCAGGTTTTGTGCTAATCCAGCTTTATCTCTTAAATGGGACTTTCAGGTTATTTTGCAAAAATTTTTCTCTATTTGTTGCTCTTTTTTTTATTCCATCTCTAGAACTACTTATTTTCTCTTCAACATGCTTTTATTTATAATTTATGAGCTCTTGAGTTTTTCAACCTTTCTTTGAACCTGTGAAATAATTTTAACTGAGTTCTGCTCTTCACTAACTCACTAACATCACTGTGAACTTTTTGGGTGTAAAACTGTCATCTTGTTCTTGCTCCTGCCTCTTGTTTCATCTCTATAACTATTAAATTTAAAAAGATTTTATGGTTAATTTCTTTTGTCTGCCATATTCATAACAGGCTCTTTTTTCCTTTGTCATTATTCCATGTTATGTAAATTTTATGTCCACTTCTCATATGTTAAGGTTTAGTACAACTGAGTACTTTTACTAGAAGGCTTGCCTGGGACTGATGATGGTTAAAATGCAGGTGGATGCTGACAAGACTCTTTTCTAGTGTTTCCTAGCTGTTGTCCATCTTATTACGTGAGTTTGTTATGTGGTGGACAGTTACCCTGTCCCTTTGTGTGTTTGAATAGTAACAGCACATGCATTTGTGTCTTTAAGGAGTCAGACATGAAGTGGGTGATAGTAGTAGTAGGTTCATGCATGTTTCTCTCTTAATCCAGGAAACTATAAATACCAGTAGTAACATATTAATAGCACCTACAGAGGCAGCTCAAATTATTTCTGCAGCAGGTGATACACTGTCGGTCCCAGCCGGTGCGGTTCAGCATGAGGAATCTATAAAAAGTGGTCACCCTCAAATTGGTGAACGAAAACCCAAGCCTGCAACCTCAGGTAGTTTATTTATATTTGTGGTTTTATAAATGATACGCTTACCAGAACTATTTAATGCCTAGACAACCCATAGACACTGTGTAAGTAACATTTATACTGATTTTAAGTCTGCAGACTTGCTTAGGTAATTTTTACAATTTCAAGGTCTGAATAAATCTTTGGAAACAAGGGGTTTAAGAACTGATCCCTTACTTCTTCATGTTGGAGTCATTAAGTGATGTTCTCAGTTGACGTAGCTGGCAAGTACAAATGATGGTATTTTTATATCACAGTGAGCTGTTGAAATTCTGTGCTGAAATTTGATTTCCTCTTTACTTTTGCTGCAAGAGGAAGCATCTTCAGCTTCTGTAAGGGAGCGACCACCCGAAGAAGTTGCAGCTCGCCTTGCACAACAGGAAAAGCAAGAACAAGTTAAGCTTGAGTGTATGTAAACCAGATGGCTTCTTAAGTACTTTGTGTCATCCCTGTTAGTTACTGCCTTCAACCATCAGCATAAGTTTCTCATGTATCAGCTAGTTGTGGTTTCTTTTGTTTCTTTAGTGGCATTGCTCTATTTACCAACTTTATCTCATCATTTGTGTTCTTTCTATCTAAACTTCTTCAGCCAGGTGACAAGGGCTATTCTTAGCGTACCAGTGAAAACTTCATGTGATCCATGTACTTTCTTCATTTGTTTTTATTATGGTTAGTGCTAAAGTTTGTTTATACTCTCGTGAACAGGAATTGTTTGCAATATACCTGAGTCTCTTTTTTTTCTTTTTTAAATTACAGTTGATATTCAAATTACATTTCCAAGTGTACAGCATAGTGGTTATAATTTATATAATTTTCTAAGTGGTCGCCCTAATAAATCTAGTACCGAGGAAACACTGTACATACTTGTTTCAAGATTATTGACTATATTCCTGATGCTGTACTTTACATCCCCATGCCTATTCTGTAACTACCAAGTTGTTCATCTTTTTTTTTTTTTAATTGATTTTAGAGAGAGAGAGTTGGGGGAGTGAAGAGAGAGAGATTGATTGATTGATTGATTGATTGGTTCTTCCATTTATTTATGCATCCATTGGTTGATTGTTGTATATGCCTGGACCTTGTATCAAATTGGCAACCTTGGTGTATTGGGATGATGCTCTAACCAACTGAGCTACCCAGTCAGGGCTCAATTTGTAGTTCTTAATCCCTTCACCTTTTTTAAGCAGTCTCTAACCCCGTCCCATCTGGCAAATATCAGTTTGTTGTAGTTTCTTTTGAGTCTGTTTGTTTATTTTTAAATTTTTTAAAGATTTCTCATTTATGTGGAATTATACTGTATTTGTCTATGTCTGACTTATTTCACTTAGCGTCATACCCTCTAGATCTAGCCATGCTATCACAGATGGTAAGATTTCATTGTTTTTTATGGTATTTAATGTTTGTATGGACACACACACACACACACACAACCCCCCCACCCCGCAGCATCTTCTTTATGCACTCATCTATTGATGGACATTTATGTTGCTTCTGTATCTTGGCTATTGTAAATAATGCTGCAGTAAACATAGAGATGCACATGTCTTTTTGAGTTAGTGTTTTGGATTTCTTCAGGTTATACTCAGAAGTGGAATTGCTGGGATTTTTAGGCCGAAGGGTAGGGAGGGAGAAAGAGAGGGAGAGATACATCAGTGTGTGGTTGTCTCTCATGCATCCCCTACTGGGGACTGGCCCACAACCTGGGCATGTGCCCTGACTAGGAATCAAACCAGTGACCCTTTGGTTCACAGGCCCGCACTCAAGCCACTGAGCCACACCAGCCAGGGCTATTTTCAATTTTTGGAAGAACATCCAAACTGCTTTCCACAGTTGCTTCATCAGTTTGTATTTCCACCAACAGTGCATGAGGGTTTCATTTACTCCACATCCTGACCAACACTTGTTGTTTGTTGATGTATTGATGGTAGCCATTCTGACAGTAGTGAGATGATATCTCATTGTAGTTTTAATTTTCATCTCTCTGATAATTAGTGATTCTGAGCATCTTCTCATATGTCTTATTGACCATCTGCATGTCCTCTTTGGAGAAATGTCTATTCAACTCTTCTGCCTCTTTTTTAATCTTTGTTTTTTTTGGTGTTAAATTGTATGGCCTTGTTAAACTCATAAATCTGTGCAGGTCAGAGTGGCTCACACTCTCGTTCACTAGCCAGCCTCTGGACTCTCATTGTAGTAGCCCTGTTATCTGACATTGGTGGAGGACGGTGGTTTCACACATTTCTGATTTCCAGCAAACTGAAAAATATTTCTTTTTATGTTTCAATTTTAAGTTTTCTGATACTCTGAAAAAAGATATTAGATGTGTAAAAATGTATTTTCCTGTCTTAAACAAGGCACATGGACCAAAGTTTATTGTACTGTGCTGCAGTATTTTGATGTCTCTGGAGGTAATGGGCATGTAGCTTTTTGCTGAACCAAGGAGATAATTTATTTTAAATTCTTTATAGTTTTGTTTTTTTTGTCTCTCCTTATCCCTATTTCTGTTCATCACTCTACCTGGAGTGGTTCCTGTTTCCCTCTTAATGCGCTGGATCTGCTCTACACTGAGGACGCAAATTTGTTAGAATTGTATAAAGAGTAGAAGGGACATAAGGAACATAGGTGTAGGATATTAATTTAGTTACTTGGATAATATTTTGTTTTTTTGGCTTTTTTTTTTTAGAATGTTCAATAAGTGACTACTATAAGTAAGTGAAATGGTTCTGTTTTTCCACTTTGTAATTTTTTCTGAATACTACAAATCAAGATCACTTTTTTATTTATATATATTTTAAACTTTTCACGTTTCTCCTTTTATCATATGGACACCTTGAAGTAAGTCATAAACTTAAGATGGCAATGTCTACTGTTTTATCATGTTCGTTTTTTGTCTAGTTTTTATTTTTCATTTTGGGCACAGTGAAAATTTTCAGGATTCTCTCTGTCACATTTTAGTTTTCTCCCAAATTTTAATTTAAAAATGTGTGAAAACTTTTACCAAGAATCAAGGTACAAAAAAATCAACAAGTTGGACTACATAAAACTAAAAAGAGTTCTGTACAACAAAAGAAACAGTCAATGAAATGAAAAGGCAGCCTATGGAATGAAAGCAAGTATTTGCACACCAGATATCTGATATGGGGTTTAATGTCTAAAATACATATGGAACTCATACAACTCAATTAAAAAAAAAAAAAGCATAGTGAGTAGAACTCTGAAGAGGGCCTCAAGCCAGCAGCCTGATCTGCTGGATCTGTGGGCCTCTGTGAAGTCATTTTTTGTTATTTTTTGCTTGACTGTCCTGTCGTTAAGTCATGCATGTTCATTCATAGCCTCTTTTTCTATGTTTTCGGTTACGCTTCAGTCTCACATTTGTGTCTTGGTATTTTCTTAGTATTAGCCTTCCTTTATCTGTGTTGCAGAGGTACGGTGTGTGGTTCAGGTTTCATTTGTCTTGTCACTTCTTTTGTTGAAAACCACCTTTTGTTTTAGTGTTGCATGCCAAATATATTTTCCTTCTTTTTTTTTTGGTCATCTGATAACTGATAAATGTATATTCTCACTGGCCTTTTTTCTTCAGATGACTGCTTTTCCATTTTAGTATTATATCTAAAATCATTCCTTGCTTTACTTAAAAAAAAAAAAAAAGTCTGTTTTGGATTCCAGAAGTAGCATATAGCAACGTGATCTTAAATACTGGTGTCTGCTATTTCTTGAGTTCTTTGTGGAAAAATACTGTCCATTCTCAAGCTATCTGTTCTCTTTCTCCTTTTTTTTTTTTTTTTTTTGGTTCACATGTTTTTTTTCTTGTCTCTTTCTTTCTCTTGTCGATGTGTTACCTTCCTATATCTGGATGATATAATTTACTGTGAGTATTCCTGTCTATCGAGATGAAAATGGGTACCTCCTTTTTCCTGTGGATCTTTATGATTGTTATTCATGATGAAAAATGCTAGTGGTTATGCTAAATTTATAGCCTATAATAGGTAAAAGGGGCAGTAGTGACTAAACCTTGTTCTTCCCATTTGAAATAAATGCTAGAGTTCTGTAAGAAATTTTTACCTTAATAAAAACCCAAAACACTTTTTATTTTTAAAAAATTTAGGTGTACATAAGAGTAAAAACAGTGTAACGAACCACACAGATTTCTCATTCAGATTCAATAATTACTAATATTTTATCATACTTTTAAATGAAACTTTGATTCTCTAAATCTGTATGTTTTCTGTTGCTTTCATAGTTTGGGGGAAATGCAGTGGAAAACTCAGTAGAAGAGTGAAAGTTTAAAACGAAGTCATTTGTGGGGGTGGGGATCTATTATTTTTTTAACTATTCCTTTTATTTTAGCTCTAGCCAAGAGCTTAGAAGATGCTCTGAGCCAAACTGCCCGCATCACTCAGCAGGCCACTGTAGCCCAGAATGCGGCAGTCCAGGCCATCAATGCCCACTCCAACGTACTGAAAGCAGCTATGGACAATTCGGAGGTGAGCCGAAGAATGATTAGACTTGTAGTATGTGAGAAACTGGTTTCTTATTCCTAGCGTGGGCTTTCTCTCAGTAAGCAAAAATAATCTAAAGTAATTGTCTTAAAAAACAGCAAGAAGAAGAAAAACTTTTGTGTTGTTTTAGATTAATTTTTATATGGTGGTTTGTTTTATATCACAACAGTGATACGGTACAAGAATTAATTCAGATTTACTTTCATATCTTTTTTTAAAAAATTATTTTAAAGTATTTTATTAATGACAATTTAAGTAAATCACGGGTTAATGCTGCTGGTGCGTTCCAACTGCTACCCCGGGGTGCTGGGGCTCAGATGGAGCGAGTCTGAGTAAGTCCATTCATGGGTTCTTTAAGGGGAACTGCTTGAGGCTTGAGCTATTTCCTCTTCTAACTCAGTCCCCACTGGTTTCGCAGCCAGAAGTTGTGGGGACTTATCTTCCTGGGACTGGAACCCTGGATTGTGGGGCTTGGTGTAGGGCTCGAACTCCTCACTCCCGAGATAGCCCTCCCAAATTTTTGTCCATCACACATCCAGCCTGTTCCACGCCTCCCACCCCTCGTACTAGTATGGATGGATGTGGTTTCTTTAATTATGTAGTTGTCAGATTTCCATTCAGCAGAGGTGAGCTGTTTCCCTATGCTGCCATCTTGACTGGAAGTCCACCAATTCCAGTATTTTGAGGTCTGATAGGTTAGGATCTACTGTGGATTAGTCTTTGATTTGGTGCCCATGGAAGTGGGTTTTGGGGTCTTTGGAGGATGGGGTTACAGTACAGGCTTCCCTTTGGGTATGAACTACGGGTACCCCCGTTCCCTCCTCTGCTGTGGCTGCAGGTTTGGAAAGCTGCTCTGGGTGGCCCACATATCCATGTTGGAGTCTCTGGCTCTCTGGCCTCTGGTCAATGGACAGCTTGGAGTCCTGTGTCTGTCTTGGTACCGGCAAGGCCGGGGATCTCCTCCTCACCTCCTGCACTCTCATGTTTTCTATGTTGATTATGGCCGCAGGCTTCTTTATTAAAGATGGTGTCCTTATTTTTGCCAACAGCTGAATCAGCTGGAATGCCATCAGGTCCTTCTCCAGGAGCCGACTTGGTCTCATGGAATTGTTAGCTAGTTGTCTCTTCTGTAGGATCTCAGTATAGATGTTCCCCATATTTTCATTATTGATGGCTGGGTATGCCCGGTTGACTCTAGATTCATCCAGGACAGGTGACTCATCCTTGAGAAACACCAGCCTGGGTGTCCTTCTGTTTTCCTTGACCTTGCTGCTTTCCTTGTCTTTTTTGCAGATCCCATTGTAGCCTCTGTTGGTTTCCCTGTTTCTGGAACATTTTTTGCAGGCAGCTGTGATATTGTAGGAAAATAAGTGTCCTCTGCAAAATGGCTCCTGGAGTCCAGGTCTTCATTTTCCAGGTTATAGGGAGCAACAGGCGACAAAGGTGCTCTCGGGTCCGCCAGTCACTCACCCAACTAACCCTTCTGGCCCATCGTCCAGCTGTTGGAGGTCTGGTCACAAGCAGAGCCTGCCTCACACTCCAGCATGCCTGCTCCTGTTGGTCACTGAGCAGCCCAGTCCTGCCGGGGGTGGTCTTGAGTGGCACCATGCTGCAGGTTGGGCCTGCGAGAGGCACCTGGGTCATGGATGGCATGCTGCTCCCCAGCAGCACTGATGTTCTTGATGGTGCCGGTGTAAATGGGGTTGGTCTGAGTGGTGACGGTGTAAATGGTGCTGGTCTGGGTGGTGAAGACCTGGCACTGGTTTTCAGGAGCCTGTATCTCCACTCCACTGACGCTCGAGGGTGTCTTCAGGAGGCCCTTAACCTACTATAAGGAGCTCTGGCCCCTCACAGCCCTGCTGCCCTGGGCCCCTGCTCTCCGCCACTGGCCTGAGTGGGCTCCCAGGAAAGCTCGACACTGAAGGATATCATCACATCTCTTCACTTTCTCCTCTCCAATCTCTTTCCCAGCTGGGAATGAGGAGCCTTGTATGTTTGCCTCTCCTTTACAGCCAGGGCTTCACTGTGACCCGGCTCCATTCTGATCTAGGGAGAGAGGACAGAGCCAGCCGAGCTCAAAAGTGAGCCTTGGCCACAGGGTGTGTGTTGGTGTTGGGGACATTTTTCTTGAAACAAAACATATTCTGAAGTTCCCTTGGTGGGTGTGGGGCTGTTACAGTCAGTTCTGGTAGCTGGGCCTTGAGTTGTGAGTTCACATGCAGCTGAAGGGAAGCCTAGGGGGTGCTGGAGTCCAACTCGCCGTGGGGCTTTACAATCTCAGCACTGGATCTTCGCTTTCTCGTGCTTGGACTCATTTTTGCTTCCTTTTCCCCTTCTCTAGTGACACAGTCAATGGCTTTCCATACTGCCCGGATGTTCTCTTCTCTGTATATATGTTTATTAGCATTCCTTTTTTTTCTTTTTTAAAATATATTTTATTGATTATGCTTTTACAGTTGTCCCAGTTTTCCCCCCTTAGCCCCCTCTGCACTGTACCCCCCATTCCCTAGGGCAGTACTTCCCTCAGTTCATGTCCACTGGTCGTGCATACAAGTTCTTTGGCCACTCGATTTCCTATACTGTTCTTAACATCCTCCTGTCTATTCTGTACCTACCAACTGGTATTTCTTAATTCCTGTCCCTTTTTTCACAGTATAGCCCTTACCCCTCCCAGCTGAGAATCCTCCAAATGATCTTCATAACTATGATTCTGTTTTTGTTCTACTTGTTTGCTTATTTTCTAGATTCAGTTGTTGATATTTGTAAATTTATTGCCAATTTAATGTTCATAGTTTTGATTTCTTTTTTTTCTTAAATAAGTCCCTTTAACATTTCATATGATAATGGCTTGGTGAGGAAGAACTCCTCCAGCTTTACCTTGTCTGGGAAGCACTTTATCAGCCCTTCAATTCTAAGTGATAGCTCTGCTGATTAGAGTAATCCAGGTTGTATGTCCTTGCTTTCATCACTTTGATTATTCTACTTTCATATCTTAATAGTGCTTGAATGTGTTTGTTGTTTGCTTTCTGTTTTTTTTGCTTTAAAATTGCCATTTTTAAAAAATAAACTTTTAAGATTTTATTTATTTTTAATATATTTATTTTTAAAGAGAAGGAAAGGCGGGGGAGAAAGAGAGGTAGAGAAACGTCAGTGTGCAAGAGAAAGGTTGCTTCTCGTAGACCCCCAACTGGGGATCTGGCCCACAACCCAGGCGTGTCCCTGACTAGGAATCGAATCAGTGACCTTTCGGTTCACAGGTCAATGCTCCATCCACTGAGCCATACCAGCCAGGGCATAAAAATAAACTTTGATTTTGAGACACTTTTAGATTAACATGTAGTTGCAAGAAGTAGTACAGGGAGATCCCATGTACCCTAAAATACCAGCTATTTTATGTGCTTATGCTGATTATTTAACTTACACTGAATACTTTTTCAAAGGATAAAGTAATTACATTGATTTAAAAATGTAATGCTGGAATTCAGTAAGTTTCCTTCATAATTACATTCAGTTATTTAGTATATACAAATATATCTTGATACCAAGTCATTTATATATTTTATTATTATTTTTTTAAGTCCTCACCTGAGCATAGCTTTAGAGAGCGGGAGAGAGAGACGGAAACAGCCGTGAGAAACATCACATGTGCCCTGACCAAGACCCAAACCCTCAGTGTGGTGTACGGAGTGACACTCTCCAACTGAGCTACCTGGCCAGGGTGACACCAAGTCATTTAAAGAATGAAATACATAAACTGTAAATCTCATGGATCAGGAGGATCATGCATGATCAGTAAAGTTACTTTTTCACTGTACCTATGGTTTTTAAGAATTTAAACACACTTCACATTGTTTTAGTCATATGTACATACATCACAGAAGAGTTAAATTAGACCTTTGATATAAACAGCCAGAAACTATGACCTTGGAAAAAGAAAACTTAAAGAAAGTCCTGTTTTATTCAAAGTCCAAGAAGAGAAAATTTAAATTTCAGTCAGAGTCCAATCAGGAAAGTAGAAACCACTCAGAGAGTATTTAATATGCTGGCTCAAAGTTGCATGATATTAGGAAGTTGAATTCAAACCCAGATGGACCAGTATCTTTCACAAGGGCACTTGATTGGAAACTTTAAATATTCATGGTACAGCTTTGGTGGGAGGCTATGTAAAGGCTATTCTCTCTTCCCAGTGAGCACATAATATATGGTGCATGTGGATTAGACAGTATGAAATCTCTTATAATCAAGATTTTACCACTAAACCCTTACAGTAGCGATTAACTAGGGATTATTAGCTGGTATTATACAGAAAAATGAATGAACAGAAGTTTTGAAATGTTAATGGATTCCAACTTCTGTTTCCTCTAGTAAAAGAAGCTGCAGGTGCATGTGGGTGCTATAATACACTGAATTACTTATCAAAGCAGTGTTCAGCAGCAGTTGGAGTTGGCTTGGTTGTGGAAGAATCTGGTGTCTATTTTAACAGGGCAGCTTATCCTTGGACCTCTATGTGTAGGAATACCAACAGAGGGAGACACATTTTGGTGCCCAGATATGGCATTAACACATGATTTAAGAGTTTTTTGGGGTTGGTTATAAGAGTTCTCTTCATACAAAAACAAGCTCTTTTTTAAAAAAATGATCATATTTTTCAAATTGGTTGATTGACTTTAGAGAGAGAGGGAAACATCAGTTTGTTTACTTATTTATGCATTCATTGGTTGATTCTTGTTAGGGCACAGATGGAGGAATCAAACCTTGGTGTATCAGGATGACGCTCTAACCAACTGAGCTATCCGGCCAAGGCCAATACCAGGTTCTTCTAACAGCATACGATAAAGCCTTCGAAAATGTTAGACATGATGAGATATTGGTATGGTCCAAACCAGCATCCTTTCTTGATGTATTTTATTTTGCAAGATGGTTAAGGTGGCAGTTCACTGAAACAGCAACTTCATTATTCACACTACAACATTAATTTGCTTTGTCAATTTGCAACAGTTTATGTAAAACATAAAAACAGAAAAGTGAGATACAAAGATAGAAGAAAAGTACCAAATATTTTCTCTAAAAGCTGGAATTCTTAAACCTGGAGTTGGGTACTATGGATAGACTTCAGGAGCTTGTTGAACTTGGATGGACAACATCTTTATTTTCTCTGGTCTCAAAACCTTTCCTTCAATTATGAATATCAGCAACAAACCACAGTAGTGTTAACAGGTTTGTAACTTTGTCACCAATAGAAAGCAAGGTATTTTCAAATCAAATTATAGTACTTCCAGGTCTCTTGAAATATCATTTATGCTCATCACTACTTCTAAATTAGATTTTTTTACTAGTCCTACCACTGGATCCTGGTTTCTGTTTCACAAAATTTTTTTAAAAATGTATATTTTGTACAACAATTGGGTTCTTTTGTAACCTTGTAGTTTCATTTTAAGCATTTAAAAATGGTATTCTGAGAAGCTTTCTCAGACTGCTACAATGGTCCATTGGCAAAGTTAAGGGATTTGGTTTTTAAACTTTTCATTGACAATAGATGAACTTTAAAATGGAGACTGTGCTAGCTGTCAGTGGGAACATAATGTGGAGAATTGGTTTTGAATGACCAAAACCAGAGGCATCACTTTTGCTGAGCCCTCCTCGCAAAGCAGTGGGCCTAGGGCTGCAGAGGCAGGGCTATGTGTATTTCTAACCAGGGAAGATACACGTTGGGCATCGCTAGCCCAGGACGCCTTACTGAGAGGGCAGTCATGGTCTGGGTGTGCAGCAGCCCTTACACTGGTCCTCTTTGGGCAATTTGAAATGTAATTACTGAACCAATTCAGTTGCTTTTTTTCTAGATAAAAGTATTTTGTTCTCTGATAGTTTAGTTTGTTCCTGTTTGTCTCCAGGGTCCTAGCACAGTGTACTTTGCAGATAAGACATAAAGTAGTTTTGCTTTGTATCTACACAGTCTATGTTCACCTTAAACTATATGCACTTGGGAAAAGGAAAGAGAAGAAAACATTTAAAGTAGTTAATAGTTAATTTTAAAATAATTTAAAGTAGCTCAGACAGTTCCAAATAACATTCCACTTATTGTGTATATGATGCAAAATGCGGTGAGGATGGGAGCTGGACTTCTCCGTGCCTTCAGTGATCTGGGTTCTGGCCTCTCTCATGGTTTGAGCGTCTTGCTGCGTTGAATGTGATTATAGTGTTACGGAGGTGGGGGCATGTTGGGAGTAGTACGATGTGTTTCCTAAATATGAGCCACCTTTGCTCAGTGGAAGGAGTAGCAGTCAGTTCTGATGCTGAAGCAAAACAATCTGGGGCCTGCCTAGGGAATTTTCAAGGAAAACTTTTATTTATATATAAATTTTATTTACCTGTGTATATAGCTCACGTTCTGTAAAATTCATCTTGGGAGGGTTGACATTAGTACAGTAATTGATTTCCCCTTACAGATTGCAGAATGTCATTTTTCAGGATAATGTTTCAGAGGAGTAAGGCCCCTACAAATGTGTAGACTTTGTACTTATCTTTAAACTATGGTTTTGGTAGACAGACGTACCAGTTAAGAAAAATTTAAGTACCAGTGCTTCATTGAAGAATGATTTAATCAACAAACATAATTCATGTTCCCATGAACTCTTTCTTCCTCATATTTTCTTCTGAGAACCTAATAAAAATGCTTATAAACACAAAAACACAGTCTTGCAATTTTTGTGAGGGGAAGGGTAGTTGATGGTAGATTTTCATTGAGCTTCATCATGTACCTTAGATTAAGAATTTCTACTCTGGTTAATTACTGTATGTAACTTTTTACCTTTGAATTTAATGTCACTTATTTCTGCATTTGGTCATGTTCGCCTGTCCTATGACAATAATAGCAGTTGTTCATGTTTATGTAATTCAAAAAAAATTTTGGCACTAATGGGATTGGATTCCTTTATTTTTTAAAAATTAACTCATTTTCCAATTACAGTTGACATACAGTACTATATTTAGTTGCGGGTGTACAATATACTAATTAGACATTTATATAACTTACTAAATGACCACCCCAATAACTCTAGTAATTAAAACTTTTTGTTTAGGTTGCAGGTGAGAAGAAGTCAGCCCAGTGGCGCACAGTGGAAGGTGCACTGAAGGAACGCAGAAAGGCAGTAGATGAGGCTGCTGACGCCCTTCTCAAAGCCAAGTAATTACTCATGGACTTTAACAAGTAATTAGGGCCTGCTGGTGGCTTTCTTTGGGCTGGGTTTTCTTTGTATTGTCTCTATAGAAAGAGAGAGGAAGGAGAGAAACCCTTTCTTCCTTCATTACCTGTTCTGGATTGTGTTGGTATTAGGAACACAGGTTTAAAACAGGAAAGGGGGGATGAAATATAATTAGGCTAAAATAAATTTGATAGAAACCTATATAAGAGATTTTGTATAAACAGCAGTTTTTCTTTGGGTTATTGCTTAGGTGATGCTTCTCTACAGCTTTACTGAGCTTCTGCCATAATTTCGAGATTTTTCTTGAATGGTTTGACCAGTTTTATCAGAATTTAGAGTATCTCATAATCTCTTCACTTTAAGTAGTCATATATAATACAATGAATTATTTTTATGTCACTTTGACTTTGATTCCTGGAAGTTGGCTAAAAGTAGGATCAAGCATGCAAACTACAGGTTCTCATCAACATAATGGAATCGTTATATGTCATTCAAAACTTTGCTGTCTTCCTTAAGATATTTTATTTATTATTGATAGAGAAAGGAAAGCCTTCTAATAATGTCAGCATATCTTTTAGGAGATTTAAGACATTGTGCTCACATCACTCTAGACCATGAGTCAGGCTTCTGAGTGTTTGGTGGTAGGCAGACCACAGTCCATCTGACCTGTGAAGCACTGAGTAGGTAGGGCTCCCCGCTACCCAGCTCCTTGTTTAGTAAGCTCTTGGCCTCCTTCCTTGCATTCGCCTTTACACTCTCATTGGCATCAGTCTAATCCTTCTAAAAGCTGCCATTTATTGAATGTACTTTGTGCGTTAGGCACTGTGCCAGATACTTCTTAGGAACTGCCTCTAATCCCTGTTAATACAAGTGCGTGCTGCAAAGAAGAGGCTGAATCTAAGTTTCCCTGGTTTTGAAGCCTGCCTTTTCCTATACACCATGCCAGTTCTCTGGTTCACCCTAGTAAAGCTGGCTTCTGACCCGAGGTGTTTTCATTTGTTGACAGGGACAGTTTCTCTTCATACTGACTATGAAAAAGCATTGAGTAATTTTTTTCAAATTTTATTTTTCACAAACTGTAAACAATTGTATGTTGTATTAACTTTAAACTCTGATAAAGTTGGCAAGGAATAATACTAAATCTTTGTTTTGTTTATTGGTTTTCAGAGAAGAGTTAGAGAAGATGAAAAGTGTAATTGAAAATGCAAAGAAAGAAGAGGTTGCTGGGGCCAAATCTCATATAACTGCTGCAGAGGGAAAACTTCACAACATGATAGTTGATCTGGATAATGTGGTCCAAAAGGTGTGTTTTCTAGGTCATTTACAAGTATTTTTTACTTTTAAATATACTCCATTGGCCAGAGGATTTTAAGGATTCAGAAAAGTAATAAATTCCTACCAACTCTCTCCCTTTTCCCCTGCAAAGAATATTAGTTTTTTCGAATTTTAAAAACTTGAGTTGGACACAAAGTGGATTGCTAAGTATTGTTGATACTTTTTATAATAGTTAACATTTTTGGTTATGATTATGACCACTTAGGAAAATTGTTATTTTGTAGCAGAGCTTCTGTCTGCACTTGTGATCCACATGGGCTCCAGCACAGTGGCTGGGAGAGGGCTGGGGATGGTGTTTGAATAGAATTACAAGTAAACAGAGCAAGGCTTACATTCCTTTTTCTGAGCTTTAGATTTTTCTCTATGAGCTTTTCATTCCCAACCAAACGTAAATAAATAAAGGAATATAACTTCTGTTTTCTTGGAACATGTGTGGTACTTTTTGTTTACTTTAACCACATACCCCTTGTATTTGTTCAGGTTCAAGCAGCTCAGTCTGAGGCTAAGGTTGTGTCTCAGTATCATGAACTTGTGGTCCAGGCCCGGGATGACTTTAAGCGAGAGCTGGACAGTATTACTCCAGAAGTCCTGCCAGGGTGGAAAGGGATGAGTAAGTACAGTTGAAATGTTGGCACTTTTCTTTTTCATTTTTTAACAGCTGATCAACTAATCTAAACTTGCTTCAACCCCATTCATCTAGTCCACACATCTCTGACGTGCATCTCATTTGGTGTATACATTTTATTTCAGTGATGGCCATGACAGATACCAGACCTGTGATAATTCATAATCCATGATTCCACTCTGGTCTCTGCCACTCAAAATGTTTTTTGTTTTTGTTTTTTTGGTATCCAAGTGAGTGAGAGTGACATTATAACCTTGATTCTATTAGAATATTATATATATGTAAAATTATTCAAAACCTTTGGTACTTTAGAACTATTCATAATGAATCATTTAAGACACCCCTTACTGCTCTGTGACAACAGTGGTTGAGAACTCACCCAGGGGTGCTGCCGTGAAAAAGAAATTGGCTGTACGGCTGTTGCCTTGCAAATGGCTCAGGCTGCAGGGAACTTTAATGGTTAAGCAATTACACAATGTACCTACAGGGAATAGTTTCATTATCCTCAAGTGCTGTGAGGGTAGTAAGAATTAGAGGTTACCAGTCTCAACAATACTGTTTAAATGCCAGTGTCTGTTGGAAATCGAACACCAGGTAGGATCAGAAGAACTGGTGTTATAGGAGGCCTGTCTGGTCTGAAGGTGTCAAGGTTGCAGCATGGAACCATGGCGGGTCTAGGGAGCAAAGGTAATAAAAACCAGTGCGGGAATTTTATCTGCATCATGGCCATTCAGGGAGATTTAATGGCAAGAAGTAGAATCAAGGCTGTCAAAAAATAACTCAGACATTTGTTTTTTTAAATTCAGTTGATCAAGAGAGATACCAGACGCATGTCAAAGAGAAAATATTTATAACAGCAGGATTTATAAGAGATTCAAGTGGAGAAACACAAAGTTCAGTCTGGGAACAGTGACTCTTGTTTGCACATTGTTGTTTAAATTTGCCAGAAGGTGGTAATGAGGGCAGCGTGGACAAACTGCCCCTGAACAGGCTTATCCGCATCCACCTGCCATATCCACACCATTTTCCTCAGAATTTCTCAAGGACCGTGCTTCACTGAGTTAACAATCGAAACTTCCTTATCACCCCAGGCGCCTTCCCTCTTCCAGCTTTCTCCAGAAGTCACTCTACCACATTACCATATCTTATCCTTTTGAAATTGTAATTTACTGGTTTTGTGTCTCTTTCTCCATTAAGTATAAGCTCCTTTGCATAAATGTGACATTGGAAGATAGTATGGAGTCTAAGTTGGCTGAAATAAATGCAGTAGGTTGGAAGGGTAGGACAGGCTGCTTCTGTGGAGTGTTAGTTATGAGTGCTATCCCTAGGAATTTGCATTCTCTCATTTAAAATACTTGTCTTTGGTCTTCCTATTAGTCTAAAGCCTACTGATTTGTGCAAACCAGCCTCAGAAGTTTTTAACTTTTAAAAAATTCTTTTGATGTTGAAAATGCCCATTTCTTTCACTTAACATGAAAACGTTACAGCAGTTGTTCCCAGCTCAGGCATTTTTGGACCCCTCTCAAAGGGCATTTGGCGATGTTTGAAGATATTTTTATTTGCCACATTGGGGGTTGCTACTGGCTTCTAGTGGGTACAGAGCAGAGATGCTGCTTAACATCCTAGAGTGCACAAGACTAGCCCCTTACAACAAGATTATCTGGCAAGAATGTCAGTGGTAGCGAGGTTGAAAAACCTGGCATTAAAGAAATGTATCATGTACAAAGTGAAAGCCTCTTGCAGTGCCATCTCTGAAATATTTTTTTTGCACAGCCTCCGTTTAATGCTTTATTAATTTTTAAAATAGATTATGTACTCACATAATACAAAATTTAAAGGGGACAAATGGCACCTGGTAAAGTTTTCCTTTTCGTGTCCACGGCCACACAGCTTTCCTCCCTCTGTTTATTGGTTTCTGGTGTAACTCTGGAGATAATGAAGTACTCCATAATTATTGCAGCGCTTAGCAGATATCCTTGCCTCTGAAATCTCAACTCGTTTAAGACCTATACCAAACTTGTTAATATTGATTTGTGTTATCAGTTATTTTGCTCTTAATAGCCTTATTTCCCTACGTTATAAAAGTCCTAGTGATCTACATGTCTAATACTTTTTCTGTGCTCTCCATAGCTAAGCATGGTGTCAAACATATAATAGCTAAAATTATTGAGCTTTATTTTGTGTCTAGCACTGTGTTCTCATCGCTTCACATACATTCACTTACTTGAATTTCATTATAGCCCTATGAACTAAGCGTTGTTATATGTCCATTTTATAGATGAGAAAATCAAGACACAGAGAGGTTAAGTAATTTGCTCAAGGTTGTGGGTACAGCCAGGATTTCATTCTTACCCACTAGCCTCACTGTTCTCTGCTGATTGATTTCTGTTGACAGCATAGGGACCCCTTTTGGGTTTTTGAGGAGTGATGTTGTCATGAGGAAGAAAATTCATTTTTATGAGATTGAGAGTGTAGGGAGGGATGCTTAAGGACAAAGCAGCTGGTTAAATGCTACTGAGTAACGCGAGGGTGAGTGATGTGAGCCACCTAGTATGTGTGCCAGGAGCACTGAAAATGAACAATGGGAATGAAACATCGTTGTCATCATTTAGCAATTGATTTGTTGTTGAACCACCAGTTATAGTAAGTATCTAGTGAAGTTGATGATGTATATACTTCCTGGTCCAACAGTTCAACTCCTAGATATATGGTCTAGAAGACTCACATGGGTGCCAGAAGAGAGTTGGGAAAGTGTTCGTAGCAGCAGTAAGAGCGGAAAAATCGGAAAACAGCTCAGTGTGCCTCATGTACGGCAATACAAATGAATGGACCAGAGCTGTCTCTGTCAAAGATAGATGTTAAGAAAAACAAAAAGCTGCAAAAGAATACATAGAGTAGAATAACACTTTTGTGAAGCTTAAAAACATGCAAAACAAAACTGTATATTAAACATTTAAGGATGCATGCATAAGTAAAATAGAATGAAATAAATGATAAACACCACTATAAGGGAAGTGAGGAGGAGTCATTAGGAAGTGTGTTATTGCCAGGATTGGAGAATAGGGTGCAAGTTGTAAAAATTGTGAGTATTCCCAGGGGACATTTCCTTTATTGCTTAAAGACTAGCCATATGTATGTGCCATGTTAAGACTGACATATCATTTCTCACCTTGTCCATCTTTGTTAGTTTTTCCTTCAACATTGGGACAGATTTCTGGTTGCATACCAGATTAAGTGGTTGAAATCAAGGGCAGTTTTGGATGAAAATACCAGTCTTTGAACTTTTATTATCCAGGGGCCATTCCCAGGATATTAAGAAGGTTATACCGAGAGGCAGGAATCTGGCCGTGGTTCCCCTTTACCGTCACGCGTTCACATGGTGGCACTTATGAGTGTGGCGGGGAGGATCATCCAGACCATTCAGAATGTTATTTTTCTCTTCCTTGCCATTGAATTAGGTGGTCATGGTTCTTATTTTAATTTGTAAGGGTTAAACTCAAATTTAATGTGAATTCACTGTTTTCAGATTTCCAAAGAAGAAATATTAATTTCTTAATTATTTGAAATGCTAGGAGAAGCCTGATAATTAGAACAGAGTCAGGACTGTGTCTTAGTGAAATGCTTTATAAACTAATGCAAATGGAGGACGTAAATGAGAATTATAGTTTCTATGTTAAAACCTAAATTGATTGCTTTAGCAAAAATAGAGTGAAACTTTTAATATCAATGACTTATTTTCTAAAATGTTAGAATTTACCTTGATTTATATTGTTTTACAATCCTTCAAAATTTTAGGAAATAAGCTTCCCAATATTAAAATATGACTTGGAAGCCCTGGCAGGGTAGCTCAGTTGGTTAGAGCATCATCCCAATATGCCAAGGTTGTGGGTTTGATCCCCAGTCAGGATACATACAAGAATCAACCAATGAATGCATAAATAAGTGGTACAACAAATTGATGTTTCTCTCTCTCTCTCTCTCTCCCCCTCCCCCATCTAAAAATCAATAAATAAAAATTTAAAAAAAATTCTAAATAAAATATACTTTTTCTACTGGTTTCCCATTACTTGTTTTCTTTTGGGTATTTCTACTATTAATGATTAATAACGTAAATAAGTATATTCTGTTTTTAAAGCTGTTTTTCTTTTCTTTTGTAGCTGTTTCTGATCTAGGTGAGTAATTATGTGTTTTTTTGTTTAAAGTAGTTTATTTTAAGTCTTAAAAGGCTGAAATCTTTTTCTTTTGCCTACATTCTTAGACTAAACAGTCTAAATAACATTTGGTTGGCGAAAAAGTTAGTTTGGTTTTTTCCGTAAGATGGCTCTAATAGCCCTTAGTTGTCTTTAACATCATTTGAAACAGTTTTGTTAGATTGTATTGTGAGAGCTGTCATATCAGCATGCACTTAAAAAAAATCAAAATTGGTGAATTTTTGTGTAGTCATTTTAATTTTGAAGATGGAAGAAAATCAGCAACATTTTGGCATATTATACTTTATTATTTCAAAAAAGCTAAAAACACAAATGAAACACAAAAAAAGATTTGTGCAGTGTATGGAGAAGGTGCTGTGACTGATCGAATATTCAAAAGTGGTTTGGGAAGTTTCCACTTTTGCCTTTTATGCAAAAGATTACTCACTGGGTTGCTGAAGATTTCTCACTGGGTGCTCCATGGCTGGGTAAACCAGTTGAAGTTGATAGTGATCAAATCAAACAATTAATTGAGAATAATCAACTTTATACCACGTAGGAGATAGCCAACATGCTCAAAATATCCAAATCAATAAAGTTAGTGGTGAAAATGAAAAATGTGTCTTTTATTTTACAGAAAAAAACTGTATGAATTTTTTGGCCAGTACAATATAAAGTAGAATTATGCTGCATGTGATAAATGTGATTCTGATATTTTTTGTATCCTTGTTTTCTCATCTACAAAAACGTTTCACCAGGTGATTGGAAACCTGCAGGGTGTGCGTGTTTTTTATTTTGTAAAATTTAAAATAATAAAATGTAGGAAGAAGACAGTAATGAACTTCTATGGACCCATTGCCCAACTTCAGCAATGATCATTTTGGTCTCATTTACCTCCACAGCTTATTTTGAAGCAGATTCCAAATACTATATACTGTTACTTGTAAATACTTTCAGTATGTTTAAAAAAAAACCCACAATTGTTAGCATAGCTAAAACAGTAATTCTTTAATGTCATCAAATGTCTATTCAGTGCTCAGATATCCCCAATTATTTTATAGAATGAGTTGTTTTTTTAGTTGTTTTATTCAAATCAATATACAAAGGAGCTACACGTGTTGCATTTCATCAGTAAATCTCTTACCTCCACTTTATTTTTTTGGTTTTCAATCTGTTTATTTTAGAGTTGAGTCATTTATCATATAGTATTTCTCACATTCGGTATTTTGCTTTTACAGCCATAATTCTTAATCTAAGGTAATATATTAGAATACTTCTGGAGTGTGAAATTGAGGTAGGTGGGAGAGTATTTAAGCCTAAATTAGAATCTTTGGACATGAGTATTTTTTAAAACTTCTCAAGTGATTCTGGACAGGCCTGGTTGCAGATCACCACCCTAGGTAATATCTTAGAATGAAGGCATACAAACTCTTATTAGGGAAAAGCCTGAGTTTTCATTTGATTTGAGTTTTAGCAGAGAAGAATCTTTAATTGGATGCCTGTTCCGACTAATAGTTACGCATGAAATGTGGAAGTGATTGTATATGAAAGCCTTGTCTTTACAGGCAAACTTATGGTGAGTTATTAAGCAAATTTATAATTAGTTCAGATTGGAAGTACTAATTTGGGTTCCTGGCAAAGAACTGATTATATACTTTAAAGCCACCGAATGACTTCACTTGGGATTGAAAAAACCTTTGTTGTTGGCCATGAGCTGTGAATCTCTGATCGCCCTGGAATCTATGTCTCTTTTCAAATGTTAGTTTCAAATGTCTCTTTTCAAATGTTTGCTTTTGTTTATAGCTGTTATAGTTAAATTTTATAAGCAATTGAAACACGTTACCTCGTAGATGTATAGTTTTGGTAAAATAATTAACATTTTAATTTGATTTTCTGTTTAGCTGACAAGCTGTCTACCGATGATCTAAACTCCCTGGTTGCTCATGCGCATCGTCGCATTGACCAGCTGAACCGAGAGCTAGCAGAACAGAAGGCCAAAGAGAAACAGCACATTGCATTAGCGGTGGAAAAACAAAAGCTGGAAGAAAAGCGGGCCTTTGACTCTGCAGTGGCAAAAGCATTAGAACATCACAGGAGTGAGATACAGGCTGAGCAAGACAAAAAGGTAGAAGATACGAGAGTGATTGCCTAACATTTAAAGGGAACCTGACCTTTTTTTTTTCCAATATGGAAAAATACGAATTTATTTAAGATGGAGAAAGACTTTTTTTAGAAACCTTCCAGCCAAAGCTCAGTTCTTACTTTCCAGAGTTGCATAATATTGCTCTTACCTATAGTCAGTAGGAGGGCCAATGGAAATACCATGGCTGGTCTGTAACAGCCATTCCCAAAATGTGGTTCAGGGACCCTTGGGTCTTCCTAAGACTCTTTCAGGAGAGCCACATGAGCAAAATTATTTACAGAATAATCCTAAAGATACCGTTTGCCTATCCTACTCTCATTCTTTGACTAATGTAGAGTGGAATTGTCAAGAGGTTACATTGATCTGGCAGCTAATAGAATATGTGTGTATATGTATTTTTTTTTAAGTGAATCTAATTTGATTTTCTACTTCTACTGAGACCAAATTGATCATTGCTGAAGTTGCGCGATGGGTCCATAGAAGTTCATTACTGTTTTTCTAATTCTGAAATTATATCAGCTGTCACTGACTTTAAAATACTAGTTGTATGTCATGACCACTTACCTCTTGAATGGAGATTGGACTGTTGTTCTAGGGAAGAATTAATCTAATCGAGTTACTTTATGTTGAGCGGATGCAGATGTATAAGAAAGTAACAAGCTGCTGGTATTTAGGATTATCTAGCTTATCCTTTCCCAGTGGAACTTTTGCCCCTTAAAGCAGTACTGAAAGCATCTCTGTTGGATTCTGAGTATTTTTCTCTGCCAGTGTTTTTTTAAAGATTTTATTTATTTATTATTTTTAGACAGGAAGGGAGGGAGAAAGAAAAACAATCTGTGGTTGCCTCTCATGTGCCCCTACCTCGCTGACCACTCACTCCTTGGCTTCCCTCTTTGCTCAGGCTCTCAAATACTGACGTGCACTGAAACCTTCCCATTAAACTGTCTCCAAGTGCGCCTGTGGCTTGGAAGTATAAGTATTACTTATCACTTAAGATATTTATGTTGCTAGCTCTGACATCTGCCTTGGCTTCTAGATGCCTGTCTAGCAGCTGACTTGATGTCCCCAGCTAGGTTTTCAGTCATTTCCAACGCAACACATTCAAAACAAATTTCTTCATTTTCTCCATCGGCCTCTTAATTCCTCCCTCAGCTTGTTTGTCTCTAAATAAAACTCCACCTACTCAGTTGCTCACGCAAGAAATCATTCTTAGTTGTCCCTCCTTCCTCCATCAGCTTGTACATCTAGTCCATTGACAGATTCCACCAGTTCTGTGTCCAAAGTAAATCCCAAATCTATTCACTTTTCACTTTCTCCATTCCCACCACCATAGTCCAGAGTGTTGTCTTAACAGGTTCTGTGTTTTCATACTCATCTTTCTGTGTCTTTATCTACACGGGCAAGAGGTCCTTATAAAACATTCAGAACGGAGGTTAGGCTGCTGAAAATTCTCTACTGAGTGCCCACTGCATTTACTATCAAATCCAAATTTTTAACCTATACCAAAAAGGCCTTGTGAGCTTATTCCTGTTTTGCTGTGAGCCAGGTTTCCCTTACTTCCCTTATTTACCAGGGGTCCTGGTTTTTTTGTTTGTTTTTTGTTTTTTGAGGAAGGGGTACCTTGACTACATCTATTTCCTTGGGGGTGTTTGCTCTGCCTGGCACATTGTTCTGGTTTCTCTCTTTAAATCTTAGTTTTAAGCTTGGAGATCACCTCAGCAAGGCCATTTCTGTCCCTTCGGTCTAAAGTAGGGCCCCTGTATTGCTTTCTCTCATAGCACCCTATTTATTTTCTTAAAAACAAGTATCACCGTCCAGGATGTCCATTTTGTTTATTGTCGGATTCCATCCAGGGATATAGTGGGCCCTGTCTGGCACAGAGCTCACACTTCATAAATATTTATGCACTGACTAAATGGATCTACTTATTAATTACATTGTTTTTGAGAATAGGTAAGTTAGTGAATTGTAGATAATCAGTGTAAATAATTTTTAGTATGACCCATGGCTGATTGTTAGGCAAGGCTTTCCATGGTTTTGGTTTGATTTGGCCCATGATGAGTCTAAATTTATATAAAATAAACAGTTTCAGAGTAGTTTTCTTTGTTTAGAAAAAAGTGTGTTTAGCACCTGCCAGACATTTATTAATTTTAACAGGTCTTCACAGTAGGCATTATTATTCACCAATGAGAAAATGGAGACTTGAGAAGGTAAATAATTTTCCCAGGGCCACAGATGGTTGTGGTGAGGTTGTGTTTGATTCCAAGTCATTGTGGTGGTTTTTTCCCCCATGTTCTGGAATTTGTTAATTCTCAAGGGGGAATAAGTGATTTGGGAAATGACAAATGTTGCTTGTAAATACTTTCAGTATGTTTTAAAAAAAACGCAATTGTTAGCATAGCTAAAACAATAATTCTTTAATGTCATCAAATGTCTATTCAATGCTCAGATATTCCCATTTATTTTATAGAATGAGTTGTTTTTTTAGTTGTTTTATTCAACTAATGTTAGCTTTGTGTAGGAGGCAGCCTGGTAATGTGAAAAGAAACACAAATTTTGGAATCAGAGAATACCACTGTTTGAAATCTGATTTTTGCCACAACTGTGACCTTATTTGAGTCACCTTTTAACACTCAACTTTCTGATTCATATCAGAAGTGGAAGTAAATGGAGAATGTGTAGGTGTGCATGGCATATCCTAGGGGACCGGGACATGGGGGCTGCTACCGTCATTGTTACTGGTCTTCTCTTTTTCTAAAAGCACGTGTGCAGAATTGGGAACTGGTCACGACCGTTTGGTTTTGCAGGTAGAGGAAGTCAGAGACGCCATGGAGAACGAAATGAGAACCCAGCTTCGCCGACAGGCTGCTGCCCACACTGATCACTTGCGAGATGTCCTCAGGGTACAGGAACAGGAACTGAAACATGAATTTGAACAGGTGAGCACTGGTTGTAAAGCATCGACTCCCCTTCACTCTCCTTTTGCTCTTTTCCGTTAATAGTGGTCTCTCCTTCCCTTTTAGCATGCTTTGTATGTCATTCCCTCTGAGGATATGGAAGACTGGGGCAAGATTTCTAATGGTACCTACCTACCCTTGAAGTGGGGCTTTTGTATACTTGCAGAGCTGCTCCCTTTTTCCTAAAGGTGTACCTCTGTGTTACTGATCTGGTGTGTTTTGTATCTGTCTTGTCATTTGGAGCCTTCAAAGCTTTACGGAGGGTTGGGATGTGGGGTTTCAGGAATGCAAGCAATAATACTTGACACAATATAATTGATGAATTAGTTCATTCAGCCAGTGCATAAATATCCAAGAAGTGCCATCCCTGTGCCAGGCAGTGCCTACTGTGTGCTTAAATGCAGTGGCACCCAAAGCAGACCATCAGACAGAAACAAGGAAACAAAACAGATGTCTCAGATAGTGGTACTTGTTTTTAAGAAAATAAACAGAGCACTGTGAGAGAAATGACACTGCTGTATTTCCATAAACTCCTGTGGGTGATGCGGTAGTGCCTAGATTTTTGTATCTGAGGAAACTTTCCAGAAAGGTTAAATTTGGATACCTTTGGTCGTAGTTAGTTTCTACTCAGCAAGTCATTTATAATATACTAACTTATTATTTTGTCTTACAAGAAGGGAATGAGGTTTGTCAGGTAAGAAAGTCTTCCAGAAAATTGAAATTTATGCCAATAGAAAGACATTTTAGTTTAAATTCTATTTGACGGGTATTGTTCTGGGAAAAAATAGGAGACTTTCAAATAGAGGATATTGAATACAATTTAATCATATTTGTGTGGCAGTACAGTTTCTTTCTAAAGTTGATGTTTTTCTCATTTTAATAGCCTTCTTTCTTCTGCTAGTCTACCTCCTGTAATATAGGCTTCCATTAGTAACTTTATAGAAAGTTACACATCAGATATGAGTTTAAGGAAATTCTGATACCGTACATATAATGTAGGTGGTTCACGACAACTATTTTGAGGTTTTAAAGGCTTGCTTTCCTTTTGGAGATAAGCAGTTGCTAGAAGACTTCAGTGGCCTGGTAAGTGACATTAATTGAGGTAGTATCACTTCTTTCTGTACACTATTTGTTCTACTTCAGGATCTGTCTGAGAAGCTCGCCGAGCAAGAATTACAGTATCGTCGGCTCAGTCAAGAGCAAGTTGACAACTTTACTCTGGATATAAACACTGCCTATGCCAGACTGAGAGGAATCGAGCAGGCTGTTCAGAGTGAGTGCTTGGGGCCCTGAGACAATTAAGTTCAGTCCAGCTTCTTAGGATAATTCCTTGTTATGAGGATAATGGGATATGTGCATTGGCATTAGGGCATAAAGAAGCTGATACCACTCTAATAAACTCTATTCATTTCTAAGAAAGTTAGCCCCAGAGTTGGTAAGTTTGGAATATAGAGAGCTGTGAGAGGATATTTAAAAGAATCTAAAAATTAAATAAGTTGAAGTTTTACTCCTTACTGTGATAGGCATGAGCTCACCATTTACAAGGCAGTTTACCCAACACACATTGGTTATGTCTCATGTGTCCTGACCGGAGAAAAGGTCAGCGCGGTCCATGCTAGCCTGCGGGCTGTGCCGACCTGCCCTCCCTGCTGTCGGAGCGTTACCTGGAGGTGGTGATTTGCTGATTCTGCCCGCCAAATCGACCCTAGTTACACTGAGGCTTCCATGAGCCACACTGAAAAGGAAATGTCTTAACAATGAAGATGTTGATAAAATGGGTTTCTTTGGGGTAATATGGAATCTTTTTGCCAAATAAAGGTAAAAATAAGTAGTTTGTTAAGTTTATTTGAAGTCTTCTATCCCTTTTCAGGAAGTTTTTGATCGCATTAGCATAAATCTTAGCCAAATTTAAATGTTTCCTTCTCAAACATTTGTACAGATAAATACACCTGAATTAGATGCCATGCACTGTCCTAGATGTCACAGAAGGAGAGAAGGGAGACTCAGTTGTGCTTGTACATGTACATACACTCTCTTGGGCTTTCTGTGTGGTCTTAGGAAAAGAAATGCTCACTAAATATGTCATGGCTTGTTGTTTCACATGAAGGGGAAAGAACACTTCAGAAATACGTGGTGGGATGGGGTTGGAAGAGGCTCTTTGTGGTCCCATCTTCCACATGAGTGGATTTAACTTATTGAAGGTACATCAGTTCTCTGGGTATATGAGAAGGACATATAGTCAAGTGGAAAGAAAAATGTTTTTCTTTGTCTTGTTTTTTTTGTAGGTCATGCAGTTGCTGAAGAGGAGGCCAGAAAGGCCCACCAACTCTGGCTCTCAGTGGAGGCATTAAAGTACAGCATGAAGACAGCGTCTGCAGATCGGCCCACTGTTCCGCTGGGTAGCGCAGTCGAGGCCATCAGAGCCACCTGTTCTGACAGTGAATTTGCCCAAGCTTTAACTGCCGCTATCCCCCCAGAGTCCCTGACCCGTGGGGTATACAGTGAAGAGACCCTTAGAGTCCGTTTCTATGCAGTCCAAAAACTGGCCCGAAGGGTAGCGATGATTGATGAAACCAGAAATAGCTTATACCAATACTTCCTCTCCTACTTGCAGTCCCTGCTCCTTTTCCCGCCTCAGCAACTGAAGCCACCAGTGGAGCTCTGCCCTGAGGATATGAACACATTTAAATTACTGTCATATGCCTCCTATTGCATTGAGCATGGTGATCTGGAGCTGGCAGCAAAGTTTGTGAATCAGCTGAAAGGAGAGTCCAGGCGAGTGGCGCAGGACTGGCTGAAGGAAGCCCGGATGACTCTAGAAACTAAACAGATAGTGGACATCCTGACAGCATATGCTAGCGCTGTAGGAATAGGAACCACTCAAGTGCAGCAAGAGTAAGGACTAGGAAGAGTTTGTAACATCCTAGTTCATGTCAAAGGAAATCAGCAGTAATATGTAAAGGGTTTCAGCAGGGTGTCAGAATTGTCTAGAAAGGGAGCAGATTACAAATTCTGTTCTAAATGTTAACACCTGTTGCATTTATATTATTTTCACTTGCTATCATGTCATTGATCTCCAGGAGTACTTTCTTTGCAACTTGTGTAACATTTTCCGTTTTTCAGGTTTTACTGATCAGGCTTGTGAGCCAATCAAAATAATATTTGTGGTCCCTGTTACTGTTGATTTTGCCTTTGGAGCAAACTGAATAAAACAAAAAGATGAAAACTGAGTAGCTTATCCCTTTTCAAAAAGTACCATTTCTAGTTTGTGTGTATAGAAAATTTCCTTGCGAAGCAGCAACAGCACAAGTAGGTAGTTCTGGGCACTCAGTTTCCTGGCTGTGAATTGGGTCCCAGAAATCCAAGGGTGGCACTTGGCTTCGAAGGTTGTGATGAACTGATTCCTGCTGGTCACACTCAAGGGTAACATATAAACTAAAATGCCAAATATATTTACAGTTGGAGTTACATCGTTCTAGAGATTTATAGGCACTAGAAATCGTATGTACCCCAAATTTTCCTGGTTGCTACCACAGGACGAAAATATTTTATTTTGGGACTGAACATACACACCCCCATCGCCACTGCCACCCCAAACCACTGATTCCCCCGTGAACCTCTTCTGGGAAGTGTGGGTGCTGAGCCTGGAACCTTTAAGGGATTGAAAAATTTTGTGGTATTTATGAACTGTTTGTCATGAAACCCAGGGAACGTTACTTTACTTCTCTGAAGATAAGGACAATTGCCATATTATGTAAATGTTAACAAATTCATTGGTTTTTTACTCAATGAAAATACTGTCAGTTTTCTCCCCCAAACTGTAATTTTCTTTTGGGGGTTTATGTGTTCACAGAGATTGTTGAGGAGGCATTTTTGTTTGAGCAACGTATCTGCCAATAATGAAAAAAGGGAAGGGGTTCTATATTATATTTTTGAACGTATGCCAGCCCCTGAATTTGGGTTGTTATATTCATGTCTGCATGACACTTGACCTTGTCCTTTCATTTAGGGATCCATTGGTCCATTTTGGCCTATTCTTTTATTATTTTTTTAATCCTCTTGGGGACATTGCTTTTATTTATTTTTATTTTCTTTAAAGAAAGGGGTAGGGAGGGAGAAAAAGAGGGAAAGAAACATTGATGTGCAAGATGAACATTGCTCTGTGGTCTCTTGCACACCCCAACTTGGCCCCTGGCCTGCAGTCTGGGCTTGTGCCCTGACTGGGAATCTAACCAGTGACCTTTCGGTTCACAGGATGACACCCAACCCACTGAGCCACACCAGTCAAGGTTCCATTGATTTTTTTGGGGGGGAGGGGAAGAAACATCAACATCGATTAGTTCTCTCCTATATGTGCCCCAACTTGAGAATCGAACCTGCAGCCTTGATGCATTGCGTGATGCTCCAACCAACTGAGCTGAGCCACATAGCCAGGGCCTAAACGAATTTTTTTTATTTTTTAAAAATTATATTTGATTGATTATGCTATTATAGTTGTCCTGGTTTTTACCCCTTTGTCCCCTCCACCCAGAATCCCCCACTCCCTCAGGCAACCCCCCCACCATTGTTCACATCCATAGGTCATGCGTATAAGTTCCTAGGCTACTCCATCTCCTATACTGTACTTTGCATCCCCATGGCTATTCTGTAACTACCTATTTATACTTAATTCCCTCACCTCTTCAGCCATTTCCCCCACATTCCCCTCCCACATGGCAACCATCAAAACGTTCTCTGTGTCCATGATTCTGTCTCTGTTGTTTGCTTTGTTAGATTCAGTTGATGGTAGATAAATGTGTTTTTGCCACTTTATTGTTCATAGTTTTGATCTCTTTTTTTTCCCCCTGTGACCACTCAGTGGACATTAGTCCACCAATTTTAATACTGTTCTTTAAAGTATATTTTACTGATTACGCTATTCAAGTTGTCCCATTTTTTTTCTCCTGTGTTCCCCCTCCACCCTGCACCCCCTCTCCCACCAGCATTCCTCCCCCTTAAATTTATGTCCATGGGTTGTACATATAAGCTCTTTGGTTTTTCCATTTCCTACACTATTCCTAACCTCCCCGTCTATTTTGTACTTAACAAGTATGCTTATTCCCTGTACCTTATCCCCTCCTCCCCTCCTCCCCCCTCTCCATGTGATCTCTGTTCTGTGATTCTGTTCCTGTACTAGTTTGCTTTGTTTTTGTTTTAGGTTCAGTTGTTGATAGCTGTGAGTTTGTTGTCATTTTACTGTTGATAGTTTTGATCTTTGTTTTCTTAGATAAGTCCCTTGAACATATCATATAATAAGGGCTTGGTGATGATGAACTCCTTTAACTTTACCTTATCTGGGAAGTACTTTGTCTGCCCTTGCATTCTAAATGATAGCTTTGCTGGATAGAGTGATCTTGGGTGTAGGTCCGTGCCTTTCATGACTTAGAATGCTTCTTTCCAGGCCCTTCTTGCCTGCAAGGTTTCTTATGAGAAATCAGATGATAATCTTATGGGAACAACTTTGTAGGTAACTGTCTCCTTTCCTCTCGCTGCTTTTAAGATTTTCTCCTTATCCTTAATCTTGGGTAATTTAATTATGATGTGCCTTGGTATGTGCTTCCTTGGGTCCAGCTTCTTTGGGACCCTCAGAGCTTCCTGGATTTCCTGGAAGTCTTATTTCCTTTGAACTGGGGAACTTCATTATATTTTTAAGTAAGTTTTCAATTTCTTGCTCTCTTCTGGCACCTCTATGATTCGGATGTTGGAACGTTTAAAGTTGTCTCGGAGGTTCCTAAGCTTCTCATTTTTTTGAATTCTTGTTTCTTCATTCTGTTCTGTTTGAATGTTTGTTTATTCCTTCTGCTCCAAATTGTTGATTTGAGTTCTAGTTTCCTTCCCTTCACTGTTGGTTGGTTCCCTGTATATTTTTCTTTATTTCACTTTGCATAACCTTCACTTTTTCCTCTATTTTGCGACCATACTCAACCATTTCTGTAAGCTTCCTGGTGACCATTGTTTTGACCTGTGCATCTGATAGGTTGGCTAGCTCTTCGTCATTTAGTTGTTTTTCTGGAGTTTTGATATGTTCTTTCATTTGGGCCATGTTTCTTTGTCTCAGTGCACCTGTTATGTTGTAAGGGGCAGAGCCTTAGGTTTCACCAGGGTGGGGCAACCCAGGTTGCTGTGTTGTGACACAGTATGTGGGGGAGGGGTCAGAGAGAGAACAGTGCCATTTGCTTGGCTCTCAGCTGGCTTTCAGTTACTTCCCCTGCTACTCACAAGCAGATTAGGTCCTTCTAATTTCCCAGGAGAGTGGGCTTGTGTACGTTCTAGGACCCTCTGGGTCTCCAGTGAACTCTCCTGTGAGGCTGGGAGTGTCTCCTGCTGCTGCAACCCCCACAGGTTTTTACAGCCAGAGGTTTTGAGGCTTTCCTTTCCCACGCTAGAACTCGGGGTTGCGTTGTCTTGCAACCCTGTTCCTCTCGGTTTATCTGCACACAGATGTGGGGCCACCAGCTGCCACCGTGCCTGCCAGGTCCTCCCACCGCTGCCTTGCTGCATGTCCTCTGCCCTGGCTGCCTATCTCCACCCCTCCTACCGGTCTGGATGTTTCTTCTTTAACTCCTTGGTTGTCAGACTTCCATATGGTTTCATTTTCCAGCAGTTCTGGTTTTTTGTCTTTATTTGTTGTTCTTTTGGTTGTTCGAGGAGGCAGTGTATCTACCTACACCTCCATCTTAGCCACCCTAAGTGGATTCTTAATACAACAAAATGCAGTGGTACCTCGGTACTCATCGTATTCCTTCTGGGACTCGTGATGCGTGCTGAAACTGACAAGTACCAAGCAAGTGAAGAGTGAAGCAGCATTTTCTCTTGCAGGGTGGCGTCATGACTTACAGGGTCTAGCAAGTGCTATGAGTCCCAAGCAAGCACAGTGCTGAAAATTTCTTTCTCATCAAAATGCGATGAGTACAGGGTTTGATGAGTTCTGAAGGAGTACTGAGGAATGACTCTACATCTAGTTTCCCTGATTGGAACACGTGGTTTGTGTAATGTTCTGCAAGTGGAGGCATTCTTGGCACTGGGGGGCTGTTAAGCTAATGAAGCTGTTCTAAACTCAACTTTGTTTTTACACGTTTGGAATGGCATGAAATTACAAAGCTGACTACTTGCCTATTTGTCATATTAAAAGTGTAATTTGTTTTTGTGAAATATGTAAAATATAAAGGAATCTAAATTTTTGTAAGAGCCTGGGAATAACTACCTTGCTTCAGGAGTGATGATCTGAACTGAGCGGTTTATGTTAGCTCTGTAAATCAAAATAACAAGTTTCCAATTTTAGTCGTTTCTTTAGCAGACCTCCGCACCCCCATTGCAAATTGGAAAACAGGATGATGTTGAAAATGGGATTCTTCTTGACCAGGCTTTGTTTCCTAACTCGTACCTACTAAGACTCTGTCTTCCTGAGATGTCACTTAGCAACCCTTCAGAGGAACGCATCCTTTACTTGGGCGTAAAGAGCCTTTTACCTGGGTTTTCAGCTCTACTTCAAGGGGGTGTAATCCAAAAGGGCAAGGTTGGGGGGAGGCAGAGGTAGCCCTGGACAGTTGCGGCAGGGAGCTTCACTTCAGCAAGTGCTAAATTTCACCCCATCATCCCTGGCTTGATGAAGCCAAGTCATCATTTCTGTCTTGCTTGCGCTGTCTATCTACTTTAGTCTTAAATTGGGCACCTTATTGCCTCCCTCCTGAGTGCTATAGAACATTTTAAAGTCATGCCTCCAGGTTTAACATTAAAACTCTGACCTTTGTGTTAATGTTCAAGTCAATGTGACAAACTAAAATGTAATTTTAGGCAGTCTTTTTAAACACACACTACTTATATATTCCTTAGTGTTATGAACTCAGACCCTCTGCTCTTAACAGATTCTGGATAAGGCAGTTTCCAAGTCCCAAATAAGTTGTCCAATCAAGTTTTAAAATAACTTGCTTGAACTTCGTGCAGAACAATTGATAATTTGACATAAAAGGGAAATAGGAAGGTTTAAATACCAGGCAAATCACTCATCACTGGGCCCAGCAAGCACCATTACCGCCCCCCCCCCCCAAAAAAGCTAAGATTCCCTGGGTTCCTTCCTGTTGTTGCATTTAAGATGCCCTGAGGTCAGTGGGGGAGCACAAGAAAGCAAAGGGAAGGAAAAAGGATTACCAGGCCACGCTGCCCTTTCCCTTCTGGGAAGGTGATGTGATTCCCCAGGGTGTTAGTTTGAGCTAGCTGTATGGATAGAGGGTTCTGGAGGGATTGTAAGGCAAATGCCAGTGGAGGTGCCATTGTTGTGGGAACAGATTCCACTGGTTATCAGGGGCAAAGCTTAGGTTTTCTTGAGAATAAATTTCATCATGACCTTTACTTCTCTTGGACATTCTGTTTTCAAGAGTAAATCTTGCTGAGTTCTGTGAACTTTTCCTTGGGCTTTATTATCCCGAGCAGTCCTGATTCCACTACACAGACCACAGCTACACAAGTTGGCTGAAAGGCATTCTTTTATAGGTTAGGTTTCTTCATTGCCCACTTTGTGTCCCTTACATGTGATCATCCTATGTCCTAGCACATTGCCTTATAGCAACCAAATAAAAGATACCCATTTCTCTGGTAAATTGCCACTCTGGCGCTAAGATCAAAATGATTCTATAAAACTTGTTCTGCATATCTGTGCTCCTAGTGGCTGCTGTGTCACAGAATATTCTACATCAGTATTTTTCAACGTTTTATGACCATGACCAGCGGTAAAATAATGTGCGTCATGATCAGATACATATGTGCGTATTTCTATTGCGCTAGGAAAATATATCAACTGTATGCAATGTACTTAGATTTTATAATACATTTCATTATAATGTTCTAGTTACCACCTACAAAATTTATTTTAAACCTTTAATGTTTTGTTTAACCAGAAACCTGCCAAATCTCTCATTTCCACACACTGCTAATCTCTGGGTCAACACTTACGTTACTGCACATTAAGACTCTTCTTTTCTCATTCCAGGAGTCCCAACTCCCGTTTGCTCTTCTGATGCTGAGTTCTCCAGTTCCTTACTAAGTTTCACTGCTCTTAGATCCCAACTTACAAAAGGCCATTTCGTGACTTTTTATTTTGACATGTGGTTGCTTCCCATGCCATGGATGCTGATGCACTGGCTCTGGCATCATTGAAGCAGTGCACTCCCCTGTGATGCTCTGAAGCTTTTCAAAACTTGATTCCAGTCCTAATGGGTCTGAGTTACAACAAACCTTTCTCCTCTATCGCTTTTGTTTAAAACTTTAAACTGAGGCTCACGTTATTAATACATTTTCTATGTGAACATCAGCTGAGACATGTTGAGACTGTCAAGAGAGTGGTCTTAAAAATGAGGGGTCCTAATATATCACTAAGAAGCCACTCAGTTAAGTGTCTTCTAGGAATGCAGTACTTGAGTTGCAGTAAAGTGTAGAGAGACACAAACTTGAGAAGGCAGGACTACAAGCAAAAATTGCCAGGTTAGTAATTTTGGTATAGGAAAACAGAACATCTTTTACTATTAGGGACTAATACTTCGTAAGTGAAATAAACATTTAGAAATGAGAGCAAATGAAGACCAATCCTATAGGCCTTTTTTTTCCTGAAAAGTTCAAAGTAGTTATTTACCCAGAGTGGGGTTTGAAATACCTGTAGGTGTTAAAAACAGAGTTCGCCCTGCCTAGTGTCGCTCAGTGGATTGCATGCTGGCCTGTGAACCAAAAAGTCGCCAATACAATTGCCAGTCAGGGCACATGCCTGGGTTGCAGGCCAGGTCCCCAGTTGGGGGTATGAGAGGCAACTGATTCAATCACATTGATGTTTCTCTCCTTCTTTCCCTCTTTTCCCCTCTGTCTAAAAATAAATTTAAAAAAAAAAAGTCCAGTACAAATCCAGATGACATCAGTTCATATGTATCCCCCTTTCCATATGAACTGCTTATGCAGTTCATGGCTGCAAAGCATTCCAGTGAAGATTCAGCTAGGGTTTGGCAACAGGAGTAGTATACCACTTCTCAGTGAGTGCTTGGCCAAGAGGCATTTGCAGGTTTCAAAGAACCAAGAGGAAAGGGGCCGAGTTAACAGAGGCTTCCAGGTAGCAGCAGCTTCTAGGAAGTTGTAAACCAAGATAAAAGGCTAATCTGCCTAATGTCCTTTTCTTCATTTGCTTGGTATGTTAAGGGGCTAATGGAGCAATGCACATGAATGCATCAAGTAGCCAACTACTGTGACCCCCACCCCCTTGTCCCTCAATTAGATGTCTTAAACTGACATTCTAGGAGAAAATGCAAACCAATACTCAGGTTTCTGAAGCCATATGAATGGTTCCCGGCCTAGTGAGGATGATAAATGGAGATGGGAACAGACACCAATACAATATGGTGGCCCATAAATATTAATCCTGGGGGGTAAAGATGAAGGTACTCTTCTGCAGACAACTCCTGGGGTGCTCAGTAAATCTGGGAATCAGAGCAGTAAAGCAGCCTGTGGTAAGGAATCCCTCATGAGAGTAAGAATGCTCCTGCAAACCTCACAAGCTTTTAATAGCATTTTAAAGTCATGATGGTAAGGGACAAGCAGAGGTTCTTGACCAACCTGATTACTAGCAATACACAATCACGTCATGACATTTCAATCTGTCAGCACAAACCCTCATTTGGACACTGAAGTATAACGCAAGATGGGAGAGAAAGGGGAGAGGAAACACTTTGTGCAAACCCCAGGTGGGGAGACTGGCAAAGGCCACATAAAGATGATGGGGCCCTGGCTGGTGTGGCTCAGTTGGCTGGATATCGTCCAACAAACCGAAAGGTTGAGGGGTCTGGTGCCCACTTGGGCCACAGGCGAGACAACCAATCAATCTCATCCTGTCTTTTTAATCAATTAAAAAAAACCAAAACGATGGAAATGCATACACATCATTAATTCACTATTTATTTACAGCCTTCATTTTCCCAGTTGTGCAACCTAAAGTCCTGCCTAAGATGTATGGTTTTTTCCACATAAATATCCATGAAATTGGGACACTATTGACCCAGTGTCAATTGTGACATAACTGTAAGCAAACCTCCTTTAAAGATACCTTCTGTAAGGTCAGGGCGCACCAACGTCATAGCATCAGCCAAACAAAAGCTCAAGTTCATAGAGGGAGGGCGGACCACACTGACGGCGGCAGGGTGAGGCCCGCGGCAGACACCGCAGGTGCCCAGAGCCCACGCTGAAATCAGGAGCTGTGCGCCGCACAATAAGCATCCAAAGAACTGAAAACGGTGCTGCTTCTGTATGAATCATCAACCTGGAATGGATGGTTTAGTAAGTATCAAATAAGGAATTTAACCTTAAAATAAGTTAGTGTTGTATCAATTGTATTTCAAAGTTCGCCAAATCTATATTCTCATTTAATTCATATCATGGTTAAATATTATCTTATGCTAGGCCACAGCTGCTCCCGACTGGCCCACTTTTATTTGCCTTCGCCGATGTCACTGTCGTCATCACTGCTGCTGTCACTGCTGCTGTCAGAGGCCAAAGCAGTCAGGTGTCCCAGGGCTTCCCTGTAAGGAAAAATGCACGAGAGAGTTACGCTGCAATTCAGTCTGGTTAGCGGGGAATTCTGCAGCTTCACTAAACTACATTAACAAAGGAAAAGTTCTGACAGCCAAATCTATAGGCCTCCTTGATTTGTTTAACAAATGAAATAATTGTTGAATCAATACACATCCTGACTTTTGCACAGAAAGGAAATTCAGGGGTAAGAAAGCTATACACATTTGGATGGGCACATTCAAATCCGACCATCTGAATGGTCTTTGCATTTCTGTAGCTTTCTTTCACGGTTATGATACAGTAGCTACTCACTTTTGTTCCTGGCTGACTGTAAAATCAGCCATAACCCTTTGGGTGAGGCTCTCACAAACAGGCAAGCTGAAGGCACCTGCCAGCTTCACTAGCTCAGTGGCCTGGGCAGTGTTGTTGGATGCTTTTGCACTGTCCATAAACTCATTCAGCAACTCATTTCTGTACAAGAAAGGCAAAATGTCAACATTCCTCAACTAAACCCCTAAACCCCCCCAGTCAGGTTTGCATGCAAAATCTAGCACTTTCGAAAGTTCAGCCATAAAATCCTTAACTGTATCTTTGGAGGCAAAGTTACATGAAGTCTAAACCTAAAAGGGACAAAAAGAAACACTGGTTCACTATGCCTTTACTGAGAGTCTATTCAATGTATCCCCAGTATTGTGATGAAATAAGTCAATGTCTGCTTCAGATGCCCTATCACGGGTGTCCAACCTTTTGGGTCTCTGGCCCACACTGGAAGGAGAAAAGTTGTTTTGGATCACACATTAAATATACTGTGACACGTAATGACAAAAAAAAAAAAACCTCATGTTTTAAGTAAATTTACAATTTTGTTTTGGGCTGCACTTATAGCCATCCTGAGCCGCATGCCGCCCATGGACCCCAGGCTAGACACCCCTGCTAGACGGTGGGTGCAACGATCCATTTCCTTCCCTATCAGAACAGTGTCCAGCTGCCATGGCTGAGGCACGTGAAGAAATTTCCATCACCCTGCAGTAAGAATTAATCCCATGCAGCTAATTCCAAGTACCCAGGCAGGCCTGTTAACTTCAACTTACCTAGGGATCTTATTATGCTTCCTGAAAAGCCCCAACATTTTCCTGTTCAAGATCAAATAGGAGAAGATTATGAATAGTACCAGAACGGAAGGCAATCTGATGACCTGTTCCCTCCTGGACTCAGAGATGAATGGTCCTTCCTCACTACAGTGGAAGCTCCAGAAGACGCACAGTCCTGCCTTTACAGCCACTTTGGGTGCCTCATCTCCCTCTTCCCAAGCTTCATATATATGCACAAGTTTCACAGGCAAATGTGATGTTGCCAGTGATGGTAACTGCTGGGGCAGATCCTCCTCAAGAGGCTCGCTTCAGTGCTCCCATGGAGGGAGTATGTCCCGTGGGCAGCTGGAGGACAGGGATGCAATAGAGTGTGTATGGCTCTTTCCTCTCTATCAGGGTGAGTTCAGTGTGTCCTAAAATTACATAATGAAGTGCAGGCTCAGATTAAGGCATCAGTCTCATGCATGTGCTCGCCACCATCCTGCCACACGCAGGACAAAGGAGAAACACATACATTCAGCCCCCATGACTCAGCTGAGGTCCGTACCCCTGCGCCAATCATCACAGCCTGATTCATAACAAGTGTCTCACCTGAGGTAACAAATTTGAGCATCACATGTTTCTGATACGAGTAGCATAGCAGGTCCTGTGTATGACTTACACTCCCGAGACCAGTGGAGGCAGCAAGCCTTCACCAGCCTGTCCTGCAGGCAGTGAACAGCCACTCTGGACTGACAGCTGCATGTTCAAATTAAGTTCCTTTCTTGTGCTGAAGAAACCATGTGCAAGTACACCCCACTCACTGACTCTTGGAACTAAACACAGCACAACCACCCAACTGGGATGGTTCTACAAAGTCGTTTGTTGACTCCTCTGCTTTTGGAAAAATGAGTGTACATTAGGTCTCCATGCACAAACACTAAAAACTAGAGTGGCACAGAGTAAGCACAGGCGCTAGCCAAGACCATGTATAACTACACTCTGGTAAATCCAAGTACGCATCCCACATTTTCAGCTGGGTGGTAAGGGAATACTCACAATGAAATACTTGAATAAACCAAATGCCCAAAACACTTTCAAAAATAAAATTCTTTGATCACTTTATTTTAGTGGACAGACAAGTGCTTACTTGCCCAGATACAGAAAACAGAAAGGTCATTAATGGAAAGAAATTAGCCCACTGAACCATGTTCTCTTAAATCATGTATAATATGGTCTTCTTCCAAAAGTTTTCAGTTTTTTTTGAAGTTCCCATAGAAAACTTTGTCTCTTGATAAATAAACATTACACAGCCAAATATGAAAACCTCTACAGACCAGGGTAAATTCTCTGAAATCCAAGTAAATGCTTCTAACCTACACTTGTGGCATCATACTCACCAGGCTTCCTGGGTTCTCCCGGCCCGTAAGAAGAGGACAGCGATACAGTTCAGAGAGTTGGCTGGCCAGTCAGGAGCCGTCTGTCTGGCGTCCTGACTTTCGTAAGTAGACTTGATATCTGCGGCACAGTCAGCGAACGCCACCTGAAGCTGAGAGGCCGCTGGAGTCAGAAGAACTGCTAACTGGTTTTATGAGAACTGAAGTTCAAGAGATTCCACAGGACCACCAAACATCTTTAACCATTTGAACATGTCACATATGTAGTAACATACATATAATACAGTAGATACAATGGAGTAAAAAATAAAGCCCTGGGTTTTTAGGTAGGTATTTTTAATGCAACCTGCTGGAATCAGGACAAAAAGAAAGTGCTATCTGCATGTTGCTTGCTTTGGACTAGAGGAATGAGTGTGACTTTAGACATGGTATTCTGCTAAAGGTTGGATATGTCTAGATGTATAATTTAAATCTGGGTTTTAAATGGCAAAATTTAATTAATTAGATGGCAGAATTCTCCACAATGACAGGTGAAAACAGGGAAGTTACCCCTACAGGGCCCTCAGTAGTAGAGGATATACTTTTTTATTTTGTTTTTTTTTAAGATTTTATTTATTTTTAGAGAGCGGAGAAGGGAGGGAGGGAGAGAAACATTGATGCACGAGAGATACATTGACTGGTTGTCTCTTGCACACCCCCAACTGGGGACCTGGTCCAGAACCCAGGCATGTGCCCTGACTGGGAATCGAAATGGCGCCCTTTTTGCTTGGAGGCCGGCACTCAATCCAGAGCCACACCCGCCAGGGTGAGCATATACATCTTTAGTATACATCTCACAATGATAACGAAACTTGAGTGTCAACACGACCCTACCTCTGGTGGATGCCGATCCCTTGCCATGAGCATCAGAATCTCTTCCTTTAGGTCATTGCGGAAAGTGTGACCATATTCTTTACTATCTTGAAACAAAAAAGGAATGTAGTGAGAAGTGGTCACCGTGATGTAAAAACAATACTCTGGCTGACCTTGACCTATTGTCAGCTGTCGCCCATACTTTTTAGTGGGTAAAAACAAGTTGCTGGCGTTACCTATTCAAGGTTTATTTCAGGATTCCAGAAAACCAGCAGGATGACTTGTGGTAACAGGAAATAAAAGAGCAGTGAGAGCCAATGCTGCTCCTAGTCAAGTGCAGACACAACACACACACTGCACTTGAGATGCCACCAGCTCTAAATGGTAGGATTCTGTTCTACAGCATCTGAGAATAGTGACTTTTAATATATTTTAGTGCAGTCTTCTGAAGGAGTATGGCAGGGCTAGAGTCTTAGACATGGAAACTTGAGGCAGACAGAAACTGACTTTATGATCAGTCACCTAGAGGAAAAGATAGAGTATCTTCTGCAGCCAATATACACACACACATAAACCCAGAGTCAGGGCTGTTTCTTAGAAACGTAAGTATCACTGACTGGTCAACAATTGAACCACAGTGATGAAACATGATAGAGGGGAACAGTCTTTGGGGTTTGAGACCTGAATTTATATTTAGGTCATGCCACATGATTAACATTGATGTTAATTTTCCCTTTGTCATATCACACGACAAGAACAAAACCTACCCTTTTCCTGTTGCTAAGGAACTAAGGCCATGTTAAATACATTTTTACTCACTCAATTTAACATGCAACAAGGGCAAATGGTCTTGAAGTACACCTCAACTAATACACTCAATTTAGTCAAACTGGAAGCCTTATTCCTTCCCAATGTTAACATGTTTGTTAACCAAACTGCAGGACAACGAAGTGACATGGGCCTGGGCTCATGAGCTAAACCAACCTTTCCAAATCTGAGGAATCACTTCTAGCCTGTTGGCCACATCCAGTGCTCGGAGAAGATCTATCAATGCTTGGGAATGAGGAAAGAAGACCTGATTAAGAGAACACAAATGTATTTTTAAAATATTACTCAGCAAAAATACCGAAAAAGACATGTACAATGATACGTGATAATGAATCATCTTACTGAAGGTATGAGGTCCTTGTACCATTTCAGGGTGACATCAATTTGTTCCATCAGACAAAGCAAACTGAAGAACTTGGAACTATAATGAAGGGGAAAAGTATGTGTAGTCTAACAATTTACAAATGACAAACAATATCAAGTTACATGGGCCCATGCTTCACCCAGGAGGTGCTGACGGTTTTCTGGACTCCCAGTTAATAGCTTTTTACTCTCTGCTGGTCCTTCATGACTGCCTCCTCAGTATACTCCTGGCTCATGGTGCGTAGACAGTAATAGCACACTCATTTTAAAGCATTCAATGTGTAGAAAGCATTTGGACATGTACAAGATAATCACCATGTACCTATTAAGCTTAAGTTCTTGTTTTTATCTGCCTAAAAGCAAACCCATTTAAGAACTCTCAGTGCGCTCCACTACCTGCATCTTTAAGAACAAAGGAGGCTCTGATAAAATATTTATGGACCGTTGCTGCTGTAAGTTAAAAAATGTAAAACAGGAGGGCATACAGGAAAAACATACGCCGATTTAATGTGTTACCAGGAAACTCAGCCTGGCCAATCAGTCCCACCACGGCGTCACCGTCCCAGCGCCCCGGTAACATGCACTGAGTCAGGGGCACGCTGCCAGCCATCAGAGGTGAAAAGGGAGGGCCGCCAGCAGCCCCCCACTTGCAGAATCAACTAATGGAGGCATAAAGATGCTCCATTAATGACAAAGGATACATTTTTAACACACTTACTAATAGAAGTTACGCCGATGATTGGGGCCAATGAATTTCCAGTTGTCTCCAGTGTTTAAAAGGCCATGTACTTGGTAAGCAAGTTCTAGATCTTTGAGAGAGGAACACTGAAAATTTGTAAGTAGTAAGCATCACTCTTAAAAGTTCCCCAACAGACAAACGGCGGTTCATTACATTAAAAAAAAGTACAGGTACTTGTAGGAACATTTATACTGATTCAACATAATACTGGTTGACAGCAAATGAGTTGCAAGAAATTGGGGGGGAAAACCCCAAGTTCTGTAAAGTGTAATAAAGCAAAATGATTTTGCTCTAATAATTATAATTTAGAAATCAATCCTGCAAAACACTTGGTCAGGTGCACAGACGGATGGAGCGCTCATTCCAGCACCCAGGTACAAGCAAAAACCCATGAAATGACTGCAAAACCCACCCACCAGAGAACTGTTAAGTGATCTGTAGTCCTTCCCTGCTGTTGACTAAGTACCATGGAAACATGTCTACGTGTGCATGTTTAATACCCAGGGGAAAAAACCTAGGACACAAACTGAACTGAAAAGCAGTTAGTCTTAGGGAATAGGATATGCTAATTCATTCTGAAGCTGCTTGAAATTTTTCCTATACAGCATAATAAAATGAAAACCAAAATTAATAACGCTATCAATTTAAAAAGCTACCAATAGGCAAATATGAAATACTCTAAAACCTTACTGAACAAAGGTGTGAAAAAAGGCAAAAGACAATGAATACAATGAAGGGTAGGGATGTTACGTGATTTAGTAGAGTTTAGGGAAAGAAAAAAAGCCAACATCATCAACAGGAGTGTAAACGAAAGGACCAGGTAGAGGCCGCTACCTGCTTGCTTCCAATTACAGATAAATTTAGGAAATGGATAAAGGGAAAATGGAAAACAACAGTTAAACAACAAATGGTACTTACAACTCTCATGGCTGACTGGAAAAACATATCTGAAAATCAAAATTCACGAGGGCTTTGGTTACTCTATAGATAAAATTTCCTACTTTCACGTGACATTAATAAAATTCCTGGCAATACTTCTACTAACGTGTAAGATAAACCTAAAGAAATACAAACTGAAGCTGAGAGGAAGTATACAGCAAAGTGCTACAGGCATTTTGGCTTTCTCAGAATAATCACCCAAAAGATTACTAACCTAAATTAAACCCTGTCCTTGCAACAAGGCCTTTGAGAACTGACAGGAAAACAAGCTCTCTGTACATACCATCGTCCGGGTCCTGTGGGGTAAATTTCTTCCCCATTAATTCATTCATGATATCATAGATCACAAGGGATGATCTTTTTGGAGGGCTTTCTGCAGAACAAGCAAACAGGTTTCACCATCAGCCCACTCCCAGTGGAGACTTTCCCCTTCCTTCTTAGTCCTTCACAGCGCAACACCGATTAAAGTGGAGTGAGACAGTCACACCCAAAAGGACACCCTCACCAAGGGTACGTGCTTAGGAAAACAAACATTCTGTGTTCCTTTTAAGAATAATCAGGATGAGCAGAAGTCCAAAGAAAAAGAAAACTACAATTAATGGATGTGGGCAGTCCCTTAAAATCACATGACCTGAGTACTAATAGATCAGAAAATGTACCAATACAGGTGTAATATTTGCAAATATATGACACTCTTTATCCACATCACCTTCCTTACGTTATCCACATGCAAGTGATAAGTTTTTTAAAAACAACATAGGTGTATTTTTATAACTTTCTCAAGCATGTTTCCATTTGCTAACAATCTTAAGTACTGTATGTGTTATGTGACAATATATTTTGCATGTCTTATTTTTTCATTATTTTAGGCTTTCTCCTTTGGGTATATTCCTAGAAACTGTTACTGTAGGCAGCAATTTATATACATAAGACAAACTGGGGAAAAAAGAAGATCGACACTCCTCCCTGGTCATGGGTGTTGCTTAGGAAGCATAAGTACCATCGATTTTGGTTAGTTAGCAAGAGAACCAATGCAACATGTGATAGTGCAGGGGAGCTAAGAGGCTCTGGAGGCAGTTCCACTATAATGTTACCAAGGTAAAATTTTAAAAGATACGGTTATTATGGAAACTGTTTACCTGTTCCCAAGATAAAGTCAGTCACCTGTTCCACCCACCCTAAAAGATACCAAATTTCCTTATAGGTGACGATGTAGATTTTGTAAAATTAGCCCTCCAAAATACAATCAAGTTCTGTTGTTTTTATATATAAAGTCTATTGTAGGGAAGAAGGACCAGAGTTGTCATTTCTAAACCCAGCCGATTCTTTCTCAGGTTGGGGCAAACCAGTAAGAACCAACAGACACAGTGCTTACTGTGTGCCTCCCAAGCATGGGAAAAGACACTGTGCATAATTCATTTAATCATTACACACTGACAGTATTACTCGAGTAAGGTATCCAGTCCCATCTGACAGAGCTGGTAAATGGTAGAGGGGAAATTTCAACTCAGGTGTGCCTTGCTCCAAAGTCCATTCAACGGAGCACAGCTCCCAACAGGGACTGGCTGACCTAAAAGTAGGTGACAAATGTAGCCTCAAGGTTCTCCCACAAGACTTCAAAATAAGATCAAGGTTACTGTGGGATAGCACTGTCCAACAACTTCCTGCAAAGATGAAAATATTCCGTATCTGTATTACTGAGCAAACGAGCCAGCAGTCCCATGTGGCTACTGAGCACTGATGCAACAATGGGATTTTATATTTTATTTAATTTTAATTAAACAGCCACACGTGCTAGTGGCTATTAACTGGAGAGCAAAAGGAACTTCCAACTGAAGTACCTTCTGATCAGTTCTTTCTTTTCTAAAAATTTATTGATATGAGAGGGAGGGAAAGAGTGGTGGTGAGAGAGAGATACACAAAGAGAAAAACATCAGTTAGTTGTTTCATTTATCTACACAATCATTGGTTGATTCTTGCATGTGCCGGGACCTGGGAAGGAGCCCCCAACCTTGGCGCATTGGGAAGACCGAGGCACACGGCCAGGCCAGTCGTCCCTAATCATACACCAACACCGTGAGCACATTTAATGGCCCCCCAGCCCCCCGCTGTTTCACATCACTAAGTTACTACTTTCAAGGATAAATTTTTGCTCAAATTGTGGATACATCAGTGAATTCTCTTTTCTTAATTCATATGCATGAGGAGTGCTGGGTCAATTTTCTGCATAAATTAAAGAACATAATGTCATACATACCGTGTTGATAAAACAGCTGAATAATATAGTGATACGTTGCAAGTGAGGGTTCTCAAATTATCAGGTACATAGAAAAAAAAAAATAAAAATAACTCAAACACAGGTATCCAAAATATAGGTTACTGAGGCACAATGAACTAAAAACATGTTGATGCTGATATTTAAATGAAATATGATACATGTCTACTATTCCTTTGAACAAAGACATTTCCCAACTGATCTGATTGAAGTAAAGGAGGAAAGCCCAGACATCTATTACGAAAATGTTATGCCTAATGTACTTGTATTAGGACCCTTTATTTAAGAACACTAAAGCACACCAATGTGAACTGATTCCCAAAACAACCTTCACTAAAGTTATTACTGAAAATATACAACACATCAGTACAAACTTAGGTTCTTACCTAATTATGCTAAAAAATGTCATGGGATTTAAAACTTGCTAACTGTAAGTGAATAATTCTCCCCTGAATCAAGAGATCCATAAGAAAAGTACTTAAAATACTAAAAGAACGTTGTGGTTTGCTCTAAGAACATGAAGATAATAAAGGCTCCCAATGCATAGTAACTGCATGTGCCAAGTGGAAAGGAAATTCTCAACGTATTATGTAAATAGGGAAAAAGAATTTACACTTTCTTTTTTTCTTGTCTGGACCTGAAACTTCCGGTCAGCACTGTTTTGGTCTTCAGCGAGGGGCACTAGGATGCATCCTTACCTATTCCAATGGCTTTCATTTCACGCAAAGTCTGCAAGGCTGGCAATTTCCCAAATGCATAAAATCTTCGCAGACATTTCAGAATGGTATTAAAAGTCTGCAGATTTGGTTTCACCTTCTGTGCAGTCATTTGTTTCAGAAGCTCCTAATTAAATTAAGAGCAGGAAGTGTTTTTTTAAGCCTGGGTAGATAATTTGTCCAGTAAACAAATAAACGAAAAAAGAATTTGGCTCTCTCGCTATATCTAAAGCAGGTTAATATATCCCTAATTTAAAAATTAACTATTAGTAGGACCAGTGACTTTGCCTTTTGGAGAAGGCCCTCCATTCAGCTGCCCCACCTGCACCTGAGCAAGGTATCTGTCTCTAGCCCTCTCTCTGCCTAGTGTCTGAGACTTAAAACCGAAGAGCAGACTAAAATGGACTGTGCATTTTTCCTTTTTTAAATCAACTGTATGGTATAAAACATGTTTGTATTTCTAAGTTACTTCAATCCAGCAATGTCAATTTTATTAAAACTCTCCAGATAACACTTTTTCAGTAAGTATCCATTATTTTGTAATAAAAAACCTCTTATGATATTATGAGAAATAAATGAATAAAGCAACCCAATCTCCCTAAATTCTCACTGTATGCTTTGGGCCAAGAAGCTTTCTTCTCATGTGTCGGACTGTTTCGATTACCGGGTTGCCGGAAGGGCACAGACAGGCAGCCACCATCTGAGACCCCACCACAGTGACTGCTATGAAGATGTTCGGTGGATGCTGTCTCCATCCCATGCATTTCTAGCAAAAGGTATTTTAGGCCCATTAAACGACGAAATGAAGGTTCCTCCTTACCAAAATATGACTCCATTTTTCGTCAAATTTCTCATTTGTCATTGCTGTTGCTTCAATCAATGAATTGAAGGTGTGTACGTCGGCTGTAAAAGAACAGAACTACTTTTAAAAAATTTGGGATTGAAGATTAACCCCCAAATGACTCACTTTAAGGTAAAGTGATCATGCACATGTGACTCCAAGCTCATTTCGACATGTCCGCAAAAGTAGAAACCACTTTTTGTATTGCTACTCCTGTTTCAATCATCAATATCACAGGAAAAGGTGAAAAGTGAGGCAATGATCGAGGCAAGATCCAAAGATTTTACAGATTCTTGAGAGGAGAGAAGAGAGTTCACCAAACACACTTACCATGGAGCCTGTTGTTTAATAATTCAATGTACAAGTTTAATGCCTGCACAGGAGCTCGGTGCTGGAAGAGGGAACAGATAAAAATAAAACACCATCAAATATGTCCCCCTAAGAAATATTTGCACGTCTCCTGCCCTAAAGTTTGGGAACACAGTGGTGAACAACGCAGACATGGTTCTAGCTCTCGTGAAACTCATGCTCTAGAGCGGTGGTTCTTTAGAAGGGGCAATCTGCTTCCAGGTGACACCTGGATGAGGCATGTAGACGTCTGTAGTTCTCACGAGTGAGGGGGCGGGGGAAGGGTACCCCTGGCATGCAGAGGGCAGAGGCCAGGGGGCTCCTAAACGCTCTATGGTAACGCAAGGGACGGCTCCCACAACTGATTCTCTGGCCCAACTGTCAACAGTTCTGAATGAAGAAACCCTGATTTATAGTGGAAACTAAAGATAAAAATATAAAAACAAAACAAATGTTACCTTCACCATTCCTCGGATCATTGTGCAGTAGGAATGTGCGTTTTTCTCTGGCATTAGAGCAAAGATTCTCTCAGCATTGTTTTTTGCTCTAGACACAAGAGAGTAAGTATGAACCAAGGGAGAAAGGAAAAGCAAACAATTTACTGAGAGTTTACAACACTCTGGCACTATGCCAAGCACCTTATGCATATAATTTCAAATAATTCTTACCACCCAGAGAGGGAGCTATGGTTAGCACTATCTTGAAAATGAGAAGAACTGAGGCTCAAAGACTAACTTATCCATGGCTTTGCAGGTAATTGGCAGAACCGGGACCAAAAAGGGTCACAAAAGGTAGCCATGTGCTGCCTAATGACATCCCGGTTATCAGTAGATGGCATACATGACAGTGGTCTCAAAAGATCAGAATGGAGCTGAGAAGAATCCCACTGCCCAGTGACACTGCTGCTGTGTCTGCGGTGGGGCTGGGGGACCAGCCCACCGTGCTGCCAGCGAGTACAGCGCACACACATCCAGCAGGGCCTTCCCCACCTGGGTCCAGGTTAGAAAGTGCACTCTGATGTTTGCACAAGGATGAACTCACCGAACGAGGTATTTCTCTGAATGTATCTCATTGCTAAGTGGGATGTGACTGTATACTCAAGGTGTTAAATAAAAAGCAACCTGAAGAACACTGCCCACTGCAAAGTTTCCCCATCTTCCCTCGCCAGATACAATTCCCCAGACGCAACCACAAACAAGCAACTTTTCCTGAATCTTCAGTCCATTATGGCACGTGTATGTGTCATATCCTACCTAGTGTATCTATTCTTTCTTAAAAAAAATAAAATAAAATAAGGGTACCATGTTATACAAACTATGCCATACCTCAATCCTCCCTCTTATCAATGTCTCAGAAATCAAGAGAACCAGGCCTTGAGCCAGGATGGCATTGCAAAGTCCATACTCTTAATTACTCTGTGAATTACTACATCTATTTAAGGCCTATTAAACGACAAATTCAATTTATCACTTCAAAAGAGCCTTTAGCTATTAATGATAGCTTTCCTTCCTCAGACATCCACATAAAATACCTTTCTTTTATGTAGACCCTGGCATTCAGTCAATTTAAATTCTCAAATGTTAAATGCTACCCACCTTTTGTTTGGAAGTGCTGAACTACATTTTAATATAGGTGTATTCCTGTACACAAAAGTATCGAATCTTTCAAAATTAGGTCTATGCTGCAAGGCGGAACTACTGATGACCTAACGAAAGAACCACACTCTGTGAAGGGCACATGGAGTAAGTGGGGTGAAGGTGGGGGATCAAGTGCGAATGTTACGCTGCTGGTTACAACTAAAGATCTTATGAAAATAAATCCAAAGGCACACAAACACCAACTGGGACACCTATATTACCACTAAAAACATTATTTTAGAACATTAAAGGATCATTACCTTCTTGGGGAGGGGGGTAATGGAAAACATATCATATGCCGTAGAAAATGTAACACGAACTTCTAATTATAAGCAACATACCTCCAAGTAACTCCAAGCTGTTGCCCAGCCTTCTTCTTAGATTTCTCAGTATTTTCCTCTGTGGCCTCTTCCTGAAATGAACCATTATCAACAGAAATAAAACAAAAGATGACAGCAAACTTCATTCTCCTAATTAGACTACTCAAAATCAGAAAGGCAAAAGAAATGGCAGAAAAATGGAAGAAATACAGACCCAGCAGGAGGTGAGGAGAAAACCCAGTAATATTAAGCATGTTAATTTCTTAAGCATAAGTCAGTTCATTTACACATGAAAAGTAATGCTGGCCCTTAAATCGACTGTGCCCTGTGTGCAGCCCAGACACAGAAACTGGAAACCCAAACACCACAGCCTGTTTCCTCAGAAACTACACCTGGGTTGATCCATACCAAAATATTGTTCATTGTTAGGGTGAAAGCAAGAGAAAACTACACCAGGGTACGGAACATAGTTAATGCCTAATGCTAACCCAACACAGCTAAAAAAATTTTTATCAGACTATATTTGTCCTTTATTCTAAATGAAGCTCTGAGGTGAGGCTCATGTAAAGCAAGACAGGCTCAGTTAGAACTACACAGCTCAGTGCTGGCTCTGTAGCTGGGGCTGGAAGGGCAGAGGGCCAGCCAGGCCAGGGAACCTAGAAGACACTCTGGAAGCCAAGGTGTGACTGCAACCCGCTGCCTACACACTTTAGAAATAATCCACATTAAATGTTGAGAACCATCCCGCCTGGTTTCAGGAATGGTAGCCTTGCCAACAGGTAAGAGGGCCCCAAGGCTGGAGCTGAGCAAGGAGGCCTTGGGAAAATAGGCCACGGAGGAGACAAAACCTGTCCCCCTGGCAGGGGCACAGCCCCTTCCTCCCTCCCATCACCCTGCCTGGCCCCGGAGGATGGCTGGTTAGTCAATGATGGGTAAGACCCCTCAATGGCAGGGGCAGCCTAAGACAGGCACAGTGGCATGGGGGCCATCAGGGAAGGACTTGGGGACACAGAGAAGGGGCAAAAGAACCTCACCCCTTCGCTTTGTCATGGCCAACGTCCTCATTCTGTGTGAAAGATGTCTCCTCCTCTCTTGGCTGCTCTGCTCCCCCCATCTGACTCAGGCTTGAAACAATGCTAGAGGCAGGCACAGCCCTAAACTGGATCAGGTGATTAGGTCTGATCCAGGGGGAAATGAGGCCTGGAAAAGGAATGCATTAAATCCTATGAAACCGGCTTTGCTAAGAATGCCCTTGAGTTGATGAGTACTGGTGTTTGGGGTCTGAGCAGAGGATGAGTTTATTTTCCCAGGTTTTAGGGCAGAATGGGCATCACTCTGTCTACCAGACCCTGACTCTGACTCTTGTAATCCCTTTACAAGAGTCTTGTGGTTTATCGTTAAACCACATCTCCTTCCTTTAATCTTTGCTGTTTAACATTGATTGAGGAGCTTTATGTGCATCCTATGTATTCCTATACAAGCTAAGCTCGATAAAAGCTCAAGGAAAAAGGTGCTTGGGGCTCTTCTCCTCTGAGAGATTAACCAGCCTTTCCCCCCCAAGCAAATCTTGCGTTGCGCATTCTCATTTCATCTGCAACACTGCGGGACACCATGGGATGGAGCTCCCCTTAAATTTAGCCCTGGCTGGTATGGCTCCGCAGACTGAGTGCCAACCTGCAAACCAAACGGTTGCTGGTTCAGTTCCCAGTCAAGGTATATGCCTGGGTTGCGGGCCAGGTCTGCAGTGCGGGACATGTGAGAGGCAACCACACAGTAATGTTTCTCTCCCCGCCCACTCTAAAAAGTAGATAAATAAAATCTTAAAAAAAAAAAAAAAAAAACCCCAAAAGAATTTATTAGAAAAAATCCATATTTAGTGGACAGAAATGGAAAAGACAAACTCCCTTCACCCACAGAGAAATGCTTAATTTTTGATATGATTTTTTTCCTTATGCACATGAAAACTTTTTAAGAAAAATGGAATACATGTTGTTGCCTAGCCTATTCTACTTAGCAATTATTTTTCCATACCCAAACAGACCTACACTAGTACTCTCAATCACCACTAACACTAACACCATAATTCAGCCACTAACTACTGAACATGTAGTTTGTTTTCAACATTTTTGCAATTATAGGTATTAATACATTATGAAAAATGTCATATGGTCATACCTCGGTACTCATCAGCTTCAGAACTCATCAAACCCTGTACCCGTCACATTTTGATGAGGAAAAAAATGTATCAGCACTCGGTACTTGCTTAGGGCTTGTTGCACTTACTAGAACTTGTATGAGTCACACTACCACCCCGCAAGAGAAAACACTTCATCATTCGGAACTCATCATTAGTTCCAGAATGAATTAATGACGAGTGCCACCAGTGTACCACTATACATACATCTTTGTTCAAGTGAGCCAAAGGTTGCCTTGAGATCTTTTTCTGGAAGTCAAACGCTTGGGTTGAGAGAGGCTAATGACTCAGTAACAAGAGGCCAGCCTCCAGCACGTGTTCTATGTCCCCAGCGGAGCGAGCCCACTCCTATGAGAGTCTGCGAGGGGCCTGTGGCCAGGTCTTTCCCTGTGTGCATATATCATACCATCACTGTAATTAACCACCTAAGAGTTTGCAAATGTTTCTGGTCAATGCTTTGCCTGCATGTGGTAGAGACAAGGTCAAAACATTTTTAAAGGAAGGGTTCAAATAATTGTTTAAATCTCTCCCTTCCTCTGCACCACTTTTTTTTAAAATCAAGCACTGCACCATACATTTCAGAACAAACCTCTACCACATAGCACATGACACAAAAACCTGCCTTACTTTGAGGTGTTACTACCAAAAGAAACTTTAAAAGCCATTACCAACTCTTCTGATTTTTCATTTTGTTGAAAATGATAATCAGCTGGAGGCTCTTGGTCACCATAGTAACACAATAAATCCAAGAGACTATTAGTTGTTTCCAGAGATACAGTGGTTCCTGTGAGTAGAAGAGAAAAAGGGAAAGAAAGTTTGAAACATCAAAGAACTAAAGCCCATTAGATTAAAATTCTTCACTTTTTCTATGAGCTGTGGCTTTCTTGGCCACTATTTAGTATCATCCACCATGTTAACAATAAATACATTTCACATCAACTTAAGACACCTAGAATGATACAGACAGGGACAATCCCTACTAACCATGTGGTGTGACTAAAAGGTTAAGATACAAGATGAAGTTTGACCCTGTGCTCACTTATTTTTGGTACTCATATCCCCAGAGAAACTATGTCATGGTTTCTAACTACCATCTGCCAAATGACCCCCTCAATTATTGCCACTTAGTTCCCTGGCCCAGTCCCATTTCTACAAACGCAAAGAGAACTATTCTACTTGGATCCAGGCTGTCACTGAAATACTTCACCAGAAACACTAGCACAAATGTCTAATTGTAATAGCCTCTTAAAAATTGTTGCTCAAAACATTATGCTCCCATCTTGACAATTAAGGAGACAAAGAAACAGAAAGATGTATGAAATATAATATACCAGTAAAAAAAAATAACTATTTTTCTGTCCTAGCTGGTGTGGCTCAGTGGACTGAGTGCTGGCCTGCGAACCATAAGGTCATGGGTTCAATTCCCAGTCAGGGCACATGCCTGGGTTGCGGGCTAGGTCCCCAGATAGGGGCATGTGACAGACAATCAATGTTTCTCTCCCTCTCTCTAAAATAAATGAAATCTTTAAAAAAAACAACAAAACAGTGTTTTTCTAAGAAAATATACTGATAATAAAAATGTCCTGGAAGTTTAAAAGTTCTGAAAAGTGAGCAGAGTGGAGAGGACACAGGCTACAGAGTGTTATCTGACTGGGTCTTACTATTACAGAGCTGTGTGACCCTGAAATATTACTTAATCAGTTAATGTTAACTAAATATTAATACATATATAATATAAAGCCTATTACATAATTATAGATTATATAATAGAAATAGAAATTACAGAATATACGATTATATAATGATATAAAATATAAACATTAATATCAACTAAAAATTACTTAATTTTTCCTTTATAAGATGACTACACAACACAGCAATTCATAGATGTTATAAAATTAAAATAAGTAGGTGAAATGACTTGCAAAGTGCTTGGCACTTAGTAGTTTGATCCCTAAATTTTCTATGATCCCTTCCCAGTATGTTGGCTCATTCTGTTACTAGGAGGTTTGGGTTTGACATAATGTCTTTAGAAACGTTGACTGAATGTCTGCATGTCCCTATACCACATTGTATAAAACTAGAGGAAGGCAAGTCTTTGCACTATGAACAAAACTTTAATACAGACTTAGCAGATATTTGTTAAATTCAAGAGGCAGAGGGAAAAACCTCCCTAAATGATCGTCTGCACCAGCAATTCATTTGTTCATCCAACGCTGTAACAGGCTACATACCCAAATTCTCAGATCAAACACAGCTTTCTACCAGTGTTTCTAGTATTCAAGACCATACTGATTCAGTACAGTTTCTATCTCTTCTGTTTGATTCTTATACGGAAACACTAAACAGTACTTCAGGCTCCATAAACTTAAAACAATCTACCCCCAGAGGTTCATCCATCCAGATCAAATCAGAGAGCCACAGAATTTTAGAGAGAGAGAGAGAAGCTGTCAGGAATCAAGTGACGTTTTTAAGACCACAGAGCTAATTAGTGTCAGGACCAGGACCTGTATTCAAGCCTCTGATCCAACAGTTTACTGCTCTTTCCTTTTTAAATATTTCTTGTCTGTTTTTTATCTCCCAAACATACTTAAAAAGTACAGGAAATTCAAATATAGTATGTACACCACTTAAGTTAGAAGCAGAAGCTAAGGCCTTGGCCAGGGAGCTCAGCTGGTTAGCGCACTGTCCTGATAGGGCCAAGGTTGCGGGTTCAAACCCCAGTCAGGGCCATACAAGAGACGACCAATGAATGCGTAAGTGGAACAACAAATCAGTGCGTCTCTCTAAAAAAAATAAAAACAAACAAACCAGGAAAGCTAAGGAGAATTAACTATATAAATTCTCTACCTGTGATACAGCACAAGTGAACAATAAACTAACATGACTGCAACTTTATTTCACCTACAATTTTAAAGTGAGACTAAAGCAGAACTTGAAATATTATTCATTAAACTACTAAAAATATAAACACAGCCATCAAGTACCATATGTACAGTAACACTTGTAACTTTTATTCAGTTATTGGGGTCTATTAGCCATGGCCCACTTCTAAACGCATGTGTTTCTAGGGCTTAGTCACCTGCTTGCAATAGCTGATCAAACATGTCCACTGAAGCTTTGACTTTTTTAAGATTGATTCGTTCCTTCAGGGCGGCTTCACTTATATCTTCAATTTGAGGTTCAAAGCACTCAGGCATTAAACACTAGGAAAACAAGATGGCTGAAGTTACTACAAACAGGTAAAGGTGAAAAGATAATGGAGGAGGACAAAATTTTTATCACCAACAAACCAAAATAAAATGTCACTGTTCCAATTCATGTTTCACGTACCAAATACTATTACCATTTTAACATGAATGTCTTTATAGAAAATAAAACTTCTAAAAAGTGTTAAAAAAAAAAAAAAAAAGACAACAATCTAGTGCCTGGAACATGACTATTTAGCTATCTCCTAGGTTGGGGAAAAAAATTTTAAACCACCCAAACATAAGTATCTAATCCATATCTGAAGAATCCTACTTCCAACTAAATTTTCCAACTTGAAGCTGAACTTATCTTCCCTTCCTAAAACCATCCTTTCTCCTTTGCTCCCAATCCTGGTTAAGAGTCAGGTCATACCTGGCTTTCAAAGGCAGAAACCTTTCATCCTTGATACTTTCTTTTACTCTAAATATTTATCATGAAGGTAGGCTGATTTGACCTCATTCAGTAATTTATTCAAATACTTGTGAATGCCAGCTACTGGGGATATAGAGATGAAAGTCATTCTCTACCCTCAAGGTGCTCACTATCTAATGGAGAAAGGAAATAAGGAATTAACTATGATGCACTGTGAATGGTAAATGACATAAGAGATCTCAGATGCGTGGGAATGCTGCCTGCCGTGGAGGCAGGGGACCATGGAAGGCTTCAAGCAAAAGTGAGCTAAGCACAGAAGAGTAACTGTAAGTCAAAAACATAACGGGGAAAGGGTGAGCCAACAAATGATCCTTCCCTAGCTGCCACTGTCTTGGGAGGATTTCAGCTGCTTCAGCTTCCTCATTTGTCTTTAGGAGGGGCTGCTTGAAAAGCAGGAGAGCTGTGACTGGGGATGTGTGTTTTGAGAAGTGCTTTTGGTTATAATGAGTCTGAGCTTATATTTCTACTAAAAAACTCAGGAGGACAGAAGCACATCTGTTTTGCTCACCACTATAATAACACTAAGCACAATGTCTAACATCCAGCAGACAGGCACTGCACACACACTCACTCTTCATGACTACAGAACAAGGAGGTAGTTGAAAACACAATTTGGAGGTCAACGTAGAGGGACATAGGCCAGATACACAAGAATGCCAAATGGAGTACAAGGGTTGAAGCAAAAAGAGTGCAGATAGGAAAAACAGAAAATGACTTAGCATGGAAACCTAAGAAAAACATCAATGCTAGCTAAGGAGTAGATGGAAAAGCTACTGAAGGAAACGGAAAGGAACAGTCATATAGGTAAAGATCTAAGAGTCAGGTGTCATAGAAGCCAAATGGGGAAAATAAGATGAGGAGCAAATACATACAAAAGGAGTTTAAAAAAAAAAGGTTAGTACTGTGAGCACATATAACTGTACACTAAAAGACTTTTTAACCAAATATTGAGGGCATGCAAATGGCTACTCAAATATTAGGCATGAAAACCTCATCTAATTTACATTTATATACTATTATCTGAAAATTGCAATTACTTCTCCTTACCGGTATATGAGGTTCAGCTATGTCCTTCTGAAAATATTTGGGATGTAAATTAATGATAAACTTTGCTGCATTCTCCCCAGACTTCTTTGCCAATAAAAACGAACGCTATATAAAGGGAAAAAAGTTCAGATATAAATTGGTATTTATATATAATTTAAATTTAAGAACTCAAAGTTACATGCTTGGAAAGAATCATTAGTCTCCCCCTTAAAAAGGAGCAACAACCTGGCTGGTGTGGCTCAGCTGGTTGGAGCATTGTCCCATAAACCGAAAGGTTGTGAGTTCCATTCCCAGTTAGGGCACATGCCTGGGTTGCGGGTTCAGCCCCAGGCCAGGAGGCGTACAAAGGCAACCAATCAATGTTTCTCTCTTGCATGGATGCTTCTCTTCCTATCTCTCACTCCTGTCCCTTCTCTCTGAAAATCAGTGAGCAAGTCCTCAGGTGAGGAAGAAGGGAAGGAAAAAAAAAAATGGAACGCAAAAATACAGACTCCCAATTAGAAGTTAAATTACTTATGTCCACCTCTGCTGAGTGTGACATAATTGCAGGCCATGTCTCATGTATATATACCCGCGCATGCGTGCGTGCGTGCGTGTGGGTGTGTGGAGAAAGAGAGGGAGGTACATAAAAACAATGCATTAAACTGAGTGGATTGCGCCAGTGGGAAAGGGCCTTAAATGTTAAAAACCAAAACCAACCCCCTGTCCCAACTAATCTCTAAAACTTTTTGATGAAAGTAGTAAAGGATTCAAAAGTTTACCAATTTAGGTTTTTACAACTAAGTTAAATACACATGCAGTCTTGTACCAAAATCCACAAGATAAAACGTAATAGTAGAAAAATCACATGAAACTACTCACTGATTCCACAGAGGATGTTGGTATAAGGTAAGGATCATCGTGAAATGCATAAGGGGCAGCTGTGGTATCCTGTAGAGAAGAAACAGAAGTCTCTTTAGCTAGATTTTTATTAAGAGGATCATGTGAGTTTCAGGGATGTCCAAAGTGTCTAGAAAATAAAGTTCAATTACGTATGTAATACATAATGCAGAAATATGTACATATACATTTGTGTATTATGTGTATGGATATAAGGCATATATTTATGTCTATATTTATATCTATCTAGAGAGAGACACTAACACGTAATGTTCTCTCAGCTCCGTAAGACGTCATTATAATCACGCACAACTTAGAGAAAACAATTGTTCAAACCCCCATGACTGCTTCTTAAGACTTGCGTCTGCTATTAATAGGGACTATAATTGGTTTAAACTCTATGTAAAGATCCTCTGAATTAACTAGTCTGGGCACCAGTTTCCTTCAAAGCATGGTCATTAAACTAGGCCTTCTCAGGTGGTGGGAATAAGCAACAGCTTCTGTGTGTCCTCCTGTCCAAGGTTTTCAACTTCCTTCCACTCCAGCACCATCAGAGGCTCACTCAGAACTGCCCCCAGGCTACTTCCACTATTCCGCTCCCCTCCCCCAGAGCACCCTTTCCCAGGCCTGATGGAACCTTTGTTCCGGAGACAACTATTCACCCTACAATCTGAATCTCTTCTGACTGTCCCGATGCCTTGTCTTGCAGACATAGACTCTCTGAGGGCTGGGGTAGGAGGAGCTGGAGAACTTCCCTGCAGCTCTTGGTGGAAGAAGACTGTTCATGCGACGGGTCTGGAGGCAGGACTTCCGGAGGTCCTTGCTTCCTGCTCACTTTCAAAACCCATAATTCCTTCATCCTCCTCCTAGTAACGCACATTTCATCGGGCCATGCCGCCCCACCACGATGAGGCAGGCATGCAACGGCAAACCAGAGGCAGCAGTTCTAGGCCAGCTGCCTGGGACCATTCTCCGATCACATGTACACTGGCGCCTGGCTCTGGCTCTGATCCTTTCCAGAAATGTTTTAAAATACATGCTCAGGGTCTCTAGTTTGGGTGACATGCTCAATGTCTTTTTAACTTTTTAGGCTTACTCTTCCTATTTGTCTCTGAATTTCCCTCCCCCAGTGACTTCCAAGTCCTCATGATCTCTGAGAAACAACCCCACTCTGGCTGTGTAGCTCATATGCCTCAAACCAGACTTACCCCCAAACTGAACTTCCCTGACATAGTTACCCTCACTGATCCTAAAACCTCCTTCCACTACTTCCATTCAACTCACCTGTCAGCAGGCTCCCTAGTACCCCATTGCCGCTGCCTTAGTTCAGTGCCTTCCTTATTCATTCATTCAGTATTTATTGAGAACCTCATGTGTGCCCGGCATTATTCTACCGGAAATGATAAAACTCTCACTTTCATAGAGCTTACAATCTAGTGGGGGGAAAAATCTCCAGAAAGTAGACAAAATAATAAAATATATACAGAATATTCAAAGTAGATTAACTGTTATGCAGAAAAATGATATGCAGGGATAAGGAAGTTATCAGAAAATTTTAAATGGGGTGGTCGAGGAGGCCTTGCTGAACAGGTAATATTTAAGCAAAGACTTCAAGAAACTAGAAAGCAAGTTATGTGAATATCTCAGGAAAAAAATATTCCAGGCAGAAGGAACAGTAAATATTAAGGTCCTGAGGCAGATGCATGCCTGCTGAGAAACTGAGAATTGGCCAGGAGGCTACTATGGTCAGAGCAGAGCAAACGAGGAGGTCATGTGGTCAGAGGTAACACACAGGGGGAATCTCTAGGAGCCCTCGTATGGACTTCGGTTTTTATCCCGATTATGAGTTCTTTGCAGAGTGTTGTGGCCTGCCATTTCAGCAGGGTCACTACGGCTTTTTAACTGAGGACAGTCAGTAGGGGGCTGAGGAAGTGAAGGAAAGGAACAGAGACTGTATTAATTAGTCCAGGATATTAGAAGATGACGGTGGCATAGATGATCAAGGTAATCATGGTGATGGCGAGCGTTTGGAACCTGGGTACTGTGTAGAAAAGAATTATGAGGCCTGAGACTGCTATTCTTAGAAACTGCTATTCTTAGAAAGATCTACCTGCAAGGCTGGTGGTCCTGGGCTGACATCTGGGACCTTGGATTTCGGAAGGGTTTCCATCATTCCCAGGACTGGTAAGAATGGGTCACTGTGCCTGAAATGTTTGTACAATGCAGTTTATGCTGAATTTATTTTCCTTCTGGGAGTCTGGAATTTGGAATGTGCCAGGCAGAGCTGCCTAAATGACCAGCCTCCAAAGCACTCTTGGCACCGAGTCCCTAATTGGCTTTCCTGAGAGACACCCCACACATGCCATCAGAGCTCCGCCGGAGGCCACTGAACTAAGCAAATCCTGGGCTGACGCTGCAGGGAAAAGACTCTCGGAAGTTTGCACATGGTGTCCTCTGTTCTTTATCCCAAGTGTCTTTCCCTTTGCTGATGTGGCTTTGTGTCCTTTAGCTGTAATAAAACATGGGCTGTAGAATTATATTCTAGTTCCTCCAAGTCCTCCTAGCACTTCATCGAAGTAGGACTGTCTTGGGGACTCCACTCACATATATTCTGAGGGAAGAAGCAAAGGATTTACTGAAGTCCAGCCTAAGAGACAGAGGAACCAAAGATGTCTCCCAGGATTTTGGCTTGAGAGACTATAAAGATGGAGCTGCCATTAACAAGATGGCAAAGAAATATGTGAGGTGGTTTGGAGGGAAAGGGGTCTGGTTTTGGACATGTTAAGATATTTATCATACATTCAAGTGGAAAGGTTTCCCATCTTTACATTGCTATCTTTTCTAAAATTTGCCTGATGCCTCACCACTACTTAAAACTCCTCAATGGACTTGGATAAAAACCAGAAGTCACTAGATCAGCATTCATGATTTTGCCTCATCCTTCTACCACACAAATCCTTAATTCCCTCCAGAGTCCTCATTCCATGCCTTTGACCCTCTGTTCATGGTGCTGCCTCTGCCAATACTGTATCCTTGCGGACATCTATCCAATTACCAGCTCTTCTGGAAATCCGTTTCCATCTTGGTTCTGTACACCCCGCTCAGTGCTCCTTCAGCTTTCCTCTCTAGGAACCACGCAAGGACTGTATCCTAATTCTACAACCACGAGCACAGTGCTTAGTGAGCACCATGAGGGTCGAATATGCGGTTACTGAACAAATAAAGGACTGTGCCTTAGATTTTAAGGATCCAAAGCCAGACAGTTGTAAACACAATTCTACAACTTCTTCTGGGCCATTCTCATTGAAAAACTAAGAATGCTCTCAGAGGCCCATTTCTCTAGTTCACATTTCAGGTGTTTTTTTATGGTGAGTGCTTGAAAATCTCAATCTTTGGCTAGGGCAGAAATGCAGTCTTTAAAACCCTTCCTCAGAAACTGCAAGGGTGTATCAGTGTATATTTGGCCCAATACCCTATTAGATTTAATATCAGAAATAGAAGAACAATTCTGGAAATCTGTGCTAATGGCCTTAAGGAGGGTCAGTATCCACACAGGTATTGCAGCAAAAGAAAGAACTTAATTATTTGACATTTCTCCATAGATGAAATGAAAAATACAGTTTCCAGCTAATGAAAAATATAATCAGAAAGTTCCATTTGTGAGGCATTTACCAAGGTTTCAGTTTCTCTATCAGACTTGCTGTCTGATAGAGCCAATTATTAAAAGATGAATCACTAAGACAGTTGTAAGAATAAAATAGCTAGCATTCACTGAGCATTTCCTTTGTGAGAAGTACTGTCCTAAACTCTTTGACATGTACTAACTTATTTCCCACCAAAACTTTCAGATGTGGTGCTATAATTAATCCTCATTTTATAGATAAGGGAACAGAAGCACCAAGAGGTAAAGTAATTTTGTGATAAAGATCACAGGCTAGCTTCTCTGGCTCTTTAATCACTTTATTATTTCCAGCACGGTAGATACACTACACCTCAGCTTGTCTACAGGTGACATGCATTATACTCCCAAACCATCCCCTAGACACATGTATTTCAACGAGCTCTTTAGAGGAGTAGGTTCAACAATTAACTGGTATAACATAAAACAATAAATTTGGAGACAAAAGATATGGAACTAAGTTAAGGTTTTAACATCCTAACTAGCCCTGAGTCAGAAAAATTAAAAGCTTTATATTCCTCATTTGTCACATGAAGAGACTGGATTAGATAATTTCTAAATAAACTTTCTAGGTTCATAACAGTTTACTTGTGAATAATAAAGAGGTATAAATATTAAATGTTATCAGCTGAGTTAGATAAACTAAAATTCCTACTTACCCTGTTTACCGTCGATGCAAGTGCCTGAAGAACAGCCACTTTGTCCCTAAGAACGAGAATCACAAGTTAAGCCTCACCAAGGCTTTTCATACTCACAAAATGAACCAGTGATTCTACTCTCAGATGAACTGGCCAATAACAAAGTTCAGGTCTCAACTACAGCCAATTCTTGTATGTCAACCTCATTAAAATAAGAGAAATTGTCTAGTTCTTTTGCCTAGAGGTGGCAAGTTCATGTTCCTACTATGCTTTGCCTACCCCCTGCACCTACTCTGAAACCATCACCCAGGGCTAGGGACTTCTACCCTCGTATCATACAACTGTGTCCATCTGAATCTTATTTCCTCCCGTCCACTTTCCTACGCATTTTTACTGTAGCTTTCTGAGTCCTCTTGCCTTCATTATCTAAATTGGTAGCTCTTATTTCAGCTGGGTATGAGAATAAATCATATCCTGTACTCCAGACCTACTGACAGAACTGTCACACACATTACTACTGAATTCCCAGATGACTCTGATGCATCCTCCTCGTTTGGAGCAAACGTCTCAACTATATAACCTTTCTCTGACCGGTGTGGTTCAGTTGGCTGGGCATCGTCCCACAAAGTGAAAGGTCGCTGGTTTGATTTCTGGTCAAGGCACATGGCTGGGTTATGGGTTCAGTCCCAGGTAGAGGTGCATATGACGTGGCAGCAGCCAGCTGATGCTTCTCTCTCCTATCGATGTGTCTCTCCCTCCCTCCCCCTCTCTCTAAAAAATAATTAATTAAAAAAATTTCAGATCACCTGTCCATTATGCCAATAGGCACAGACCTTTACTTAACCACTAAAAAAGGAGGTTTCATCAGGATAACTGACAAGATAATTTTGGTTACAAATATTTTGACTTTATGTGTTTCATTTCCAAAAGGGAAATAAAGAGTAAATTTAATAAACCCAAAGTATTTGTCTAAATAAACTTAAATATATATTAACAATAGAAGTCATCTGAAAAAGACAAAAGAACACATAGGAAATTTTATATAGGCTGAGTAATTCCCTGATGTGCGAGAGCTATGGGTTTTCTATCCATTTTAAATAGTCACATTTATGTAATTCCAGCAAGAGACAAAGATATTCTTTCCTCTTTGAGCATTCTCTGATAAAATCAGCACACTTCAGCCTTATCAACTGAGCACGTCTTTGTAACATACTAAATGCAGTGAAAAAATTATGACACCCAGATTACACTAGTTCTCTTTTTTAAAGGGTTATTTTAAAAAAATCTCAACAAATATATTATCCTTAAACAATAAATTAGAACATCACAGGTTATGCTACAACTTATGGTATCATCTTGTAACCCTTTCCTACTCCACTGTGAGTTTGGTGTTTGTATTTCCAGAACTTTTTAAGGTGCTTTTATATATACATGTCACCATAAAAAACACATACTGTCATTCTGCATATGTGCTTTCTAAGTTTGACAGTATTACCCATGTTACTACATATTACCCATGTTACTACATGGAAATCTAATTCCTTTAAATGTTCCATTGCATAGTAACTATTTTTATTATCCACTCAGTTATTAATGTGCAGTTAGGCTGGCTTAGCTTGTTATTATTCCCAAATAGTAAAGAACTGTCTCACTCATGTCTCTGGATATATATTCAAGTGTTCCTCTAGAATGTCTAACCAGTAAGGTATGCACATTTTGAACTGCGACTCTGCCAAATTTCTCTCCAAAGTACTGTTCCTTTTGACTGCTCTATCAACATATTTATTTGAGCACCCTCTCTTTGCCAATCTACTAGGTTTTAATATCCATTTCTTTTATGAGCCCAATTACCTATGCATTGATCTTGATTGGGCTCCTAGCTAACCCTAAAATAACTATATAATTCAGATTAACCTGTTCAGAACACTGCCTTTATTGTGTCTTACATATGAAAACTCAGTGACTCTCTAAGATTTGTTAAGGTCTTCTGCGGCACCTGAGTGATATGGGAAATCACAGCCTCACATCACACTTCATCTCTAATAATAAAAGGTGACAGTAACGTGTAGTTCTTATAGCTTCTTCTAAGTCTAAGAGCATAAATTCTATCAGAGAAAGAGCTCTCTATCAGAGAACCTCTATCAGCCACTCTTTTTTGCAAAGGGACAGAGTAAATATTTTAGGCTTCATGGGTTGTAGGGAATGTGCTGCAACCATTCAGTTCTGCCAGTGTACCATAAAAATAGCCACAGACAATATACTAACAAATGAGTCAAGTGAGTGAGGCTGTCTGCCAAAAAATTTTAATTGACACTGCAACTTGAATAAGTCTAAAACATAAAAACCATTCTTGCTCATGAGCTGCAAAAGAAAAAAAAAATTTGCCCTTAGTTTGCCAACCAATGTTTTGTATCAACTGTCTTACTTCCCCTATTCTAACAAAGCACTTTCCACAGGCCTGCCTGCTTGGCCTGCTCCCACCATATCGTGATCATGTTCTCTGTATTTGTGGGTCTTGTATTTTAAGGTTCCTTTTAAGGTTCATGAGAATTACTTGCAAGAACATGCATTTTAAACAAGATTCCCAGGTAATTCTGATGCTAATAAAATAGTCTTGTCCATTTTTAAGGTACAGAAAAATTTCTACCTTATCAATAAAACTCACCTTGGTTATTGCGATATAATCACTCTTGATTTATATCATATCCTGTGTTGCCTCTAATCATGTATAAGTTATAGACACATGTAATATAAGGTACAATGTATAAATTATGCATGGGGCCGGGCTAAATCATAAGCCATCTGAGCATACCTTCCAACAGCTCCCCTTTCTATTCCCTGTAGTACCATCCTCTGGAATACAGGATGATAAAAAAATGCTTTGTACTTGAATAGTATTCATGAAAATGACTCATTTGTGAATACATTTACTCCTACTCTTATATTGGTTCTGATTCTCAGGACAGGGAAGACAGAAATGAACCTGGATATAATAAAATACTATGTAACAACTAAAAATTAAAAGCAAAGTATAGAACAGTTAATCTAACAAATCAATTCTACTAAATATTACATAATTTACAGTAAAAATGTCATATTCTAGAACTTTTATAGCTATCATCTATTGAATTCTGCCAATGTGGCAGGCACTAATCAAATGCTTATTTAATCCTCTGAAGCAAGTACTATCATTATCCACCTTTTACTATGGCAGAGATTAAATCACTTGCCTCTAAGTAGTGTGATTATTGCTAGTAATCTTGTTTCCTTTTCGCACAATCAATTTGTCTCAGTCATCTTTGGCAATAATGATGAATAGCTTTGTAATTTAAGAAAGCTTTTTCTTTTTTAAGTTATCTTTAGTCTTCAGGTCGTACTCAGGAAAGATGTGGCTTTTTCAGGGGGGCCTTTAAACGCATGTAATGTATCATTACTGTAAGAATTTTTGTGAGGAAGTTTTAGCTCTTAGGTAGTCAATAAATATTGAGTAAATAAAGCAATTTGTTCAATGATTTATCCAGTGAGTTAAAAAAGCTAAATTTTGTAGTCCACATCATTTATTTTATTTTATCTCATTAAAGACTATAAAGATGATACTTTTGTCTGATCTCCCAGCCATGAGAACTTTTTTAAAAAACAAAAAAGGGAGGAAGGGAGGGAGGAAGAAAAGGGAGAAAGGGAGGTAGAGAGGGAGGGAGGGAAGGAAGGAATTATTTTCAAGAAAATAAAGAGCTCTGGCTGGTGTGGCTCAGTGGATTGAGCGCCAACCTGTGAACTGAAAGATCGCCTGTGTGATTCCCAGTCAGGACACAAGCCAGATCCCCATGATGGATATATCTCTCACACATCAATGTTTCTCTTCCTCCCTTCCTTTCTCTCTAAAAGTAAATAAATAAAGTCTTAAAAAAAAAATTGCTCATGATTAATCACCATTATGTAAATATTAACCCAAACTCAGTACAGAAAGTCTTTTAAGTAAACCTCATTCCCCATTCTCTATCTTCCACTTTCTTTTGTTCTTTTAAACTCCCAAGTTTTTCTTCCCTCAGCTGTTTCCTTCACAAGAATGCTCCCCATTGCTCTTCATGTTACAGAATCGTTACCTAACAATGTTTTGCTCATAAATAGCACTCAACCATTTGATGAATAACCAATGACTAAATACTCACCAAGTTTTCCTTTTTGGAATGACTACTTCTTCAATTCCTTAATGTGAAAAATAAAACAAAGTGAATCAATTTCCTAATACCACTACAAAAAAGTACAATGTATTAATATAAAATCTGAACTATTCCAACATATTTCTATATACCTGCTGCATCAGCTCCTTCACCCTTTGGGAGGGCTGCACTTCCCGAATAAAATCTGCAAAAAATATAAGACCTAAAGTCAATATTAATGAAGTTCCCACCTGACCTCCACCAATGAGCATTTTGAGCTCAAATTTTCCAATTACCATGGATCAAAATGAAGGGGTAATCCATCCCAATGTACACTGAGAAGACATGGCCTCAACACCAAATTCAAAACCATTACAAAACACATAAGATATGGACACAATATGGCAATATGGTCAAAATTTTTTTTACTAGGCAATTTCATTAAATCTCAATAAAATCAGGAAAAAAAGGAAAATTTTATTAGCACATGAACAACTGAACATCTTATTTGAAATATAAGGGACTTTCAACATTGGGAATCTTTAAAACACTGAAGTTAAAAGAAACAATTCAATGAACTAATTTTATATGGATAATGCCCTAATAATAAATAATAAAATTCTACCTGCTCACAGCAATTGTGACAAATTAAGATCACCACAGCCTTTCGATCCACTTCAACAATCAGGAAGTACCAGAAAGTATGTCCTAATTTAAACTTGGAACTGTTTTTTTTTTTTAATACAAAATTCAGAATCACTGACCCGTGACTAATTTTAAGATTTTCTGACCACACTAAAAAAGTCAATATACCACACAGATAATGTGCATTATTACCTTGTGTATTCCCTTCATAAACGGCATTGGTATCATTCAGAAAATTGTCAAAACATCATTTTAAAATACCTCTCTGCCAGGGTCAACTCTGAAATCTTGCTGTTTCTTATGACATCAGGACACAAAGATCACTGTTGTCTTTGACGAGGATTAAATTCTAAGATGCCCTAAATTAAATTACAGCAGGCAATAGACTGAAAGAGACGAAAAGGGGTAGAGCTCATCAACTACCTTTAATTTGGAAAAGTCTTAAGAGTTCTCCCCGGTTGGGCGAAAATGAAATCAAGTAATTTTTTTTTACAAAATTGGAATTACTAACAGTCACACTAACTTCAATGCTGCCTCCTCGAGAGGATCCTAGTCTGGTCGACAGTTTACTTCTGGGTAGGGCAGCCGACCAACAAATAATCTTTCTAATAAATACGGTTCGATCTCTACGCAAGGACACGGGATTTGCACCTGGGGTCCCGGAGCACGCGGCTACGGGAGGGCACATGCGCATTCCACTGCATTGTGCTCGTTCCACAGCTCTCAGGGAAAGAGATATACAGGACTAGGTTGACACCTGGGTCTTCCTCGTGGGTTCCCCAAGCCTCTCTCACCTGCAACTACCGGCCCGTCCAGGTGTACCTGCAAGCCGATTTGTCGGCGGTAGGGAAAGCCTGCAGCGGACCCTCAGCCACCGAACCGAAGTCGCGGCCGCCATTTTTTGCTTTTTCGTACTGCATGCTGGGAAAGCATGCCTTTCACCTTCTGGATCACCAAGGCGAGCGGGGGGAGTGGAGGTGGGCAGGGATGGCTCGGCTATTGGCTGAGACGGAACTAGACGAAAGCGATCATAAAATAGGTTACAAGCCCTTGGTGTGAAAGACTTCATCACCGAAGTTAAGCGCTCAATACGCCTCCATTGCCTCGAAGAAATTTTCTAAAACGATAATTTTATGCTATATAGCTTCAATTGTTTTCAAAATAAGAGGGCTAATGAGAGTCGTGAAATTTTCTTCCTCCCCGCCCCCCAGAGAGGAAATGATCTCCTCCACGTAAATCTCATCCCAGGAGCGTTTTACGTGCGCAAGCGCAGTTTAAATCACGTGGAGGTTGAGCGCTTGTGGCTGTGTTAAGGATTTAGTGGTAGTGTTCGGAACTTCTCTTTGGGTGTTAGAACTCGAAACTGACCTGGAGAATGTTGGGCTCCAAGAACATGCCCTGGCGGCGGCTGCAGGGCATTTCCTTCGGCATGTATTCGGCGGAAGAGCTCAAGTAAGTAGTTGGAAGCGTGCGGGGCTTGTTTCTTTGGGTCGGCGCCCTTATAAACTACTATTCCCGAAAGGTTTTGCGCCCAGTTTATCCTTTGAGTCCATGGTTGTCGGGCTAGTGATCTTCTGGGACCGGTAGTTCGGGAACGTCTTGGGCTGGCGTGCTCTATCAACAAACCCGGTGGCGCTGCGAAAAAGTTTGCGCTGGGGAGGAGGCGATTTCCACATTCCAGCATTAAAATCCGCCAGTCTTCTCGTTAATTAACCAGCGTTTGTGAAGTTACTGCAGTGTCTCTGAAATGGTTAGGTAAACATGTATGCTCTTGTCTATAAAATAATTACCCGTCACGACTCATGTCAAGCTACAACTTCTCATTGCTAGGACCCCCTAATTCTCCGTCTAGTTACTAACTCGCGGGGACGCTATCCTCATTTTCATCACCTTAGCATTTCACAGTCTTGACCACACTCTTGAAACTTTCCTCTCTTCCAGGATCTTATTGTCTTCACGTTCTTCTGTTTCTGTCACAAGTTCTTACGCGATCAGTTTTATCAATCCACTAATATTTATTGATTTTTCAGTTTTTGTCAGGCAATATGCTAAGCGCTAATGACACACTGGTGAACAAGGTATTGCATTCATGATTTATATTCGAATATGTTTCAAGCTCCTTAGCTGACTTCTCTTTTTCTTAAGTCTTGGTGTTCCTTGAGGTTTTCTTCTGGATATACTGCCTTGTCTTAAATGTCGTCCTTTTGATTTCATGACAGTTTCACCACTTTCATGATTAATGTTCTCAAATTTAAGTCTCCAGCCAAAATTTCTTCTGATTTCCATTCAGCTTATTCAGCTGTTTATTCAGCTGTTTCCTGGACATCTCTACTTAGATGTAACAGAGATTTTAAACTCATATACCAAAACCCCCTCCAAAAGGATACCTTGTCTAGTGCAAAATGGTCACTAGTATTTTGTGATTGGAAAATAATTCTAGACCTGTCTTTTCTGACAGCTAATTTACTTATTGGGCTCTTTGTGTCATCTGCATAACTTACTTGTTCTGTACCCTCCCTTTCATCACTACTCCTACTACCTTTGATCACACCCTTATCTCTTGTTTAAAATCTTTCTACCTTACATCTGTTCAATTCATCCTTCATATTGCTGTCAAAGCGATTCTTCCAAAGTGTAAATATGATCATGCTACTTAAAATGTGATCATGTCACCCTTGAAGTCCTCCAGGGGCTCTGCATTTTGCTCACCTGAGTAAAGGATAACTTTATTAGCTTCACCTACAGGTGTTCTCATGATCAGACCCATGCAGATTTTAGCTATATCATTATTCTTCCTCTAGCCCTAGGCATACTGAACCACTTGCACAATCCAACGTCTGCCATCAGTTTTCAACAGCTGGACCTCTCGACAGACTATGTTCTAGGCATGCAGTGTCCTCTACTTCCATTTGTCTCTTTCTTCCACCTTCAGCAGACACATGAAGAGCATCTCTGCTATTCTTAAGGTTTGGGTCAGCCTCATTTTCTGAGGTCTTTCCACACCTCGTACAGTTGTTTATCATGATGCTTCAGTCGCTTTTGTGCTTATTCATATTTCTGTCTCCCTCTACTGGCCTTGATGTTCCTGTGTATCTCATTCCTTTCTTTCATCCTCAACTCTGGTTGAGTAAATAGATAAGTAAACTCCTGCACACCAGCTCTGGTAATATTGGGAACTGTGTGCCGGCCCAGAAATTGTCGTCATTATCATCACCAGCCACTGATACAATTTCATCCAAAAGCAAAAGTGTTTTAGGTTGCCTGAATTAAAAAAAAAATAATTGTGGTGTTTCAAGCAGGAAACTGCGTGAGCAAATTTATACCCATTATGGACATTGTAGACCTATCTGTGTCTAGGGCTGAGACATTTCAATAATTATGACACCTTTTATTGTGCTAGCTTCGAATAGATTTCTGTCTCACTTGGAGTAAAAGCCAAGAACCTAAAATGGCCTGGAAGGCCATTCTGACCGCTGCTACTTCTCTGAACTCACTTCTATTCCAGACATCCTGACTTCCTTGCTGTTTCCAGAGCACCTTAGACACACGTCTACCCCAGGACCTTTGCACTGCCTGTTTCTTTCTCTTCTAAAGCCCTCCTCCCAGGTGCCTGTGTGACTTACTCCCTCAATTTCCTTCAGGCTTTTACTCAAGTATAGTATGTCCTTCTTAGTATGAGCTTCCCTGACTACTGGCCTACCCTGTCATCCTTCCCCTTTCCTGCTTTACTTTTCTCCACTTTCTACCATTTAACAGACTATATACTTATCTATTTTGGCTTTTGTCTGTCTTTCTCCCAGAGAATATAAGGCCCTTAACTACAGAGGCTCTTGGCTGTTTTTCCAGCAAAAGTGTGTCCAGCATTAAGTAAGCACTCAATAGGTATATTTGTGAAGTGCGTGCGTGAGTAGATGAAGGAGCCATCTGTTCAGTGCTTGGCACATTCAGTTCTTATTACAACCATTTGTGGTGGTATCTCCAGTTACAGGAGAGGCTATTCAGGTCCAGAAAATAAAGTAACTCTAGGAAGCAGCAAAAATCATACCCAAGTCTGTTGGTCTCATGCTCTATTCTCTTCAGTGCAGTCCTTGCTGGTTACCCCTCCTCTCCCACCATGGTTAGACGGCCTTTCTCCTTTTTCCCCAACAAGAGAGAGAAACTTTGTTCTAAACACTGTATTTTATATGCGTTTTCTTCTAATCACCATAATTAAGCTGCTGCATCGGCGAATTTTTAGGTGAGAAAAAAAAACTAAGTAGTTTGTCCAAGGTTATCCAGTTCAAGGTTGCAAGTGGGCTTCGGGTTTGTGGTAAGAGACCGCACACACAACATGGAGTTAGAGTAAATTTCTCATGTCATGGGCTTACTTGCAGCAAAGTGACCATGTGTCTCCATGCAGCCTCCCTTGGCCCTCAGAGTGACACTGGTCATACAGAGTAGGGTCTTCTGGATCTGTTCTTAGTTCTTGAGGCACCACTGTCATTTTACACTCAGTTCTTAAGTCACCATTCAGGAAGAACTTAAGTGTCTTCAGGCTTCATGAAAGGGAATGTCTGTGTCAGTGGGGGGCTCTTCTGCCCATTAGGCCCCACTGTCAGCCTGATTAAAGCAGGAGAGTGCATTGCCCAGGTATTCCTGAACAGTGACTACCGCTGGCTTCCCAGTGTTCTGGAAAACCCACTCCATCCCCTGTGCTCTCTCCTAGGTGGGAAGCTCAGGTGTTCGCACCCCAAAACATGTTTTTTCTAAGTGCTGCTCCTATCCTGCCAGGCACCCAGTTGTGAAAGGAGCACTATGTTTTAGCAGCAGGGGCAGCAAGAAGACTAACAGCCGCCTTTCTAACATCAGGAAAGTTGTGTTTGGGTGTTTGTATCTTGGAGACTGTCTGCACCCTCGTTACCTTCTGAGAGCCAAGGTCTGCCTCACGCAGAGAAAGACTGAGGATAAGGATAAAATATATGTTCAGTTTTGGATGTGACCTGTTTGTGTTGCCTTTATAAGCACAGGACATAATTCTTCTGTCAGTTAGCATGGGCCTGTGGTGGCTTTAGCTGCCCACTCTTTTTCCATCTTGTAGGTTCTGGGCAAGGAAAGTGAAGTACCAACTTACAGAGCACGACAGAAAGAGGATCTAGTGATGAAAGACTTTGCACTTAAGACCTAATTAGTTTGCATTTGCCTTACGCAGTAAATGTTTTCCTAATTTATAGTTCCAGTTAAGTTTTGGAGCCCAGTGTAAAATGAATGAGAAGGAAATGCAGGTAAATATTTAAACTCATTAAAACATTTTAAACTACACAAACAATACTATTAAGGAAGTGAAAAGATAAGAATGAGAGAAAATATTTACAAATATATATCTGAGAAAGGACTTGTATAGGGAATATATAATGCTTTCTTACAATTCAATGATAAAAAGGCAAATAACCCAATTAAAAAATGGGTAAAGGTTTTGAATAGACATTTCTCCGAAGAGGATGTACAGTAGGCAAAAGAAGAAATGCTCAACATCATTATTCACCAGGGAAATGCAAATCAAAACCACAGTGAGGTACCCCATCACACCCATTAGGGTGGCCAGAATAAAAAAAAGGTGGTAAAAAGTGGTGGTGAGGATGTGGGAAAATTTGAGCTGTTGTGCATTGCCGTGGGAATGCAAAATGGTGCAGCTGCTTTGGTGAACGGTCTGGCAGTTCCTCAAAAAGTTAAACATACAGTAACAATACGACCCAGCATTTCCACTCCTAGGCAGAGACCCAAATGAAATGGAAAAATACATCCACACAAAAACTTGCATTCCATGTTCTTACGAGCATTATTCATAAGAGCCGAAGTGTAGAACTAACCTAAATGTCCATTTGCTGGTGGATGGATAAATAAAATACATATCTGTACAATGGACTATTACTTGGCAATTTTTAAAAAGTACAGAATCATACAACACCATGGGTGAACCTTTAAAACATGCAAATAAAATAAGCTAGTTACAGGAGACCACATATTGTATGATTCCGTTTATGTGAAATGTCCGGAATAGCCAAATCTCTGGAGACAAAAAGCAGGTGAGTCATTGCCCAGGACTGGCGAGGGAGGTGGAGAGGATGGAGAGTGACTGCCAGGGGGTGCCGGCTGTGGGAGTCGGCAGTCGATTGTGGTTACCGGTGTGTGACTCTGGGGGATACACTGAAAGATGCTCAGTGTGCACTTTAAATGGACGCAGTGTATGGTGAGTGAGGTGTATCTCAACAAAGCTGTTAGAGAATTTAGAAAACTGCACATATGAAAAAAGAAAAAACAAGTTATAAACTAGGAAAAATATTTGCCACCATATTAGTAAAAGATTAATGTGCTCATGTGGAAGGAGCTCATGTACAAAAATAATGAAAAAAATTAAGATTTTAATTAAAAAAAGTAAATGATGAAAACAGCTTTAAAAAAAAAATACCTTAGTAAAAACTTAATTAAGATGACAATTGGGTAGCATTCCCCCTCCCCCGCCTTGCATTTAAATTGGAAACGACTTTTAAGGGCAAAGATTTGGTGCTGGCTGAGACAAGCTACTGTTAGCCCACCTTTTCTGGAATGGGAGGTTGCACCCTTTGTTCATGTTTTCCATTCCACTGCCGAAATGATTATATTTTTAGGAAATAGAAGTTTGAGTTATCTTTGCATAGATAGGTATCATAAGCTTACTTATAATAGGCTTTGGTTAAATGAATTATATTAATTACCTTATAATGAAAGATTTTGCAACTCTTAAGTTTCCAAAGAATTTTTAGTGACATAAAAGCACTCCTTTAATGTTAAATGACCAGTGGGCACAAGCAATGCTAAAAATACCAAATGATCCCAGTTAACTTTTTTTTTTAAATGAACCCATAGGAAAAAAAGGCTACGAATGTTGTCTAGGTTATGACACTTGGATGATCTCTTTGTCCATATCTTTATTTTCTGAATCAGAAAAAAGGAATGTGAAAAAGCGAACTTAGCATAAGTGTAATTTTGGTAAAAGTAGTCAGCCATCTCATGGGTACTCTCTTTAAACCAAACATAAAATACAGTGATGAAATCTTTAATAAAGCCAGCTATGTTTCTCAAAGGTTTGCATACTTGTGTTTAATGTACCTCCGTTTATCATACAGGGAGTATTCAGTCACCTTTCCTGTATTGAATTTGAGCTTTAGAGGAACCTGGTCCATGTCCTCCCTCTTCCCCAACCCGCCTCACTTCCTCCTCCCTCGCACTTTTTGTCTGTGTCACCTGGGTGAAATCATCAAACTGCTCAGAGCCTGTTTGAAAAATGCACATAGTGATGCCCATCTCAGAGCGTTAAAATCAAGACCAAGTGCTGCTTGGAAAGCTTTTGAATTTTTTAATTGATTTGAAAAAAAGAAACATTGATTTGTCATTCCACTTATTTATCCATTCATTGGCTGATTGTTGTATGTGCCCTGACCTGGGATTGAACCTGCAAAACCTTGTCATATCTGGATGATGGTCCAACCAACCCAGCTACCTGGCCAGGACTTTAAAAAAGATTTTTTTTAAATATTTTATTTATTTTTCGAGGGAATGGAAGGGAGAAAGAAAGAAGTAGAGGAACATCAATGTGTGAGAGAAACATCAATGGGTTGCTTCTCAGCCCGCACCTCAGGCATGTGCCTGACTGGGAATTGAACCAGCAACTCTTTGGTTCTCAGGCCGGTGCTCCAGCCACTGAGCCACACAAGCCAGGGCTAAAACTTCTTTTAAAATTTGATTTTAAAGAGAGAGAGAGGAAGGGGGAGAGAAAGAAAAAGAAGCATTTGGCATGTAGTAGCTACTTAACTCCTTTTTAAAAGTCTTCTGATAATACTCAGTGCAAAATTTACACTAAATCTGATTTTTAATGATTTTACCACTCTTACTTACTCAGCATATATTTACTGAGCAACTACTGTGCAGGCTCATTGCTAAGTGCTGAGCGGCAGTGGTGAGCCCAGCAGACACAGATTCTGTCCTCCAGAGCTGTCAAAGTGTCTGAGGAAACACATTAAATCATCACTTTATTGCAAAGAGGAAATGTCTGAGAAGTCAAGTAACCCTAGTTTTCCCTTGGTCTTTTTTTATTTCCTTAGGAAGTTAAGCGTTAAATCCATCACAAACCCTCGGTACCTGGACAGCCTGGGGAACCCATCGGCCAACGGCCTGTACGATTTAGCTCTGGGCCCTCCGGATTCCAAAGAGGTGTGCTCCACCTGCGTGCAGGACTTCAACCACTGCTCCGGCCACCTGGGCCACATCGAGCTCCCGCTCACTGTGTACAATCCTCTCCTCTTCGACGTATGTTCTACCCTGGACTGCCCCGGATGCGTGGGTCTCAGGGCTGCTGGTGGGATTTGTGAGGCTACCCTTCTCCCAGCCACAGGAGGGGGCTGAGGAGGTTAGCTCCCAGCACTTTGGGTTAAAGTGCTCTTTATTATGCCATCTTAAATCTTGAGGAGCCAAATCCAGTACATTCAACTTGGCCTCTAGCCCTAACTAAATGAATTTCAGTTTGATTCCATTTGAGAAGAGCCCATAGGTTGGTTCTATTCACAGGAGGGGAAGAAGCCATTCACTTTTTGTTTCAGCGGCTTTACATCCTACGGATATCTAGGTGGAGCCCCCCTGGCAGTAGAGGGACCTTTGGAGTTCTCCTGGCCTCCTTCAGGTCTTCAGGTGACTTTGTAGGCTCTTGCTCGGTGGTAGGTGGCAAGAGCAGCAAAGCCCAGAAAACCTGAGGGTGAGCTGAGAGTGAAGCTCCTGTCTAGAGTCCTACCTGTTTAACCCAGCCCCCAGGACTTGTTTTATGCTCTATGGGTGACAGCATAGATGGACATGATTTTTGTCTGTTAATTGTATCATGGAAAGAGAATTGTCTTAGTTAAATACTATTTGACTAAAATTTGTATTCAGTACTTAGTTAAATAAAACAAAGGTAGTTCCCTACCTCAGACCCAAAGTAAATTTCAGATTTTAAAGGATTAAAATAAAATCACAGAGAAAATACAGAGGAATATTTATTGAGTTCTTAGAGTCACAAAGGCCTTTCTAGGTATACAGGGGAAGTGGAATTCTTTTTTTTTTTTTTTTTTTTTAAGATTTTATTTATTTATTTTTAGAGAGGAGGGAAGGGAGGGAGAGAAACATCGATCAGTTGCCACTCTCACACCCCCACTGGGGACCTGGCCTGCAACCCAGGCATGTGCCCTGACTGGGACTCAAACTGGCAACCTTTCGGTTTGCAGACCGATGCTCAGTCCACTGAGCTACACCAGCGAGGGTGGGAAGTGGAATCCTTGTGGAAATAAACTGACTCCTTAAAATAAAATCAGAAGTACATTGAAAATCATCCTGGCTACTCCATGTCTTTTCTAAATATCCTGCTTCTTTTTGCTCCTTCTCTTCAGAAACTGTACTTGTTGCTCCGGGGCTCCTGTTTAAACTGCCACAGTCTGACTTGCCCCCGGGCTGTGATTCACCTCCTCGTCTGCCAGCTGAGAGTTCTGGAAGTTGGAGCCCTTCAAGCAGTGTACGAGCTGGAGAGAATTCTGAGCAGGGTAGGTGGGTGGTGGCTGTCATGGGAATCTGGCAGCCCAAGGGGGTGGAGATCAGCGCTCTTTCTGTGTTGTCCCTAAGAATAGTCACCAGAATGTTTGATCTTTGTATCTTGTCACGGGAACCAATCTGTAGGTGTGAAAACATGAAGCCATAGATTAATTTAAGAAATGCTAATGAAAACAACATAGAAATGCCATTTTACCCATTGGGGACCTTTATTTCCCTTGGACCCAAGATGCATGTCTTTGGTTTCTTTTAATGTAGGATGTTTTAATATAGGACATTTTTTTTTATGATGTTGACCTTTTTTTGAAGACATTAACACTTTATAGGACTTCTCACATCCTGGAATTGTCTGATTATTCCCTTATTAATTTCACATTTTGGTAAGAATACAACCTACATGATGATATAGGATACTTTTTATTGCATTATTTTAGGAAGTACAAGCTGTGTTTAGGAGGTACTATTGGTAATGCTTAATTTGATTACTTGGGTAGTAATCAAACAGAGCCCTTTTTTCCTATGTGATTAATAATTGCTTCAGACTTTCTGGTACTATTATAAATATCTTATTTAAAATTCATTTTCTTTTTGTAGATCAAAATATTACTCATTTTTGTATAGGATTTTTGTATGCAACAACCTGGCAAAAGCATCTCATCAATTCTCATACTTTACCTGTATATTCTTTTGGATTTTCAGTACAGTCATCACCTGTGAATAGCAGCAGTTTTATTTCTTCCCAGTCCTTATATGTCTGGTTCCTTTTTCTTACCTTATTTTGGTGGCTAGGATCCACATTACTGTGTTGAAGCAGTAGCATACATCCTTGTCTTTCTTCGCACAAAGGGAAACCTTTCATCTTTCCTCTTCCCCTTCCCTTTCCTGAATAATTCAGTCTTAAAGACCTTAAATGGGTAGAGCAGGTAGGATTCTACACAGAGGTGTGGCATGATGTGGGTTGTCAGAGTCCAGGCAAGATGAGAGAAGCATTCAAGGGGGGAGAGCATCTCTGCATGCGTGGGCGGCCCAGTGTGGAATATCAGAGTTCACAGAGAATGAGGAGAATGTACATTCAGGGTAAAGGCTCAGCATGGGACGTGAGCACCAAGTCGGGTAAGAAGGTGCCCATGTTGGACGGCCCAACATGGTGTGGGGTATGAAAGCACAAGTGGAGTGAGGAGGGGGTCATGCACAGGAGGAGGTGGTGGCAGTAATGGGAGAGCGGTTACATAAAGGGAGAGGGATTGATCAAATAAGTACATGTACTATAAGGATAGTGACAGCCAGATTCCATACTACCAGAGGAGGAAGTAACAAATATGTGAATGAGAGAAGACTTAGAATTTATCCTGTAGTGTTAGAATGGAATTGAAAGTGCTAATGTGAAGGGCGTGTATGTGTATGCACATACATATTCCTTAGTACTGTTTCTGAGAGGATGTTGGAGTGCTATTAGCAATGAGCACACCTAGTGCCTGTGTTTGACTCCTAAACACCATTCTCCATTAAAAGGGCTCTTTGAGTAAGTGGCTGATTCTGGGGCTGATACAGAAAGTGCAAGATAACCTGCAATATCATGTGCCAGAGAGCAAGCAGGTACTCAGAGAATTCTGGCAACATGTCAAAATGACACAGGGGCTATCTGGGAAAGCTCACACTGGCCAAATCTAGAACAGTTTGAGCATCAAAATAAATGATGATGCTATTGTAATCCAGTGAATAAAGTGGGAATCCATGAAATTCATGGGTTCATACTGATATAAATGAATGAATGAATGAACTGGAAATTTAAAAGTACTTTCCCCACACAAATAATCTTTATTAATTACGAAAAGGAGAGAAAGAGTAACTTTACAGTGAAAAGTCTGGCAGTCACCTTACTCAAGTTGTCAAAGTGAACGTCACCTAATGGGACAGATTGAAATCACGCCCCATGTGACAGAATGTAGTGAGATGTGCAGAGCATAGCTTCTTAATTTTCCTGCTCAAGATGCACAAACTGAATCTGATCACAAGGAGACATCAGTCACAGCCAGATTTAACTCACCTTTAATTCTTCAAAGTGTTAATGCCTTCAAAGTTAGATTAGGTGATTGAAAGAGACTAAAGAGACATGACAAGTAAATGCACCAGGTGGCTCTGAACTGGGTCTTTTTGCTATAAAGGACATTATTAGAGAATTGGCAAAACTTGAATGGTGTCTGAGAATTAGTTGGTAGTAAATTACTGTTAATTTACTGTTTTTGTTTATTGTATTGTAGTCCTATTAGAGTGTCCCCCTGTTTGTAGAAAATGTATACCTAACTACCTGGGCACTATGAGACATCAGGTCAGCAACTTTTTCTCAAATGGTTCAAGAAAAAAGGTTGGTTACAGGTACTTGAAAGTTTTCTGTGTTTGAGATTGTGTTAATATAAAAATAAGTTGTATTAAAAAACAAACAGGGAAACAGTTCAACACTTCACCAGTAAGCATAATGTTTGCTGAACTTTATAATACAGAGTATTTATCAGATTAAGGAAAGTTTTTTATGTTCCTATTTTGCTAAGATGGTTGAATGTTGAATTTTATCGAACTTCTTTATAAGCTTCAGATAATTTTTCTAATAGTCACATGGTGAATTACTCAGTTCTTTTTCTCATGTTAAATATTGGATTTCTGGGATTTCTTGTTCTTGATAATTTGCTTTTGAAATATGTTGCTGGATTTGATTTCCTAATATTTTGCTTAGGATTCTGCACCTATGATCATGAATGACATTGGTTTGTAAATTTCCTTTCTCATATTGTCCTTTTGAGGTAAGTTATCTAGATTATGTTGGCCTTGTGAAAGGAGGTAGAGAATTCTCTTTTCACTCTCTTTAAAGTGCTCTGAAAGAGTTCATGTAATATTGGAGACACAGTAACCCAGCAGGGTGCTACCAGACAGTTCCACTTCAGTGGGTGTTCTCACAGCCAGCCCAAGTCTAAGTCTTCTATTGCTTCGGTTCTCCAACTTCCAGGGCCAAAGAATGAGAGTACCCCAGTGGACACGGACGCCATCCTGGCCCCAAATAGGAATCAGTATCTTTTGTGACAGTTTTGTGGACCCAGCTTCCAGAGACCCCCTCAAGGACACACTTAGTTAGCACCAGGGAAATCCAGAGCTGTGTTATACAGTTCCCACTAGGTGTTTGTAGTTCATTCATAGTCGTCCTAGTTCAGATACAGTCTAACCAATAGAGGTCGTCCTTATCATTAGCAGTGCTGCCTAGTGAACACAGTTGACATTTCCACTTGTTACCAAGTTTCCAGGGGACAGAACTAAAAAGTTAACCCCAAATCAAACTGGTCCAAAAGAGGCAGAGAGAGAGGGAAAGAGAGAGAGATTTTCATAAACCTTTACTTAGAGGAAATTGTATTTTTCTAGGAATTTGTCCATTTCATCAGAAGTTTCGAAATTGTTGGCAAAAAATTACTCATGATGCCTACCTTCTAACTTAAGAAATTTTTTTTTGTAAAATATACCCACAGAAATGCATTAATCATACATATAGCCTAACCAATAGTTAGAAGTGACTACCACCCACCCATATGCTCACCTTCAATCTCAAGATATTGTCCCTGTTCCCAGAAACTCCCTCTCTTTCCCCTGTCCGTCTGTGCTTATTTTCAACAGTTTGTTGTTGTACTTAAAAAATTCTTTGTAGAAATAATTTGAGGCCTGGGATGATGCTGCCTTCCTCCAGAGAGGCTTCTAAGGCTTCTATTGCTTCTGCCATATGCTTGGTGGCCTGGACCATGGTAGTCCAGGATCCGAACTGATGGCTCGCTGGATTGCTGGGCCGTTGGAATCCAGGTCACTCTGTTCAGGGGCCAGTTTAGTTCCCAAGGGCTTAACCCTGTTCAGGGGCCAGTTTAGTTCCCAAGGGCTTAACCCTTTGGGTTCCCAGCTGCCTGAGTTTGTGGGGTAGGATGTGGGAGGGAAGGTATTCTATTAGATTCCCGTCCTTGCATTCACTCTAGGCTTTGATTTCTGTCCCATTCATCGTTTGAGGCTGCCAGAATGAAAAGTTCAAAATTCCTGAACTGGAAAGTAAGCCCGCAGCCAGTGCTGCCATGTCTCACAGCTCCAGGGAGCAGCATGAAAGCCTGTCTGGTTCTCCCCCGAGAGGGACGTAACTGCCCTGACGGTGGCCCTGGAGCTGTGCAGCGCAGCGGCCCCACATCAGAGCACATGGGCCCCTTGCTCCTTGGCCTCCGAGATCCCTCTTCCCCTTCAGTGAGATCCGGTTGTTCCTTACTGTCCTGTCAGCTTCTCAGAGCTTTAACACTTGAAAAATATTTTACTCTGCCTTGGTTCTTTTCAGTTTTAGATTTGGTGAGAATAATCTAGCCCACCATTATTGGAAATAGGATACTCTTGTTTGATTTTTTTTTTTTTTGACAGCCTCGTTGTTAAAGAATACAACACAGCAGCCATGAGGTTTCCTTCTCTCCTCTCAAACTAAAATCTTTCCCTCTTGGAGAGGCTGGCCCCATGGTGCTGATAATTGTACACTTGCTTTACTTGGATAATATGTTTCTCTTTGTTTTTCAGTTTCTGGAAGAAAACGCCGATCCTACTGCCTTTGAAATCCAGGAAGAATTAGAACGATACACAACCGAAATTGTACAGAACAACCTCCTGGGGTCCCAGGGCTCACAGGTGTGTCATCCTTCCTGTTCCCGGAACACTGGGTTGTTAGCTCTGACATTCACGTACACTTGTGGTTTCCCATACTTGACCTGGGTTTGAATCCCAACTCTGTCTCTTATGAGGCCTGTGACCTTGCAAGTTGCATCACTGTTCCTGAGCCACCGTATCCATCTACAGGACCAATGAGATTAGATGAAATGAGGTAGTTTAGGTACAGAGACCAGCAAGGTTCTCGCTTACAGTCTCACTTTGAGAACGAGGTCTGTTCTTTTCTTCTTTATCTCTATAACACTGTAAACTATTACTACCTCTCTTCTCCCTGTTCCTGCATAGAAAGTATTAATTTGTTCAATGAATGATGTCGATAATCAACCTGTAGAACTAGGAATCTGATTCACCTCATGCCCAAGTTTCGCAGCAGTGATTCCGATTGAAGTGGTCTAAGGTAAGGCCACCGTGCGTCTCATTTGCAGCCAGGCCTGGAACCGCTCATGTAGCTTAACTGTGGATATGCTTTTTTTGAGCCCTGAGGTCCACCCCAGGGACGCAACAGGGGGAGCACACCAGCTGCCTCCAGGGAAGTTTATTTTAAAATAAGAGAAACTAGCTTTTTTTAAGTACTTATATTGTTCCATGCCCCTACCGCATTCTGATCTCTTTACCTTAATAACAACTTAGTGAAGTGATTACTATTCCTATTTGCCTGTTACGATTGAGGAAACTTAAGGAAAGAGGTCACTCAGTAATTGGCAGAGCTTGGCAGCGTTAGGATTCTGTGGAAATTTTTGTTTAAGAAAGGGGATGGCTTCCTCTGGTTTTTCAGGAGAGATGAAAATCACAGAATGAATGCATACTGGATTCTCTTCAAATGGCACTCTAAGGTTCTCTGCCTTTTTTAACAGGTGAAAAATGTCTGTGAGAGCAAGAGCAAACTCATTGCTTACTTCTGGAAGACACATATGAATGCTAAGCGGTGTCCCCACTGCAAGTGAGTATCAGGGCTCTGGCCAGTCACTCCCAGCTGTTAATAAATGTCCTGTTGGGGTTTTTTTCTCTCCTCAAACACAACTGTCCTCCTGTCTAGGACTGGGCGGTCAGTTGTCCGAAAGGAGCACAACAGCAAGCTAACAGTCACGTATCCAGCCATGGTGCACAGGAAAGCTGACCAGAAGGGCACAGAGCCCCTGGGTAAGCCCTCAGCCACGTTTCTCATGCGCGGTCATCAGATGGGTCCCAAACCTTGGGAATATCTGGTCCTCTGAGCCATGTCTCTCAGCTGTGTGTTTGTGGTGGGCCATGGCAGAGCTGTGCTCGAACTTCTTAGGGTTGAGGGATCCTGGTGAGTGCCCACCCCTCACCCCTCACACAGCTGACGGGCTGGGCTGCGTTAGGAAGCAGTGCCCTGTGGGCTGAACAAGGCACCTCTTGCTTCTGGTGGTCGTTCTTTGAAAGATTTTTGAAGAAGTTAAGTAAGATACTTTCCAGGTATTTAGAACTATTTTGTTGTCAAACAAGTGTGGATTTATTTTGAAGTAAAATGTAGGTGAATTTTAAAGAAAAACTGTGAGCGAAGAACATTAGCACCTCCTGCAGGCTGCTTCTGGCTGTCCACCAAATCCCTGGGGTCGCGTGTCCCCTCCTCAGCTCTGTTCTGCCGTTGGGGTACTTGACGGAAATTTTGAGAGACTGACTTAGTACTCCTGCTTTTTTATTTTTGTTGGTTGTAGGTTTGCTTAAATATGTTTTTTGTTTTTTATCCTGAGTGGTGAAGATTATATAAGGGTATCCCATTTGAAGTACAAAGACCTATGCCTGCTACGTAGTATGTGCTCTGTAGATGTTAACTGTTCATTTTTATTGTACAGTCAGTGCTCCAGGGAGGGAAAAGCATAACCTGTGATCGACACCTTGCTCTGCTGTTCATTCTGAGTAGGTCTAGCAATTAAGTAGCCCTATTAGAGGTCACTTCCAGGTGCTTCAGTTTCCAACTCTGTGGTATGGCAGTTTCATGTGTGAAAGTCTACAGCACATGTGACTAAACTTTACTCCAGAACTTGAGAATGTGGAAGAGACAGGGAAATAAATTCTCTTCCTTGAGATGCATAATCTATCTTTTATATTTGAGGACTCTGGTAAGGCATGGAGTAAACAGCTGTCTTAGTCTGTTTGGGCTGCTAGAACAAAATATCACAGACTTATGCTTACAGACACATATATTTGTTTCTCACAATTCTGGAGGCTGGGAAGTCCAAGATAGGGGTGCTGGTAAATTCAGTGTCTAGTGAGGGCCCACTTCCTTCTGGACAGCCCACTTCTCCCTATAACCTCACATGGCAGAAAGGGGCAAGGGAGCTTTCTGGGGTCTTTCACAGAGGCATCAGTCCTACTCATGAGATTTTCATCTTCATGACCTAATCACCCCCAAAGGCCTCACCTCCCAACAATATCACCTTGAAGGTAAGGATTTCAACATGTGACATTTGGGGGACACAAACCTTCAGACCATAGCAGTAACAAACTAGTAACAAACATGTTCATTACTTTTTTAAAAACCTTTTACTTTAGACTAATTTTATTTAAAGATTTTATTTATTTATTTTTAGAGAGAGAGGGGAAGGACAGGAAAGAGAGGGAAACAACGTGTGGTTGCTGCTCATGCGCCCCCTAGTGGGGGGCCTGGCCCACAACCCAGGCATGTGCCCTGACTAGGAATCAAATCGGTGACCCTTTGGTTTGCAGGCCGGCCACTCAGTCCACTGAGCCACCCTAGCCAGGACTAGACTAATTTTAGATTTATAGAAGGGTTGCAAAAATTATAATATAGAGAGTTCCTATATATTCTTTTCTTTTTATTTCACATGTGCTCTTTATTCAGTTTACCTTACTGTAACATCTTGGATCACCAATGGTGCACTTGTCAAAACTAAGAAATTAACATTGGTACATACTGTTAATGGAACTACAGACTTTATTTGAACTTTTCCAGTAATGTTCTTTTTATGTTCCAAGATCGAATCCAGGATGTCACATTTCATTTAAAAAGCCTGTTTAATGGTTTAGAGTTAACCACAGGGTAGATTTTCTACACTTACCAATAAGTAGTCCTTTAAACAGTTTTTAAGGTTGGGAACTGCTGCTCTGTTCCTGTTAGGATGCCTTAGAAAATGTTGACAGATTGAGAACAAAGGTGGTCAGAATACAAGAACATACTGTTTCTTTGGGGCACATATCTAGCAGTTAAGTAAACTTTCAATGTCTTTGTCAAATCCATTCTTTGAAGTAATCTCTCATGACAACCAAGAGAATATGATGATGCCAACCAAAAGTCTGCATTAGAGTCAACAGTTGTCTTCCATGCTTCTAGAGTTGGGTTTTTAGTATTTAAAAAGTATTTACTTTTGGGGGACTCAATCTCATGCTAAGAAATATGCTTGTGGCCAAGCACAGTGCCAAGGTGGAGATCTGACCACGTGGCCTCCGCTCTCAGAAGAGGCTACCAGAGTCATAGGTTACTGACACCAGACAGGTGATGTGGAGTCAGGTGAACGTTATGAGCTAGGGTCTGGCCACAGCCATGGTACCAAAGGGATCTAAGCAGTGACTGCGCCTCATTTGTGCCCACAAACGGCATCTCATGAGGAGAACCATAAGCTTGTAAAATGCTGCTTATGGGGCTCCAGGGGCCTCCTCGAGCCCCACAGGGGACGCTGGTGTTTTAAATGAGAATTCTTACAGCCAAGACACTACACCCACTGTGATCCAGGCTTCCCCTGGGTATTTGACCTTCCACCCCCCTTTTGCACATAGCACCTCCCAGAATGAAACACATGTTAGGAATGTTTCTCCCATCCAGGCAGATTTCGTCTTGGCAGGCAGCAAAAGTATCTTTGTTGGGAGGGTCGCATCCCATGCGAGGTAGCTTCCTACAGGTCTCTTCAGACTCAAATCCTGTGACTGAACCACTGCAATCTGCCTTCATGGTGGTTAAACTGGTAGGAGCACTTCATGTCCTGACAGGTCTGGGACAGGAGCTGGGGAGCATTGTCAGCTTCAGCTGATCTTCCTCAGCCCTTAAATCTTGTTAAGTGGGAAAGAAAGCTCGGGTAGTTGTTTGAAGAAATTCTCACCAGTTGTTCTTTAGGGTAATGGGGCCTTTTTTTTTTTTTTTTTTTTTTTTTAATCCTCACCCAAGGGCATTTTTTCATTGCTTACGAGAGAGAAATATGGATTGGTTGCATTCCTCATACGTGCCCAAATGGGGATTGAACACGCAACCTGGGTATGTGTGCTAACTGGGAATCAAATCTGTGTCTTTTCAGTCTGCAGGACTAACTGCCAAACAACTGAGTCAGGGCAACGGGGTCTTTTTTTTCCTTCTGAACGTACAAGGCTTTGGTTATTCCTGAAAGTCAAATCCTCTTTTTATTTCATGTTCCTCCTTCCTTCAGTTACATTAACTGATTGAAATGTTTTGCCTTTATAAGAATCAAAAAATTAAATGTGTAGACTCCTTAACCTAGCAATTCTGCTTCTATGAATTTGTCCTTAACGATACCCACAACTTTAAATAGTTTAAAATTGGAAATGACTTAAATGCCTATTAATAGAGAATAGTGAACTAAATTATGATATATATGTATATAAATTGTTATACAAGTTACTGATTTCTCTAAGACCTTGTGATAACATATCTCTGGCAGATGATAAAGAAACTAATTGGAAAATTGGAGGTGGAATGAAGCTGGATTTTACAACTACAGAAAAAGGCAAAAGAATGAGGTTTTTAAGTATAGATAATCTTAGGATATTTTGAACATGTGAACATATTCAAGCCAATGACTACTTAGTATCTGACACAATGTCCTAGGCTTTGTGTCAGGTGGTAGGAACACAGACAAGATAGAGTTCCTGCCCTGATAAGTATACATAAAGGGAAAATTGAGCAATATCTAATTTCCATGAAGGTATCCTAGAAGAGGTTGATAGTTTTGACCTAAAGGGTCACATTACTTAAATCTTTTTAACCATCTAAGGGCCTGGAACCTGATGTTGTGAATGGCAGCTCAAGGTCTGACTTTCTGACCTACCCTGAGTATAGCTGATGTATCCCAGAGTGATCTTACTTGATCTGAGAAACCAAAATCAGTCTACTCATTACACATCGGCATGATATATGTAAGAAGAAATTGAATATACATTTACCCATAAAAATGTTCATACTCATTTATCTTAATTATTTTCTGGGAACCTTTCTTATAAAAACTGTGTCCATATACAGTATTTAAAATTATAGTGTTACTTATAAAAGTGAAATACTGGGTTCAACGCACACAATCAACCGTAAGAGTATGCTTAGATCACCGAGGAAAACATTCTCTCAGCAGAATATCATGCAGTCATTAAACATGTGACCTGGCAAAAGCTATGTGGCAACATGTTGAAATGCTCACAAGAAGATACTAACTGAGCAAAGTAGTATACAGAGGAAACCCACAGTTAACATTACACAGTTATCTAACACACCATTTAAACCAAAGGACTGGAAAAGAATATATAATAGTGATATAATGTAATGTGATGGGATTGTGGGTGATTTTTTTTTGGCCTATGCTGTATTGATTTTATATATAGTTTTATTTTTTTCATGATTTTAGAAATTAGATTAAGGGGGCTGAGAATATGTTGTCCCAGAGTTTGATATTAGTGATCAAATTGCAGGCTTGGCAGAGTGGGGAGAAAGAATTGATAAATCCCATTAAGGAAGAAGTACCTGTAACTGACCTATGCATTGATTCCCCTCTGCTCCAGGAATTGAGGAAGCTCAGATGGGAAAACGAGGGTACCTGACACCCACCAGTGCACGAGAACATCTTAGTGCCCTTTGGAAGAACGAAGGTGCTGTACCAGCCTAAAGAAATAACCCTTTATCTTCTGACTTTAATTTCCTGAACTCATTTGCTCTGCCTTACTATTTTTGTTTATTGAAGTTGTGATTATTGTAGATCTCTCTTGAAATCAATTCTCAAGCTTCAGGGTCCATTGTCATTGAATGCGTTATAGACTGGAGAAGGTCTTACGCCTCGAACCATTAAGGTTTCTTTGGGAATTCCTTCCACGAATGGAATAATACTAATATGTATTTTTAATTAGATTTTTACATTTTAATTCCCTACAAAAAGGAAAATCCTTCGCTCCCTTTTGAATGAATAAGAAAACCTATGCAGTATATCCAAACCCTCATGTTACCCACCCTCTGAGAGTGTATTCTGGAACAGTGGATGTAACCATTGAGTAAGGATAAGTGTTTAAAAATGAAAATATTGTTCTGGTCAAGATGGAGGCATAGATAAACGTGGCTCAGCTCCTTGCACAGCTACAGCAAAAATTACAACTAAATTTAAAAAAACTATCACCCAGAATTGTCAGAAAATTGAGCTGTATGGAAGTCTGACAACAAAGGAATTAAAGAAGTCACATTCATCCAGACAGTAGAAGGGGCAGAGATATGGAATGGGTGGTCCCACAACCACATGTGGAGGATAAAATTCGGAAGGGATATCTCAGGAGCAAGGGATCCAGCCACACGCGAGACCACCGAGCCTAGTGCTCCAGTGCCAGGAAGATAAGTCCCATAACTTCTGGCTGTAAAAAACAGTGGGGGATGGGGCAGTGGAAGAAACTGCAGGATTCTCAGGCGTCTCATCTTAAAGGGCCCACAGTGGTCTTAGGACTTACACAGACTCACTCTCTCGGGGCTCCAGGGCTTGGGCAGCAGTTTGAAGAGCACCAGGGCATGCTGGGAGAAACTGCAGTGTCTGACGCTGGGGTGAGTGCCAGGGAACAGCTGCTTCTGGACAAAACTCCAGAGGCCAGGCACAGCCATTGTCCCTTTTCTGAGCCCTCCTCCACACAGCCACAGAGCAGTAACACCATATCTGAGACTCCATCAATCTGATTCACGTGAGTTGCCCCACCCTGGTGATTACCTAATGCTCCACCCCATCTAACACATGGGTGCTCTTTTCTACAATAGGCCATGCTTCTAACACAGGAAGTCAAAGCAGTTCTGCCTAATACATAGAAACAAACACAGGGAGGCTGCCGCAATGAGCAAAGAAACATGGCCCAAATGAAAAAACAGAACAAACCTCCAGAAAAAGAACTAAATGACATGGAGATAAACAATTTATCAGATGCAGAGTGCAAAACACCGGTTATTAGGATGATCAAGGAACTCACTGGGTACTTCAGTAGCATAAAAAAGACCAGGCAGAAATGAAGGTTGCACTAAGTGAAATAAAAATTTACAGGAAATCAGCAGTGGAGTGGATGAAGCCAAGAATCAAATGAACAATTTGGAACATAAGGAAGAAAAAATATTCAATCAGAACTACAAGAAGAAAAAAGAACAAGTAAAACACAGTATGGTAAGAAACCTCTGAGACAAGGTCAAACATACGAACGTTCACATCAGAGGGGTGCTGGAAGGAGAGGAGAAAGCAAGAAATTGAAAACTTACTTGAAAAAATAATGAAAGAAAACTGAAAACTTTCCTAACTTGGTGAAGGAAATAGACATACAAGTCCAGGAAACAGAGTCCCAAACAAGATGGACACAGAGGATCACACCAAGGCGCATCATAATTAGAATGCCAAAGGTTAAAGATAAAAAGAGAATCTAAAAGCAGCAAGAGAAAAGCAGATAGTTACCTACAGGGGAGTTCCCTTAAGACTGTCAGCTGATTTCTCAAAAGAAGCTTTACTGTCTAGAAGGGACTTGCAAGAAGTATTCAAAGTGATTAAAAGCAAGAACCTACAACCTAGATTACTTTATCCAAAAAAGCTATCATTTAGAATCAATGGGCAGATAAAGTGCTTCCTAGACAAGGTAGAACTAAAGGAATTCATCATCACCAAGCCATTAGTACATGAAATGTTAAAAGGACTTATTTAAGGAAAAGATCAAAATTATGAACATTAAAATGGCAAATTCACAACTATCAACGACTGAATATAAAAAACTAAGCAAACCAGCAGAATAGAAACAATCAAATGTGGAGGTCATCTGGAGGTTGATCACTTGGGAAAGGCATGGTGGAGAATGGGGGGAAAGATGTAGGGATTAAGAAGTACAAATAAGTAGTTACAGAAGGGCCATGGAGATGAAAAATACAGTATAGGAAATGAAATAGACAAAGAAGTTACATGCATGACTCCTGGACATGAACTAAAAAGGAGGGGGATTGCTGGAATGAATGGGGGTTGCTGGGTGGAGGGGGCAAAGGGAACAATTGGGACAACTGTAATAGTATAATCAATAAAATATGTTTTAAAAAAGTGAAAATATTGCTGAAGGTATAAGATATGTCTGTAAAAAAAAAAAGGCACTCAACGTAGTATGGTTTTTTTATGTGGCAGGCCCTCATGGGTTTATTCATTCTCAGTAGCATTTTTTTAAGGTCACTGGAAACTTGAAGTAATAGCCTTGAATTCAGGGAAGATTCTTCTTGGTAACATCAATGTGAAGAGTTTTACCTTTTTTTTTTTTTTTTTTTTTTAAGAATATTTTGGTTTGATTTTTTTTTCTTTCCATATTTCAACTACATGCTTTATAAATACCAAAGTAATCATGTACGTGTGTGTGTAAGTCTGAAACAAGTGGCAGTTTTTATTTTCCACCCCTGTTGTCCCTGAAGTACCCATCCTTAAACTATCTGTGTGCAAGCTTTCAGCACTGAGGGGCTATTCAACACTGAAACACTTTTTCACTTGTTTTTGTAAAGAAAACTCTAGTGTTACTCTGTATATTTTCCTATATTCTGGTATTCTTTTTTTCATGAGTAAAATGTTTTATCCATCCATGCTCTCACATACATTTAAATAGTCTTTTTGGTTCATTTCAAACACAGGATTCTTTCTGAGCTTCCTTTTTTCGGGACTAGAAGAGGTTGGCATGGAGTCTAGATTCAATCCCACTATGTTCTTTCTGGATTTCTTGGTCGTGCCACCCTCAAGGTAATGCCCTTTAATTGACTTTATTTCCCCTGAAAAGGAATGTTGAGTAGTTGAAGTGATGACCTCTGGGAGAGATGGAAGGATGAAGGGCACTGAGAAATAGGGCAGCAGTCATGCTTCCAGGTTGCAGGTGGTGGGAGTATTTTCCTCTCTGTCCTGAATGCAGTAGGACTGTTAGTTGTTTTTTGAGTGTAGTGGGGTTTGGGTTACTTACAGTAAGGCTAGGGTGAGGCTGAAAAACACGACCCTTCCCCCACACTGCACATTCACTGATTCCATGTGTCCCCCTGCAGATACCGCCCTGTCAATCGCCTAGGGGACCAGATGTTTACCAATGGCCAGACGGTGAACTTGCAGGCTGTCATGAAGGATGTGGTTCTGATCCGAAAGCTTCTGGCGTTGATGGCCCAAGAACAAGAGCTGCCATGTGAGGTGGCAGTGCCTGCAACAGATGAGGTAGGTCAGGGCTGTCTTGGAGCTGATGTCATTAACACACATGCTTAGCTCTAACTCCCTGCAGTGGGTGTAGAATGCTGTGGGTGCTGGGAAATGCTGGTTGGGAATGTGGGCATCTGTGTGTGGGCTGTCATTTGTGGGAAACATGGGTAATGTCGGGGATAGCATGGTCTGAGCATGGAAAGGTCTAGGTTTACATCAGTGACCTTGGATAAGTTGCTTAATTTTGTGGACTCATCTTTTCTCACAGGTATGGTTTGTCAAGAGATTTTACACATAGGCTATTCTGGACCACCTGCCCTTGGTAACTCTAGAAAGAAAAGTTTGCTTCCCTTGGACTCTTAAGAATGTTCCTCCTGGGTTACTGTACTAGATCCTGAGTCGCCCAGCTCTGTTTTGGCTCATTAAAATCTCCAGTGTTGGGGTCAGGAAGGCAATGTTGTAGATTCTAGGAATTTCCCAGGATAGGACTGTTAGATTTGGGGCCTCAGCTTCCTCCTCAGTAAATTGTGGAGCTGAATTTAATTTTCCCATTTCAGCAGACATTTCTGGAGCCCCTTCAGTGTACCACGTCTTCAGTAGATATAGTGAAGGTTTGCTGAGGTCACCAAAGTCTTCCCAGCTCTCAGATGCTCACTCTGGAGGCAAATAGGAAGGACTTTCTCAGACTTGAGTTGTCTGGCTTCTCAGGCAGGCTCCCTTCTACCTGTGGAGAGAGTCATGCTATGACCTAGGCCCATCACCAGGTGGCGCCACTATTTGTCTTGGACACTCACTCTGGGTTACCCAGCCTTTCTGCCTGGAGCTTTATTTGGTTTTGCTTAATCTGATCTGCAGCATAGGTGTGCTTTTAAAAATCCTCAGTTTAAGAAATCTGACATCTTCAGGTCCTAGTCTCTGAAAAAATAAACAGTATCCTCTGTAATTCCTAAAGTCCTTGTTAGCTGAAGTCACTGTGCCCTTTTTCCATCTGATTAACAGGAAATGCCCTGTTTCTTTCCTGACTTGCTCTCCACATTCCATTCCCATGGCAGTCCTCTCACAAGTCATGAATGCTTGGCATGGGCCAGGCACTGTTCTAGGTACTGAGGATACCCAGTGAGACAGTCTCTCATTTCATAAGTGATCACATGGTCCTGAGGCAGGTAATGCCACAGCAGTGAGTTAGGCTAACAGAGCCCCTGTCATCATACAGGTGACCATCACTCCCTGCGTCAGCCAGAGCAGAATATATATCTGCCCTGCCTGTAACTGCAGATGAGACCCTCTTTCCTCAGGCTGAGGAGACGCCTACGTCATCACTGATGGGATCCACAACATTCTCATTTACTGGATCTTCCCCAACCTTACCTGTTCCCTCACCCAGCACACTGACAGGTTTCTTCTCTCATCTGACCCACACTGAGGGACATGGGACCATCTGTCCGTATCTCCTGCATCATAGCCAGCTGGATGGGGCCAGTCAGTGGCTGTACAGTGTCAGTAGGTGGTGCTCTAAAGCAGCTTTAGGCCTCGGGGCCTATCCCCTGGGCAGGGAGAGTGATGCAAGGAGGAAGCAGAGCCAGGGACAGAAAAAGGTTGGTTAAATATTCCAGTGAGGCTTGGAGATCAGTTGGTCACTCGGCTTATCCCAGTTGCGGACCCACATCCTAATTGATGTCATATAAAGTCATGTGGCAAACAGTTTTTCCTTCTAAGAAAATTTCCACCTGTATTTTTGTGAGTGCTTTGGATCAAGTTTTTCCCAGACCATAAATAGAGCTGAAACTCCGTATGAAAGTTTGTTATCTGGCAGGATAACAAAGTTTCATAAAAAAAAAAGATGGATGTGGGAAGACTTTCTAAGGTTGCTTAGAAATTAGATATTAAGGGACTTCTACGACTGCTGCAAGCAGTTTGATGAAACAAGCTCTCATGTTGGAGAAGCACATGGCAAATAACTGAAGATGGTCTCTGGCCAACAGCCACCTAGGAGCTGAGGCACTCAGTCTGGCAGCCCTTGGGAAACTGAATTCTACCAACAACCATGTCAGGTTAGAGTTAGATCCTTCCATAGCGAACCTACAGATGAGAATCTAACACTGGCTGCCTGCATCATGGCCTGGGAGACGCTCCAAAGCAGAGAGCAGTGAAGTTGTGCCCAGGTTCCTGACACATGGAGACTGGGGGATAAGTGTGTATTGGTATAAAAGAAAAGAAAGAAGCCAGCTTATAAATTTGAGTTCGTTTTGCTACTAGGAAGAGATGAGCTTCGAAATATGTATTGGGGCTGATGTTTTGTTGATGCATATTGATGCTAGTAGACTAAGAAAGAAAACCAAGCCTGGCTTTTTTGAGGTTTTTCCATCATGCCTGTTTTCTTGGTTGTCTTGTCAGGAAAAAGACTCTTCGAATGTGATGGACCGATCCTTTTTGAATATGCTTCCAGGCCAGTCCCTCACAGACAAACTTTACAACATTTGGATTCGCCTTCAGAGCCACGTCAATATTGTGTTTGATAGTGAGATGGACAAATTAATGATGGAAAAGTACCCTGGCATTAGACAGGTAAGCAGTAAGTTGGATCCCCATTGCTAGCTGAAGGGTTAAGTAATAAATAAACATTTGTATTGAAACAAGAATAATAAATACACTTGATTTTTTTAATGCTTTATTTGGATTTTCCTCCCCCCATAAAGATCCTAGAGAAGAAGGAGGGCTTATTCCGAAAGCACATGATGGGAAAGCGAGTAGATTACGCGGCCCGCTCTGTCATCTGCCCAGACATGTACATCAACACCAACGAAATCGGAATCCCCATGGTGCGTGCTGAGGAGCATCGTTTGCTACTGTTGGGCAGCAGATGGGAATGTCAAGAAGGGCTGGAGAGAAGTGTGTGACACAGTGTGGTGACTTTGGTGGGGACAGCTTCTCTGTCTTCCTGGTTAAGTCTTTTGGAGAGGATGTGAGGCTGTGTGATAGCATTGCTCTCATTCCTTGTCAGGTTTTCAAACACCTTCTGCCTCTGAGGAAAACCCACTTTGTGGGCCACAAGGGTGCTGACTGCAGGGTGTTCACATCCCTGTCTGCATATCTTCCTTCTGCCTGTGTTGGCCTAGTCTTTACGCCTTCCTAGACAAAGTGGCTACATGACAGATGAGCCAGCAAGAGGGAGGGATTTCCATCCCATGTGCTCTCCTGGTGTCGTGAGTCAGGATTTTATTCCCTTAGTTGCCAGGGAGAGGAAGTGGGTGTATTTTCCATCCTCCCAGTTCCTCTGGGTAAGTGGTTTGCCCCAGCCACCCATTAATGTTTCCTTGGGGAGTCAGCCTCATTCACTTCCCCATTAGCTCAGGCTGCAGTGCTCCTTAGCAGCAGCGCTTTAATCAGCTTCCTCCTTAATGGTCCCTGAGGTCAGTAGTATGAAGATGGTTTAATTCCTTTGGTGGAGTCTCATTTTTTTAGGTACTGCCCCTTCTGCTGTTGTCAGGGGAGTGCTGGGGATGCGCAGAGCTTAACTCTTCTGGTGGCCTCCTTGTGCCCACTGCCTCCTCTCTCTCGGGCATGCTCAGCAAGGGCATGACAAATGAAGGGGAGTCAGAGAACACTCAGTCCTGTGCCCACCACCCTCTGGGAACCGTAGGTCTTTGCATCCAGAAGCTGGGTCAAGTGGCAGGGAACGGCATTGTGAAGCGAGTGGTGATATTCATGAGTCTGAGGCCCTGAGGAGAGAGGCCCCTGACCTGTGTGTTGCTTTTTCTGGACAGGGCAGGGGGTACCCCAGTTGGCTTTGGCCTCATGGTCCCTAAAGTGTCCTCAGCTTTGGGAGAGACTGTTAGTGCTGTCTTCTCTTTCCACCTTTAGAGGTTCTGGGCGTCACCTCTTGGATCGGATCTGAGTTCCTTTGGTAATGGCTTGTCCCCTGAGGGAGACTCTGCACTTACCCCTTGGCCTACCTCCAACCTGCCCCAGGTCTCAGGGCCATCATGGCCAGGGCTGTTGCTCACTGGGAGGCCATGAGGAACAGAACGTATGAAACTGCCTCTCGGTCCTTCGTGGTACATCCTCCCCCTAGTGCCCTGTGAAGAGGTGTCATGGTAGCAAAGGAGATGAAATGCGTTTGTGGAATAAGTTAGAGACTCAGCGGTGAACCACACAGACAAGAGTGTCCCCTGTGAAACTTACATTCCAGTGGTGGAGACACATGAACAAACACACAGGAACATAAGCACTTGGGTAGTGGTCAGTGCATTGGCAAAAGCAGAACACGCTACAGGAGAGGGAGCGCACGGCGGGGTGGCAGGAAGGCCCCTCTCTCACAGAGTGCCGCTGGAGCAGAGCACCAGACAAAGTTCAGCAAGGTCCTTTACATGGGACTTCTTGGACTCTGATATATTTATGTGCATTTAGAAGTATCAAAGAGTTTATAATATTCAGTAGCTCAGAAACTTACTTAACCAGGGAACTTGTTTTTGGAGTGGCACGTTGCAGGTCTAGTGTTCAGTGGGGCACTACATTTTCTTAAGTCTCAGGAAGCCGAGTCGGTTTCAGGTACCACCTTGATTATAGTGGCTGATGCCATGTCTGGACTCGGGCAAGCGCCATGATCAGTTACTGATGCCTGCTGGGGTGTGGTGGTATTTGAGGTGGCATTTGCCACCTCTCTCACGCTGGTGTCCCATTCTGTGTTCCCTTTGGGGCCCATGAATTTATTGGCAGATGAGGAAATGAAGTTTTAGAATGGGTTAAAGAAATTCCAACATGTAAACTGCAATACGTGCATTGTTCTCTTCAGACAGATTGCCGAAAAAGGAGGCCCAGCCTCTGTTACCTTAAGGCCTCAGATGTGGAAAAATGACTCTGTGGGGGAGTCAGGCAGGATGTTGCTTTTCTCTGTAAAGGACCTTTTTGGCTAAGACAGAGCCTCCATGTCTTCGGGAAAAAATCAGACAGCTTATTGAGTCAGACTGTGGTTCCATGAACCTTTTTCTGCCCACCCTGAATTTTTATATCCACTCCTTGTTTTTAGGTTTTTGCTACAAAACTGACCTACCCTCAGCCAGTTACCCCCTGGAATGTTCAGGAGTTGAGACAGGCAGTCATCAATGGCCCCAACGTGCACCCGGGAGCCTCCATGGTCATCAATGAGGACGGCAGTCGCACAGCCTTGAGTGCTGTGGATCTGACCCAGCGGGAAGCCGTGGCCAAACAGCTCCTGACGCCAGCCACCGGGGCACCAAAGCCCCAGGGGACAAAAATTGTGAGTAGTGGGCAGATTTGATCAGTGGCTGCTAGCCATTGGCTGTGAGCTCCAGTGAGTGCATGGCAGGAATGCTGTGTGAGGTGTTTCTGCTTCTTGAAGATGAAGCTTCTCCCACATGTGGGCGCTCCTTAGGGGCTTTGCGGTGCTTGCTTTATCTCCCCCGCTGGAGCTCCTGGGGCCCCAGCACCATCATTGAAGCTTCATCTGCCTGTCTTCCGCCATGCAGCACAGTGCTGGGCACACATCAGGGGCGTGAGAAAGGTCATCAGTAATAACTCAGTTGTGGTCCTGGAGCAGGAGAACTGGCTGTCCTTCACTAGGGCTGCACAAAGAGTGGTCCTCGGATCAGCAGCAGCAGGATTCCTGTAGCTTGTGAGAAATACACATTCACTCTCGCCCTCCCCCTCCGCCCCCCAGCTACTGAATTAGCCGCTCTGGGAATGGGGCCCAGGAGTTTGTGTTTTCACAGCTCTCTGGAGGGTTCCTCTGCATGCCAAAGTTTGAGAATTGCCCCAAAGGAAGAAAATATTCTATGTCAGTGATAACTGATAGCTGACAGGTTTCATCTGCTGCTTCAATTTCAGGCAGTTGTTAGCATTCACCTGTAGTACTGTGTTAAGGGATACTGAGCCTTATCTGGGCTCCACTGGCAAGAGTTCATGACCGATTAGAAATGTCGGTGAGAGTGTCAAATCAGCGGGTGACAGTGTTCGTATCTTTGTCAAGTAATAGTTGTTTTGCCAGAAGGGGGTAGCAAATGATCCCTTAACCAGGTGGTCGTGGCAGAAGTTGTTGGAGTTAAAGAGATTCAACTTGGGTTTAATTTCTGACTGATGGCCCAGAGTCAGGCAGTGAGTGGCTACGCTTTCTTCACCTGTCTGCACGTTTGTGCGATCTCCCCTTGCCCTCTAACACGTCTAGACCCAGCAGCTGGCCAGGCCTTCGCAATGGATCTGAGCATTACTATTACCTCAGCTGTAACAGGACTTTGGAGGAGACACAGAGGAAAGGGAAGCACTCTTGACTTTGTTGCGGAACCACTGGTTTCCACCATTTTTCACCGCAGCCTCTTGTCTTGCCTCCTCTCCACCTTGCAGTGCCCCCGAGGTAGAGCAGTAACATGCCACGTGGTTTCTGCTTTGGTGTAGGGGACACATGCAGAAACAGAACAGTCACCTACTTTTTTTTACTAGTGTACTCAGTTTTATGTGTAGGCTCACAAGTTACTCTGCCTCCCTTAAGTGCCTGGTGTTTTGCTAGGAGTTGTGTGAGAGGTGCAAGAACAGTTAAGCAGTTCACTTAACTTAGAGTGACCTCAAGTTGAACATGTAAAACAGTCTCAGTAGGAAATTTTGAGAGAAAACTTGAGAGGAAAGCAGAGTAGGGTCCGGCAGTCGTGAGCGAGGGCCCACTACCTGCGTGCGTGCTACACTTTGCCAGTCACCGTATATAAGATCCTGCCACCCTGGAATTACAGTGTTGCCGCCAGGGAATGAGACTATAAACGTGTTACCCACCGTTGAGTGCTGTGGCACACACAATAGGGAATAGCTGTGGAGGTCAGCAGCTTTCCGTTTGTGAGCACGAGAAGAAAGGAGTGTGAGGGCAGTGTTGCAGGGTGGGTTTGGAGCCCTCAGAAGGCAGGGGAGCCAAGGGTGAAAGCAAGGGACCTTTCAGAGTGAGAACGGGGGACTTGAGATGGGGTGTCAGGGTGGTAGACAAGAGAGCAGGTGACAAGGAAGCTGTGGTTTACAGAACAGGAGAATGGGAGAGCCCTGGGAGGAGATGCCCCGTCTGGGCGCATCTAAATCAAAGTGATAGTGGAGAATCCAGGAGCCCATCTTCTGTAAAAGGTAGAAAGGTGGAACTTAGATCAGGGGGCCACTGAGTTAAGAGATGATATTATCAGAGTGTTCAACTCTTTGACCACAAAGTACCGTGGAGAGAGAGAACCGGGGAGGGCTGGGGCGCGGAGCCCTGGGGCGCTGAGGGAGAAGAGACTGGCAGCTCCAGGCTCACTCGTTTGCTGTCTGCATCTGTCCTCCCGCAGAGGGTTGAGGGGTCCTTCCAGGTCAGGACCAGCCCCTGTCTTTCTCTCTCCCAGGACCCTTATTAGATATTCGTGGAGGTAAATATGAATTTTAAGAAGAAAAATTTTAAGAAGAGTGAGGAAATGGAAGATGCGACAGTGATCATCGCCTGTGACCAGGAGAGCTGTCTGAATAAGGGAAGGAGCCAGGTTTCAGAGCCACTGTGAGGCTGCGAGGGCAGTAGCTTGGTTAGGGCTTTTGACAAAAAAAGTAGCAGGATGTGGGGGGTTTCGACATTATTGGGATGTAAGGATGAGGCAGCCGCACAAGGGAACTTCATGTGGCCTCAGTTGCGTCCATAGGGTCAGAGATGAGCAGGATGAGAGCTTGGGGAGAGGGAGTGGCCTTGCTGCCACACATTGGCCTGTTCATGGAAAGTGACTGAACTGAGTTGTGAGCAGCAGTGAAGTTGTACGAGGTCAGCCCTGTTACTTGTCTTCCTTCTGAAGTTCAGATCCCGAGCACATTGTCCCTGCTTCCTCCTCCAGCCTCACTTCAGCTCACCCTTCACACTCCAGCTGTCCCCGTTGATGCAGGGCTCCTTCTCCCCTTTGGGCCTTGTGCTTGTTACCCCCTGCCCGGACACCTTGCCACCCTACACTCCCAGGTAACTCCTGCTGATCCTTCAGGTTTCAGCAAGGTCCTTGTTCTTCTATGGCAGGGTTCCACTAACTTGTTCAGCAAGGACCATATGGTAAATATTTTAGGCTTTCGAACCATGCAGTCTCTGTGGCAACAATCCAACTCTGTTGTAGTGTGAAAGCCGCCACAGGCAGCACCTAAACAAATGGACATGGCTATGTTCTCAGTTTACAACAACGGGAGGCTTGCCTTCAGACCGCAGTTTGCCCCTCTCAAAACTGAGTTCCGAAATTCCATGAGGACCAGGGCAGGGTGTCCAGCTCACCACTCAGGAAGCTCTTGTGGATGGCTGGATCCAGGTTGAGGTTCAGGAGGCTCCGAGCCACGAAGGACCACGTTATATCTGATGATGTGACACAAGAACAAAGACAGAAAGGGCCAGGAAGAAGGAAAAGTGGGTCTTATATCAGGACCTAGGGTGATTATCTTTATTCTCCAAAAATCTCAGTAATGTTGCATATGATACATATGCATTTCATCAAATATGTGTGCACTTACCGTTTATTTGTAATTTGTAAAGACTGGTTAATGGCGTGGTGCGTAGATGAAGAGCAGGTTAAAGGGCTGGGTGAAGTGACAGGTCCAGGTGGGGATGAGAAGGGCTGAGAGAGAGGGGAAAGGATGACCGAAAGGCCTGTTACCTGGGAGGTGTGCGGTCTGTGCTCCTTCCTGTGGGCCTTGTAAATGGAAGAGGACGTGGCCAGCATGGCTGAGTCGCATTTCTTGGCCCAGCAGTCTGCCAGAAGCTGATTTTGGCTCTGGGTCTGCCTCTGAAAACTCTGACCCGGGCACTGGGGCACACTAATTTTCACTGCCGTATTTATTTAGAGACAAGAGAAAGGAAGGGCCTCAGATTTGGGTTGGCGAGGGGAATACCCTGTGCTCCAGGGCTTCTGTTTGGATTGGCCCATGCCTGCAGGTCTGGCCTGTGTGCCTTCTCAGCTGCGGGGTTTGCTTATACTGGAGGATGTGTCGAACTTGTGAGACTCGGAGCCGAGGCCCAGCCAGGGGTGCTGGGCCTGGACCACAAGACTGGCTGTTTCTCCTCTGAGAGCTTAAAGAAACACGGTTGTGCAAGTCAGCTCAGGCTCCGTGACGTGCTCTGGGCAGATGCTCACGGGAATCCTCAGAATCCAGGTCTCCCTTGGAAACACGGCTGTGGGGACAGGAAGGCCGAGGTTTGGATTCCTTGGGGAGCAGAAAGACTGACTGCTCTAGGGGCTTTTTGGGCCTGCCCTTTAGAATGTGTGGGCTTTGCTCCCTGCTTTCCTGAGCTTGAGGAAACTTCCAGCCCAGATGAGTAGGAATCGGGGGAGGGAGGTGGAGAACATCTTTTAGTAACCTCCAGCTTCTCTGTCCAACTTTCTGATGTAGCTCCATGAATGTGGACAACAGAAGAGTACACTAGCCTTGTCGTAATTTTTGGTCCCCTAGTGTGTTATCTGCTGGTACTTTTGTTTTTCCCTTTAGACAGGGGAAGGGAGGGAGAAAGGAGAGAGGCATTGATGTGCAAGAGAAACATTGACCAGCTGCCTCTCACACACTCCCAACTGGGGACTTGGCCCACAACCTGGGTGTGCCTTGGCCGGGAATCGAACCAGCCACCCTTTGGTCCACAGACTGCACTCAATCCACTGAGCCACACCAGCCAGGGCTCTGCTGGCATTTAGAGGAGACTTGGGGTGGGAGAGATCTCTCTGAGTTGCCTGGATTCCCCTGGGCTCTTCGGGGGCATGCAGTTTAGTGGGCATACTAGTTGCCTTTATGCATTTGTTTTTTAAATTAGTGTTTATAGTCATCATTTAGAAAGCCTAGTAGTTAATATAAGATAAGGTAAAGGGCAGTAAAATGCTTAATGAGCTTAATATTAAAGTCAGCTTTGTAGGGGGAGGTTTCTGTCAGGAGGACATGACCAGTGACGTAACAGGAAAAAAAGCATGAGTGGTGATTATCTTTAAGGGATAAAATTACTTGTGGGTTTTATTCTCTTTAAATTTGTCTAAATGTTCTGTTCTTCCCCCACAATGAGCATATCACTTGCCTTCTTTAAAAATAGTTGGAGATCTTTTTAAAATATGTGCTTACTGCAACATGAACAGTACAAAGATGTGTAAAGGTAGTAATAATAACAATGATAATCCATGCCTTCCCTACTTTCCCCAGGTGCCCCTGCCCCTGCAGAGACCAAAGTAATAGCTTGGTGAGGATCCAAGCACCCTTTTCCCTAGTATATATAAATGTGTACAGAGTTGGGTTGGGTTTTTGGGGGGTGGGCATTAAATTACCTCATTCTATCACCATAGATGGCACCTAGTTTTGTTGTTGTTTTTGTTTGTTTTTTACTGGAATACGTTATTGCCATCACTTAAGGACTAGCATAGATGTAACTCAGCCTTTTTCATCGTTACATAATACTCCACAGTATATACCATGATTTATTTGCCCGTGCTCCTCCTGTGGGGCAGCCAGATTAATTCCAGTTTCTGCCACTCTAAACAGTGCTACATAAACATAATGTTTATATAACCTTGGATTAGTGCTCTTTCTCTTCTGGAAGGCCAAAAGGAAATGAGTATTAAATGTTCTAGAATCTCTTGTCAAGCTGCCATAGTCTTTTGGGAAAACAATTTAAACTTTCTGTTAATTTTTTTAGTGTCATAAAATGTTTCCAGAGGGTTTGGAACTGGGACTCAAGAATCCTGTGTTCCAGTCCAGGCCCTGCTCTATGAGGTTGGTCAGGTTATTTCTTAAATGTGGAATTTATACGTAGACTAGCATACCCATGTATAAATGTTGGGGGGTTGGGGGGATTTGAGAGGTCTGCCAAATCCTTTCAAGCCCAGGAGTTTTATGATACATGCAGATATGCTCTCTTCAGATGTGTTCATTTCTTTCTTTAGATTAGTTCTCTGAGGAATTTAAGACTTTGGAAAGGCTCTGTGTCTCTGAAGAAGACAGGGGCCTCAAGCCTCATCTGTTACTTGAACCTCTGAGCCCAGAGCCTGAATGGGGTTATGCCAGACTAGTAGCTCTTTCTCAAATATTTTTAGAGTTTTGCTAGAGACTAAAAGTTCATCTTTTATTTAGTTGAATAAAGCATGAGAAAGATAGAAACCACACTCAGCCAGGCTGAGGTGAGCTCTCGGAATAGCAGTGGTGATGCTGAAGTTGCCGCCGATCACCGTTTTGTTCTACACTCTCCCCCCAGGTGTGCCGGCATGTGAAAAATGGGGACATTCTCCTACTGAACCGGCAGCCCACCCTGCACAGACCTTCCATCCAGGCGCACCACGCCCGCATCCTGCCTGAAGAGAAAGTCCTCCGGCTCCACTATGCCAATTGTAAGGCCTATAACGCTGACTTTGATGGAGATGAGATGAACGCCCATTTCCCCCAGAGTGAACTGGGCCGGGCCGAGGCCTACGTCCTGGCCTGCACAGATCAGCAGTACCTTGTTCCCAAGGTAGGTCTGACCTTGAGGCTTGTCTGCAGTCATTACTGGTACAACTTAGCACTTTAGATCTGGGCCCTCTCTGGCTCCCAGGGTCAGTGGGCAGCTCTAGGGCAGAAGCATGTGGAACACAGCGTCCTGGCTTCTTCCAGGTGGGGTTGTTGGTTCTCTAGTTGCTTAGAGCCAGGGAAAGGTTTTTGTTTTGCTGCCTCTTAAAAGTAGAAAGGATGAAGGTCGTGGCCGAAGGCCGAGTTTAGTAGCTACATAATAGGTCTTGTCTTCCAGACTTATGTTTGGATTCTTCAGTTTATTACCCTTGGCAAGGATTAGCATCCCAACTGTGTTGGTCCCCTTGGTTCTCAAATGACTTTGATCGTTTGAATTCTGATATGCATGAATTTTAGGAGACAATTTAAGTCCAGGGACCCAAGTGAGATCCCCCTTGAGGCCATGAAGTCATCTCCTCTTTGAATCCCTTCTCTCTGAGGTTGGTCCTCAGAGGCAGACCCAGGTGGTCATGGCTATCCAGAGGAACACAGAGGAAGGATGCAGGTTCCTTCCCCCGGCCTGGCCTGGCCAGGCCAAATGACACATTCCCGTTACATAGCAGGGGCCCGAGTCAGCGTGTTCATGGGAGGAACAGAGTGGGGAGAGAGCCAGTCCCTCTTTACCCCTCACCACTTACCCAAAGACCTGAGATCTTTTAAATTATAAGCCAGTTACATCACAGTGATTCACAATAATACATCGTTCACTTGGGTTGTGACGGAGTATGCAAGAACTAGTAGTAATAATGACGATAATATGGAATTGTGGCTGCCATTTTCAAGCACTTTTTCAGTGCCAGCACTGCAGAGCACTTAGGAGACTTCTCCTTTTACCTTCCCCACAGAAGGTGAAGTAGGTGTGTTAATGTCCATGTTTACAGATGAGGAAGTGCTGTAACCTTTCCCAGGAAATGCAGCAGAGGAGCAGGAGGAAGGGCAGGGAACTCCCAGATCCTGTGGGGTTTTATTCTTTTTCCCCTCTGTGGGCCCTGCCTCCCTTCTGCAAAGGAGATGGAGACCCTTGCACTGAGAGCACCGGAGGTTGCTCAGAGATGTCCTACATAGATTAGTGCCCTGTCCTTCTGGGAACTTCTCTCTCCCCTTCAGTCATCTGCCTCCCTGGGACTCAGGCAGGTGGCCAGGGGTCTAGCATCCCAGCTTCTTTTCCCAGAAGACATAATAACACAGTAGCTTTGTAGTGGACCCAAATGTTCAAGTTTAACTTTGCTTCCCTCCTCTGCCCACCTCAGCTAGCTCTTGGCTAGGGAGGGGCCTAAAAGTAGGAAGGAGGAGTTAGGGCCCACTCAGATTACTTGGGAATTAGAAGAAATAATTTTACTAACTTTACTACTAATTTTACTAATAATTAGAAGAAATACTTGGAATAATTTTATTAATTTGAAAACTGGCTTTTTGTCTTTTCCTGTAAACAATAACAGCCATAGCTGTAGTAGAGATGGCAGTAAAAGTTGATCCACTGAGCACTCCCTGTTCAGCAGGCACTGCTCGAAGCAGTTTGCAGACATTCTCTTACAGCAGCCTTATGAGGCAGGTGCGATTGTCACATGAGGAAACACAAGTAAGTTGCCAGCCAGCAGTGAGGCCAGGACTTGAACACTGGCCCATGTGTTCAGCCCGTTGATGGGCAAAGCTGGGGCTCAGTGAAGACACATGGAAGGAAGAGGCTCCCAGGTTAGTAGCTGGCCCTCGAGCTCTAGGAGCAAAGTCACAGTTCTCCACAGGAACACTTCCAGAGAGCAGCTGAGGGTTCCATTTTTACGGGCAGAGCGACCTCTAGACATTAGCTCATGGGGAGTTTGGGAGCTCCAGAATTCTTCAGCCAGTGAACTTGAATGTTCTGTACTTGATATTGATTGACAAAGGTAGTATAGGGGCTTCATGCTTACCTGTGTGCTGCAAAGGGCAGGCCTGTTTACATCCACATGCACCTCAACATGTGCTTTCCATGCCTATGAGTTTTAGGTCGGAAGACAGGAACAACATAGATAAATAAGCTTACGTCAGTAAATTTATTTTTTTTAATTTACTTTTCAGTTACAGTTCACATACAATACTTTATTGATTTCAGGCCCACAACATAGTGATTAGACATTTATATACCTTATGCAGTGCTCATAACCCCAAGTCTAGTACCCTACTGACACCATACATAGTTGGTGAATCGAAAAGATCACACACCATGATCAAGTGGGATTTATTCTGGGAATGCAAGGTTGGGACAACATTCTGACAGGTGTGAGGTGAGTCTCATTGTGGTTTTAATTTGCATTTCAATGATGACTGGTGATGTTGAGCGTCTTTTCACGTGTCTATGGGCCATCTGTATGTCCTCTTTGGAGAACTGTCTATTGAGGTCCTTTGCCCATTTTTTAATGGGGTGGTTTGCTGTTTGTTGGGGTTTTTTTTGGTTTTGAGTTTTGTAAATTCCTTATAAATTTTGGACATTAACACCTTATCAGATGTATTGGCAAATACGTTCTTCCATTCTATGTGTTGTCTTTTTATTTTGTTGTTTTCCGGTGCAAAAACTTTCTAGTTTGATGTAGTCCCGTTTGTTTACTTTTTCTTTTGTTTCCATTGCCTGGGAGATATATCCGATAAAATATTGCTACGAGCAATGTCCCAGATTTTGCTGCTTATGTTTTCTTCTAGGATTTTTATAGGTCTAACATTTAAGTCTTTATTCCATTTTGAATTTATTCTTGTGTGTGGTATAAGAAGATGGTCTAGTTTCATTTTTCTGCATGTATCTGTCCAATTTTTCCCAACACCTGAGATCTTACCCAGGTTCAGACCTCTGCAGGTTCATTTCTGGGTTCTTTATTCTGTTCCATTGATTTATGTGTCTGTTTTTATGCCAGTACCATGCTGTTTTGATTACTATGGCCTTGTAGTATAGTTTGGTATCAGGTAGCATAATACCTCGCACTTTGTTTTTTTTCCTCAAGATTGCTGTGGCCATTCAGGGTCTTTGTGGTTCCATATAAATTTTAGGATTATTTGTTCTAGTTCTGTGAAAATTGTCATTGTATTTTGATAGGGATTGCATTAAACCTATAGATTTCTTTGAGTAGTATGGACAGCTTAACAATGTTAATTTTTCCTATCCATGAGCACCCTATAGGCTTCCATTTATTTGTATTTTCTTCAACATTTTAACAATGTTAATTCTTCCTCTACATGAGCATAGTATATGCTTCCTTTTATTTGTATTTTCTTCAATATTTTAACAATGTTACTTCTTTCTATCCATTTTCTTCAGTTTCTTTTTCAGTGTCTTAGAGTTTTTTAAGTTTAGGTCTTTTACATGTTTGGTTAAATTCCTAGGTATTTTATTTTTTAGATGCAATTGTAAACGGTTTTGTGTTCTTAGTTTTTCTGATAGCTTGTAGGTGTATAAAAATGCAACTGATTTCTGAATATTTTTGTCTCCTACTTTACTGAATACATTTATTTCTAGTAGGTTTTTTTGTGTGTGGAATTTAGATTCTATATCTATGGTATAATGTCATCTGCAAATAATGACAGTTTTATTTCTTCCTTTCCAGTTTGAATGCCTTATATTTCCTTTTCTTGTCTGATTGCTATGGCTAGGACTACAATGAATAAGAGTGGGAAGCACACATCCTTGTCTTTTTCCTAATTTTAAGGAAAACGCTTTATCTTTTTCCTCTTGAGTATGATGTTAGCTGTGGGTTTGTCACACATGACCTTTATTATGTTGTAAAATCACTACAGCTTTTACTCACCCCCTCCACGCTTACGTTTCTGGCATTGTTTTTTACTACTTTTGTGTAAGTACATATATCCCTTCATTTATTCTTGTAATTACACATGATCTTCCTGTTTTGTCTTTTAACCTTTGTAATAGCTTTATAGTTGGTTGAATAAAATAATTTCTTAACAAAAAAAGTGAAAAAACCTCTAGGGAATGATCTGAGATTCACTTCGCTTTTGGTCAATATCTTTTTTCTTAGGTAAAGAGCTGGTGATTCTTTTTTAGATTTCATGTATTTATTTTTAGAGAGAGAACAAAGGAGGGAGAAAAAGGGAGAGAAGCATCGATGTGAGAGAGAAGCATTGATGGATTGCCTCTTGTACGTGTCCTGACCAGGGACTGAGCCCACAACCCAGGCATGTGCCCTGACCGGGAATAAAACTGGCAAACTTTCACTTTGTGGGATGATACCCAACCATCCCATATCAGTCAGGGCCGAGGTCTTGATTCTTGATCCATTTCATTTAGTCCTTAATATAAATGCCAAGAAGTGGAATCCTTACTTTTACTAATGGTTATAAAAGTGCAACTTGTCTTGAAGTATTTTGATGGCAGCGTCCTAAAAGGACAAGAAGAACTGATTTTGTTAAACTAGGAAAGCCATATTTTTGTAATGTTTTTGTTGTATTTTTCTTTGTTTCCATTTCTGTACTCTGTTTTTTGTTTTTTTTGAAAGATTTTATTTATTTTTAGAGAGGATGGAATGGAGGAAGAGAGGTAGAGAAACATCAACATGTGAGGGACAGACACGTCAGTGGGTTGCCTCTCGCACACCCCCACTTGGAGAACAACCCAGGCATGTGCCCTGACTGGGAATCGAACTGTCAGCCTTTTGGTTCACAGGCTGGTGCTCAATCCATTGAGCCACACCAGCCAGGATTCCATTTCTTTTTGTTTATTTTTCCATTTCTTTTTATATTTCCAGGTGTTCTTCCTTAACTAAGCGTGGTACACAAAGTATTGTTTGTTGTTTATATTTAATAGAGCAGTGTATTGTCTTACTTAAAATAGATGAATGAAACTTTATTTCTTTTCCCGAAAGCAGTTAAACTTTTTATTAATGTTTTTCTTTTCTTTTGTATTTTGTGTTTATTGAGGGCCAGTGCTTTGAGGAAATTATTTTTAACAAGGTTTGAGAATAGTTTTCTGACATCTACTTAATTAGGTAGAAGATTCAAGTCGTAGAAGACCGTAATTCTCTAAGCATCCGGACCAAAGACATTAATTATAATGTCATTTTGCTGTGATGTTATGTGAAATAGGATAGCTAGCAATTATTTGGGTTTTTGATTTAGAGATGGTCTTTTTGATTCTGAGCAGGACTTAGAAAATTCAGAATCATAGGTTGACCCTTAGTAAATTGTTTTAATCAGCATTCTTTCCTAGAATTCATAATTATTGCATTGAAACCAATTTAGCCATTAAGGTAATTTTCTAGTAATGTAGAAATCTGGACAGAGAGAGGAGAAGACATGGAATAGGTCACATAACTTGTAATTATGTTCTTTAAAGGAAGAAAACAAAAGGAAAAATTTGTATCGGCCTCCAAAGATTGTGGGATGAGTCAAATGCTCAATACTGGTTTGGGTTTCCCCCAAGGAAAATAAGACCATGCCTTTGGAACAAGATGCAGAGTTAAATTTTTTTTCAAGTTGGTAACGCCAAGCCTTTATAAGAAGGGCTGTGTGCTCCATCTGATCTTGCGTTATTACACCCACAGCACCTGTTCAGCACATTTGTAATAATTAGTTTTGAGGTTGCATAGAGCCATTGTTGCAGTATATTTAGACTATTTGACAAGTATTCTTTTTAGCTTTTGAATTACTATATGTGGTTTATTAATTCCTGGTGCTTCTCCAAGGCTGCCTTTGTGGGTTCCTTTAGTCCTAGTTATTAAAGATGGCAATAATACTGGATAGTATTTTTTCTTAATCCTTACCTGAGGATATGTTTATTGATTTTAGAGAGAAAGGAAGGGGAGAAGAGAAACATCAGTGTTTGAGAGGAACGATTGGTTGCCTCCTGCACGTGCCCAGACCGGGGATGGAACCCACAGCCCTTCAGTTATAGGATGATGCTCCAACCAAGTAACCCAGCCAGGGAAAGATTGGGTACTATTGAACAAATAGTCAAGTGATAACAATCTTTAGATCCAAGGCACAAATTTTTCTTAAGTTTCCATAAATATTGAAGTTTGTAAAAACTTCTTCTGAAAGAATGTCAGTGAACACAGCTATTTTTACTTTAGTGTGCCTTATGTGGCCATGAATACAGACCTGCAGATAAGGTTCGGGAGACTGAGGATCAGAAAAACTGTGACAAGTGTCAAATGAGATGAATGTACCCTCCAGAAATGGGGCTTTTATAAAAGCCCTTGTTTGGACATCTGGCAGATAACAGCCTTTTTTAAGGGCCCACTCTGAACATGTGCTGCATTGTGAAAAGACATTCTTTCCTCCTTCTGCAGTCACGTATGTCACGGTCCCCTCCTGACCCCCTGGAGGAACGCCTGCCTGACCCCTGCCTCCCTGCACCAGCTGACTCCAGGGCACTCCTCAGGCCCCCCGTGATAGTGCCCCTCACCGAGACCATCCCTCACCATCCCCCACTTTAGATCTGTATTACGATCCATTCTGTTATTTTCCTCCATGTTATTTAAAACTCTGTGTCAATGTATTTAATCATTTGTTTACTGTCTTAACTCTCCTTTGTCATAAAGGATTGTGTCTGTTCCACCGAAGTTAACTGAAGTTCTGAGTGCTTAGGCACACAGTAGGCTCTCAATAACTATCTCTTGAATGGATGGCCAATTTATAGGAGAACCAGGCCAGTGGTATGTGAAAAATACTAAAGCGTAAAACCAAAATATAAAAACAAGAACATAACTAAGAATAGCCAGGCCAAATTTATGCATAAATGCCAAAAATATGCTGGAGTGATTAGAACCAGATGGGATTATGGAGGGAAGACTTGTGGAAGTGGTTGAATTTGAAGCAGTTTTGATACAGAATTGTGAGCAAGTGGCAAAGGTGGAAGCCAGTCAGGAAGTGTTGGTCATGCGCTTTGGAAGGCAGTTTGTTCTCAAAATGAGAGGCCTGGGCACTGGCTCGAGGCTGTGGGGAAGGCAAAATGGCGCTACGTCAAAGCTGTTGCTAGAAGGTGGCCTCGAAGCCCATGTTTAGGAACTAGATGTGACTTCAAATTTATCTTTGTTCTTTTTTTTTTTTTTTTTTTTTTTTTTGTCTTGATTTGTAGGATGGCCAGCCATTGGCAGGATTGATCCAAGATCACATGGTTTCAGGTGCAAACATGACCATTCGAGGTTGCTTTTTCACCCGGGAGCAGTATATGGAACTGGTGTACCGAGGACTCACAGATAAGGTGGGACACGTGAAGCTCTTTCCTCCTGCCATCCTGAAGCCTTTTCCACTGTGGACAGGAAAGCAGGTAATTGGGAGAAAACAACCAGAGTACATGTCAGAGGGAAAGCGGCCTAGGAGAGCTCACGCCAGAGAGAGAGAAATAACAAATCAAACAGTAGTGTGACTGTCTCTTTGATGGGCTCATGGGCCTGGGTGGTTTCAAGGGTGTATCTACTAAGAGGAGGCCACATGGTTTCTGTCCTTGGCTTCTAAATTAAACTTGATGTCCTTGTTTTCCAGATATAGTGGTTATGGGCAGTGGTGGTGGTAGTATTAGTAACATTTGTTGGAAGGGGCCGAGTGCTTTTCTGAGTGCCTTATTTTTTAAAAATATTTTATTATTTATGCTATTACAGTTGTCCCAATTTTTCCCTCATTTTCCCCCTCCCACCCAACCCCTCCCAGCCCCTCAGGAATCCCCACAGTGTTGTCCATGTCCATGGGTCATACATACGTGTTCTTCAGCTAATCTCTTCACCTTCTTACAACCAGTCCCCACCTCCGCCCTCCTCTCCTGCAGCTGTCAGTCCGTTGCATGTTTCTATGCCTCCGATTCTATTTTGCTCAGTAGTTTATTTTGTTCATTAGATTCCATATAAAAGCGATGTCATGTGGCACTTGTTTTTCACTGACTGGCTTATTTCACTTAGCATAATACTCTCCAGATCCATCTGTGCAGTCTCAAAATGTAAGAGTTCCTTCTTTTTTCCTCCTGCGTAGTATTCCATTGTGTAAATGTACCACAACTTTTTTTGTACCATGTACTCATCTACTGATGGCACTTGGGCTGTTTCCAGATATTGTCTATTATAAATAATGCTGCAATGAGGGTAGGGGTGCATATATTCTTTTAAATTGGTGATTTGAGATTCTTAGGATATATTCCTAGAAGTAGAATTGCTGGGTTAAAAGACAGTTGCATTTTTAATTTTTTTCAGGAAATTCAATACTGTTTTCCACAGTGGCTGTACCAGTCTGTGTTTCCAACCAGCAGTGCACAAGGGTTCTCTTTTATACACATTCTCGCCAGCACCCGTTGTTTGTTGTTGATTTATTAATGGTAGCCATTCTGGCAGGTGTGAGGTGATAATCTCATTGTGGTTTTAATTTGCGTCTCTCTGGTGATTAGTAAACTTGAACATTTTTTATGTCTATGGGCCACCTGTGTGTCCTCCTTGGAAAAGTATCTATTCAGGCCCTTTGCCCATTTTTTTATTTGGACTGTTTGTCTTCCTGGTGTTGAGTCATGTAAATTCTTTAAATATTTCAGAAATTAAACTCTTATCCATTGTATCATTGGCAAATATGTTCTCCCATATAGTAGGTTCTCTTTTCATTTTGATAATGTTTTTAGCTGTGCAGAAATTTCTTAATTTGATACCCATTTGTTTCATTTTTCCTTTATTCTCCTTGCCCTAGGAGATACATCAGCAAAAGTACTGCTACCCAAGATATATAAAATTTTACTGCCTATGTTTTTCCTCTAGAATTTTTATGGTATCACCACTCATATTTACATCTTTTATCCATTTTGAGTTTATTCTTGTACATGATGTCTAGTTTCATTATTTTCCACGTACTAGTCCAGTTCTCCCAACACCATGTATTGAAAAGACTGTATTTTACTCCATTTTATGCTCTCGCCTCCTTTGTCAAATAGTAATTGACCATAAAGGTATTGGTTGATCTCTAGGCTCTCTGTTCTATTCCATTGATCTTATGCCAGTGCCAGGCTGTTCTGATTGTAGTAGAGTTTGTTTTCAGGTATTGTGATCCCTCCAACTTTGTTCTTCTTTCTCAAGATTGCTGAGGCTATTTGGGGTCTTTTTTGGTTCCGTGTAAATTTTTCACATATTTGTTCTAGATCTGTGAAATATGCCATTGATATTTTAATAAGAATTGCATTGAATTTATAGATTACTTTGGTTAGTATGGACATTTTAATGATGTTATTTCCTCCATTCCATGAACATGGTTTGTACTTCCACTTACTTGTGTTTTTCTTAGTTTCTTTTTTCAGTGTCCTGTAGTTTTCCGAGTACAGGTCTTTATGTCCTTGGTTAAATTCATTCCTGGGACTTTTTATTATAATTATTATTATTATTATTAGAGTGCTTTAGCTATGTTATCTTATTTAATCCTCACAGTCAAGCTGCATGTGCAGAGACCATTATCACCATTTAGCAGTTATGAATATTGAAGGTTAGAGAAGTTAATTTATATGCCTAAGTCTCTAGGAGACAGCTGGGATTCAAACCCAGGATTTCCCAAACTCCCAAAGCATCATACTATACTCCCTGTAAAGTACTAAAATAATAATATGTATAGTGACCAAATAATTACATGCAGTAAAATATGTGCTTCTGCTGTTGGCTGGGTCTCTAGGTTCATCCTGAGGCCTAACTACTAATCAGCTATGTGATCTTGGCTTGTGGACCTCGTTTCCTCATCTGTAAAATAGAGGGTTTCAGGTTGAAGATCTCCAAGGTATCCCTCTGCTCTTCATTTCTTTAAGTCTGTGGACCTGGGATTTGACTGACTTGTAGTTGTTTGTGTTCTTGGGATAATCTTTACTTGGTTGTAAGGCATTAATTACCCTGTCTGTCACTAAATTCAGCAAATACTTTATTTAGATTTTTTTTTTTTTTTTTTTTTTTTTTTGCATTTGTGTTCATGAGACATATTGATCTGTAGTTTTCCATTCTTGTAATATTTTTGCCTGGTTTTTGCATCATGTTGACTTTATAGAGTGAGTTCGGAAGTAGTTCCTCTTCAATTTCCTGTAAGAGTTTGCATAGTACTAGTATCATTTTTTTCTTAAATGTCTGGACCTGGAGATTTTTTTTATAGGAAGGTTTTTAAACTAAAATTTTTATTTCTCTAATACATATAGGGCAATTCAGGTTATCTGTTTCTTGAATAAGCTTTAGTGTTTTGTTTTCTCAAGGAATTTGTTCATTTCATCTAAGTTATTGAATTTATAGGCATAAAGTTACTCATAATATTCCTATATCATCCTTTTCTATCTGTACAATCTGTAGGTGGGTCACCTTTCTTGTTCCTGATACTGGTAATTATTGCTCTCAATGAACCAGCTTTCATAGACTTTTTTATTTTTTTGTTCCATTGATTTCACTTTGATCTTTATTATTTCCTTTCTTCTGTTTTCATTGGATTTTATTTGCTTTTCTTTTTCTAGTTACTTAAGGTTGAAGCTGACATCATTGATTCGAGCATTTTTTTCATTTTTTTAAATACAAGGATTTTATGTATAAATTTCTCCCCTAAGATCAATTAAATAATATCCCACAAATTATGATATGTTGTATTTTCATTTACCTTAAAATACTTTCTAATTTTCTTCAATTTTTTTTTAACACGTGAGTTTTAAAAAGTCCATTATTTACTTTCCAAATATTTAGGGATTTTCCAGATATCTTTGTTACAGATTTTCAATTTCATTTTATTGGGGTCAAAGAACATACCTTGGATGATCTGACCCCTTTTAAATTTATTGATATTTGTTTTATGGCTTCAGTTATAGTTTATTTTGGTAAATATTCTGTGTGTCCTTAAAAATAGTAAATAATGTGTTCTTCTGGGTGGACTGCTCTATATATGTCAGGTTCAGTTGATAGATCAAATCTACTATATCCTTGCTGCTCACTCTGCTTCGTTACCTAATGTCCATTGTCCTGAAAATCATTGTTTTACATTGTTGTCTGCTTTGGTTTGTTGTTTCTGGTGGGAGAGTAAATCAGGTCATTTTTGCTCCATCCCGGACAAAAATGGAAGTTGACTTAACAGAATATACAGGGAATTCTGCAGTTTAAGATTAAAATCTATAATATGGATAGTTCAATTCAAGTAGTTGGTAAGCTTTTTCTGTAGAAGCCAGATAGCAAATAGTTCAGGCTTTGGTGGCCATACTATATCTGTTACAACTACTCAGCTCTGCCATTATAACATGGAAACAGCTGTAGACAACACATAAATGAATGAGCGTAGCTGTTACCCAATCTAACGTAATTTGCAAAAAGGTGGTGGGCCAGATTTGTCCTACAGGCTATAGTTTGCCTACTCCTGACTTGGTTGGTTCTATGTATTTGTCCACTTTATTATTCCTATTTATATGTCTTTATTTTATAAGCCATCTCAAGCTATCTTAGAAGTGAATGGATTTATAAGTCTTAAGGAACTTAGTGTCCAGAATTTGTTAGAATTTTATTTAAATGTAATCAGTGTGTTCAAAATAAAACCATATAGTGGACAAAGAATATACAGGGATGGGCAAAAGTAGATTAATAATAAATAATACAGTAATTAGTAAATAATAATACAGTAGGCAACTCTGTTTTGCATACTTACAACTGTAAACGTACTTTTGCCCACCCTTGTCATCTGGTACCATAAATATTTTCATTCCTTTCAATCTGGGAATCCAGCTTAAGGAAACAATCTGAAATGTAGAAAAAACTACTTGAAAAAGCAGTCTATTGCACCATAGTTTATAGTAGTAGAAAGTCAGAAAAACCTAGATGCTAAAGGTTGGAGCTAAATAAATTGTGGAACATTAATTTTTTAAGATATATCGTTGTTAAAAATAGTGGGTTTTTTTATAATAGTGGTTTTAGAATATCATGTAGCATTCTGGAAAACCCTTTCACATAATGTTGAAAGAAGAAATAGACGCGCCAATCCAGTGTGTAGTCACAATTGCAACCATGTTAAAAATGTGTATAAGTTTGGTATAAAAAAGATCAGAACTATAGAATAATTTGGTTTGTGTTAGGAATTCTTTTTCCATTTTATAATGTTTTCTGGACTATGATTATTACTTTACAATTAAATAAAATTAGAAAATAAGCCCAGGTGTTACTACTGTAACAATTGAGAATTCTCTGTTTCTTGAGAGGTTGGTACAAGGTGTTATTTCTTTGCAAATAGGTGAAAAGGAGAAGGGTGACTGTATTGCACAAGAACTTCACTGTAGAATCAGTCTAATTCTATAGAGGAAAACCATGTTTACATCAGGAGATACGGAACTTAGCTTGGGCAGTTTATTTGTACTGCCCCAGAAGATGAAGCCTTAGGCTCTCTCTCCAGGGCATTTCAGTACAGTGCCTTGAGTGCTTTTCTTTCTCCCAAAGAATCTTGAGATCTTTCATCATTTGTTGAAGGAACAGATAAAAGAAGGAGGGTTTACCTGTCATGACAGATCTCGAGTGTACAACTCAATGTATGTTCACAAAAGGAATACACCTTTGTAAACTACCTCCCAGGTCAGAAAGTAGAATAGCACCACAACTCCCAGAAGACCCTCTCCGAACCCCTCTTAGTGTCTGCCCCTCTCCAAAGGTAGCCACTAGCCTGAGGCCCAACACTGTAGGTAAGTTTTGTCTTTTCCTGAAGTTTACATAAATGTAGTAATACAGTAAATCGTATCTTTCTGTGAGTAACTCATGTCATTACATATAGGACTGGTTTATTTCATTGCAGTATAGTATTCCATTACACGAATATACCACTGTATATTTATCTACTTCTACTATTGATGGACATTTGAGTTCTCTTCAGTTGTCTTCCTTTGGTTATAACAAATACGGTTACTATGAACATTCTTGTATATGTCTTTTTTTTGACATTATATATGCATTTTGGTGGGTAAAGAAATACCAAGGAATCAAATTGCTGGGTCATAAGATCTTTTTTCAACTTTAAATAGAGAGGGGAAGGGAGGGAGAAAAATGGAGAGAAACATCTAGCAGCTCCTTCCTCGCACGTGCTCCAGCCAGAGACTGGACCCACAACTAAAGCATGTGCCCTGACCAGGAAATGAACCAGCAACCCTTTGCTTTGTGGACATTGCCCAACCAACTGAGCCACACTGGTCAGGGCCTATTGTGGTTTTAATTTGCATTTTCTTAATGACAGGTGAAGTTAAGCATCTCTTCATATGTTTATTGGCCATTTGGATATCATCTCTTATGAAGTGCTTTTTTAAGTCTTTTGCCTGTTTTCTATTTTGTGCCTTTCTTTTTTTATTGATAGGTAAGAGTTTATTATATATTCTAGTGTAAGTCCATTGCCATACATACAGGGTGGGTCAAAAGTAGGTTTACGGCTATTCATATGGAAAATAACTCAATAATTAATAAATGATAATAGAAGAATAAATTGTTTTTGGACTCATTACTGTAAAACTATTTTGACCCACCCTATATGTATTGTAGATATCTTCAACTTGATGACTAGTCTTTTTTCCCTTTTACCTAATGCTGTTTTCTAATTATCAAAAGTTCTTTATGTGACGTAATTCATCAAACTTTGCCTTTTATGGCTAGTCCTATATAAGGACCATTTGCCTGCCCTGAAGTCATGAAGGTATCTCATTGTGTATTGTCTGGGAGCTTTATTAAGTTTTCACACCTTGACCTACTGGCGTTGATTTATATGGGTGTGTATGTTGTGAGGTAGAAGTGAGGATTCCTTTTTTCTTACATGGATATCCAATTGATAATAGCATTATTTGTTGAAAACACCATCATTTTTCCATTCCTTCTTAGTATCTTCTGTGTCATAAATCACCTAGTTATACGTGTGTAGGTCTGTTCCCAACTCTGTTCAGTTCCGTTGGTCTGTTTGATTCCATTGCACCAAAGCTACACTGCCTTGATTATTGTAGCTTTATCATAAATCTTGGTTTCTGATAGTAAGTCTCCAGCTTTGTTCTTTTTCAAGACTCTCCTGAGTATTCTTGGCCTTGTGTATTTCCATATGAATTTGAAAGTCAGTTTGTACATTTCCAAAAAAAAAAAAAAAACCTGCTAGGATTTTTATTGGGATTATATTGCAGCTGTTGATCACTTTAGGAAGAATCAACATATTTACAATATTCAATCTTCTAAATTCTAAACATAGTATGTCTTTCAGTTATATGAAAGTCTTGCACATCTTTCATTAGATTTATTCCTAGATATTGCTCTTGTAGATGGTATTTGTTAAAATTTCTAATTGTTTATAGTTGGTATGGAGAAATACAATTAATTCTTATATATTGTCCTTGTTTTCAACAACCTTGATAAATTCCGTTATTAGATCTCTGCCCTTAGAAGTCTTTTTAGTTATAGAAGTAACACAAGTTTGTTGTTAAGCAAAAAGACAGTAATGTGAAAGGAAAAAAGAAAAATTCCCTTCTTTCCCCAACCCCAGTCTTCATGTCCACTAATACTGTGATGGAAAATAAATAAGGGGATCATACTGGACCTTCTCAGGAGAACCATGAACTATGAACTATGATTAAATTTGACATTCAATTTTGAGCTTATATGTAAAGCTGCCTCTCTATCCAAGACACCCAGACAGCGGGGGTGGGGCATGCGTTTTCCTGACCGCCAGGCGCCTGACCTCCATTTTGGCTGGTCTCTAAGATGGCTTGCTTTAAAAGAGCCACCAGGCCTTCCAGATGGAATTTTATTATTTCAAGCAGTTTGTCATTTTAATGTGGCCTACCCTAATACTCCAAATATGACAGGAAGTTCATTTAAGCTGTTTTCATGTGCCAGGTCGACAGACCTTTTTTGTAATTGCTTTCTGACATATTTAGAACACTTAATTATGTACTGTGGTGGCTCATTCTGTGTTTCTACATGTAGATCCTCCAGTGATTCTTTTTAACCTGTTCTGTGTTGTATCCAATGATACCATATACCATAGTTGATTTAACTGGCCCCCTTTTGGCAGACATTTCCGTTGTTACCTGGTCTTTACTGCAGTAACTAATGCTGAGTTAAAATGGATTAAAAAAGAAATCCATTTAATTTTTAAAACATTTTTAAAAATTTGATAAGGGCTTAGTATTAAAAAATACTTAATTTTATACTTACCTGGCAGGGGAGATAGTCACAAAGGTGGTTTTCCCTGGGGGAGGCTTATTATCCATTGCACCCCGGATGTGTGGACCCCTGTGATTTCCCCAAATGTGGGGGACTCGACTGCATAATTTGTGGTAGTGGGGGACTGTGTTTGCGCTCTCCCGTGTAAAAGAAAAATTTTTTTAAATCATAATTCTCATAGATACTGCTACCCTTCACAGTTTAAGAGAATGTTACAAATCGTGTTTTCTCTCTAGCATGTATACTTCTAGAATGTTGGTGCAGAAAGAGACCTCAAATCATCTTAATTGGCTCCCTTGTCTTTTTAATTGAGATATAATTCATATTTAACATATACCATTTTTAAAAAGTGTATACTTCAGAGATTTTTAGTATATTCACTATATTGTACAATAATCATCACTAGCTGCTTCTAGAACATTTCTATAACTTTTAAAAGGAACTCTGTACCTATTAGCAGTCAGGCCCAGTTCCTCTCTCCCTCATTCCCTAACAGTCACTTTCTGTCTCTGGATTTGCTTGTTTGGGTAATTTCATATAAATGGAGACATACAATATGTGGCTTTCTGTGACTTGCCTCTTCTCATACAGTGTTTTCAAAATTCATTCATGTTGTAGCATGAACAGTAGTACCTCATTCCATTTTATGGCTGAATAGTATTCTGTATGGATATAGCACATTTTGTCCATTTTTCAGTTGATAAATGGGTAATTTGGGTTGTTTTTCCTTTTTGGCTATAACAAATAAAGCTGCAGTGAATATTTGTGTACCAGGTTTTGTGTGAACATGCATTTTCAGTACTCTCAGGTATATGGCTAAGAATGGAATTGCTGGGTCACATAGTAATGAAATGTTTAACTTTTTTGAGGAACTGTCAAGCCGTATAGGAGGGTTCCAGTTTCTCCACTTGTTCACCAATACTTAATCTTTTTTTAAAGCCATCTTAGTGGGTGTGAAGGGTGGTTTTTGACTTGCATTTCTCTAATGACTTACGATGTTTGGCATCTTTTAATGTGCTTGCTGGCCATTTGTAATATATTCTTTGGAGACTGTCCACTTAAGCCCTTTGTTCTTTTTTTAATTGGGTTATGTGTCTTTTTATTGTTGAGTTCTAAGGGTTCTTTATATATTTGGGCTGTTAGACGTGTATCACATATATGAATTCCAAATATTTTTTCTCATTCTGTGGGTTGCCTTTTCACTTTCTTAATAGTGCCCGTTGACACATACATTTTTTTTTAATTTTGGTGAAGTCCAGTTTATCTACTTTTTCTTTTGTTGTTTGTGCTTTTGATGTCATATCTAAAAAACTGTTGCCTAATCAAAGGTCACGCAGACTTACAGCTGTATTTCCATCTAAGAATTTTATGGTTTTAGGTCTTACAATTTAGATCTTTGATCCATTTTGAATTAATTTTTGTAAAAGTTTGAGGTAGGGGTTCAACTTCATTCTTTTGCATGTGTATAGGCAGTTGTCTAGGCACCATTTGTTGACAAGACTGTTCTTTTCCCCACTGAATGTTCTTAGAACCCTTACTGCAAATCAGTTAACCATAGATGTATTTATTTCCTGGACTCTCCTTTCGGTGCCATTGATCAATATGTCAGTCTTTTTGCCACTATAATGTCCTAGTAGCTGTAGCTTTGTAGTAAGTTTTAAAATCTGGAAGTGTGAGTTCTCTAGCTTTGGTTTTCTTTTTCAAGATTGTTTTAGCTATCCAGGGTTTGTTGCACACGTATTTCCATATGAATTTTAGGTTCGTCTTGTTCATTTATGCAGAACTGGCAGTTGGAATCTCAATAGGGATTGCATTGAATTTGTAGATCATTTTGGAGTGTTGCCATCTTAACATCAAGTCATCCCATCTATTATGTCTTTCCATTTATTTAGATTTTCTTTAATTTCTTTCAACAGTATGTTATAGTTTTCAGCATACAAGTCTTACACTTTTTTTTCTTTCTTTATTTAATTTTAAATACATTTGTCTCTGCCTCCCCCCCCCACCACTTTCCCTTGCCCCCTCCCTCAGTCCCTCCCTCAGCTCTTCCCCTTTGGTTTTGTCCATGAGTTCTTGCCACTTCTTTTGATAAATTTATGCCTGAGTATTTTATTCTTTTTGATGCTGTCATAAATGCAATTATTTTCTTAATTTCATTTTCGTGTTGTTGATTGTTATGCATAGCAATACAATTGATTTTTTTGTTGTTGATCTTGTATCCTTCAGAATTGCTGAAGTCATTTACTAGTTCTATTATTTTTTGTGAACTCTTAGGGTATTCTATATATAAGATTACGTTGTCAACTAACAGTGGTCGTTTTAATTCCTCTCCAATCCGGATGTTTTTTCTTCTTTTACTTGCCTCATTGCCCTGGTTAGACCCCAATACATTGTTGAATAGAAGTGGTGAGAGCAGACATTTTTGTCTTGTTCCTGATCTTAGGCAGAAAAGCATTCAGTCTTTCATCATTGAATATGTTTGCTGTAGAATTTTCCTAGATGCCTTCCCTTTATTATATTGATAATGTTTCTTCTATTTATATTCTGTTGATGGTTTTTATCATGAAAGGATGTTAGGAATTTGTCAAATGCTTTTTCTGCCCCCTTGATTTTGTAGATGAGATGGCAGGTCACATTTCCCTGTCCTCTAATGGTTGGATACATGTATTTTTGTTACCTTTCCTGACTGTACCTAGCTTGGCTGTCCCGGTCGTACATGTGGCACTTTAGTTGAGGTGCAGGTTGTGGTCAGCATCCTGGGAAAGTCTCACCCTCCTGCCTTAACTTCCTCACCTGGCATTGCTGGCCTTACGGTGAGCCTGGGTCATGACCTTCCTTGTTTTCTTCTGCTGAGATAACAAGGAGTTTTGTCTGCCTTTTTAAAAGATGCTGTTGCCAATTGTAACCTTGTTCCTGGTGCACATGCATGAGAAGGCATCTGCTCTTATAACTGCCCTGACTGCATTATGCCCACATAACAGGGCTGCTCTGGGACCTCGTATCGGCACACAGAGAGCCGTTGATGCCAGCCCGTCCTCAACCCACAGGGCCCCGTTATACCAGCTTGTCTGCCCCCTGCCCACTACATCTTTGGGAATGCATGCCTTGGACCGTCTGGAGCTGACCCATGGTTATCCCTAGGTTCATCTGCCCTCACTTGGGTTTTCCAAAGAGCAGCTGCTTGGGAAATTGCCTCCTGGCCTCCTGTTAGCAGCCACTTGCTGAGTGGGTGGCCACACGAATGGGCCAGTTGGGGCGGGGGTGGACTCCCTGGCCTTTCAGTAACCATAGTTAATTCCAGTCACATAAATTTATTTCTGGTGTTAACTCTGTAAAAACGAATTGTGTGGAAGCCATCAGGTTGCCGAGTAGTCACATTATTATTGTGTCCTGTGATGTGCCTCACACAGGGGCTTCGTCACATGGTGCTCCCCATGCATGTTGCTTTAATAACCACTTCTAAATGCCAGTCCTTCTTGCCTGTGTCACTTAGGAGGCTTATTCTCTATGGCGTTTACTTAGCCTTAAAGTCTCTAGACCAGGAATATGTTTGGAACAAGTGATCCTATGAAAAGTTAAGTCGGAGCATGTCGCTTCTGTGATCAAGACCTACCAAACAGCTTTCCTCTCTGTCATACTTACTAAAAGCCTCTGCCTGAAATGCGTGCTCTCATCTCTGCATGGCTCCTGTCCTCACTCGCTGCCTTCTTGGCGTGAGGCCTTTTCCGCCCATCTTATTTAGAATCCCACACTCCTTCCCCTCGTTCTGCTCTGGGTCCTCCTTCCCTGCTTTGTTTTCCCCCAAAGCATGGAACCCTCGGGAATGGAGGCTTCACTGAAGGCAGAGACTGTTGTTTACAGTTCTTCCCAGCACCTGGCTCCTCGTAAGCACTCCATGTAGCAGTGCTGAATGAACGATTGGCCTTATCTGTGCTCTCCAAATGAGGAGTGCTAGAGCTGAGAGAGCATGGTCACTTCCTGGGGGCACATGGCCAATGAGTGATGACGCAGACACTGGAACAGCCCCTTGTCCCCAAAGCTTCCCTGCAGCCTGCTTCTCAGTCGGACACCTCGGGCCTCTGTAAAGCTCCTCAGAGGGAAGGCTCTAGATTCTTAGTCTTTGCATCCTCTCCCTCCTTTGACCAGGAAGTCAAAGCTGTTCTGTGGGAGGACATTTTCTTTTTTTCAATTAGTTTACATTCCATATTATTCTGTATTTGTTTCAGATGTACAGCATGGTGGTTAGACAGTCATGTAGTTTACAGAGCGCCACCCGATAGGGAAGTATCCACTTGGCCCCATACATAGTCATTACAATATTACTGACTATTCCCTCTGCTGTAATTCATATCCCCACAACTATTCTGTAACTACCAATTTGTACTTTTTTTTTGGAATTTTTAAAAAAGATTTTATATATTTATTTTTAGAGAGAGGAGGAGGGAGGGAGAAAGAGAGGGAGAAAAACATCAATGTGTGGTTGCCTCTTGTGTGCCCCCAACTGGGAACCTGGCCTGCAACCCAGGCATGTGCCTTGACTGGGAATCGAACCAGTGACCCCTTGGTTCACAGGCCGGTGCTCAGTCCACGGAGCCCCACCAGCCAGGGCCCAATTTGTACTTCTTAATCTCTTCACCTTTTTCACTCAGCCCCCCAACCCTCCCTCTACCAACTATCAGTCTGATCTCTGTATCTATGAGTCTGTTTCTGTTTTGTTTGCTTTAGTCTGTTCTGTGGGAGGACATTATTGACTGTATATAATAATTGTCATTGATTTTGATGTGGCCTGAAGACAGGGAAGGATGCTCTGAGATGTGTCCTTCAACCTCTGCCTCCGTCCTGAGTCTGACGGCCTGTTAGCCGACTCTCTTGGCAAAGGGCAGGTTACAAACTCCACCATCTCTCTCAGCCCTATGGTCTTTGTTTTTTTACCACATACTCAAATCTTTTCACCGTGACCCCACAGCAATTTACTTTTTTCTTCTACTTCTTTTGTTTTATTTAGGAACTTAATATTGGGGGATTGTTCACTTTAATAAGAATTATTTTAGGAAATAAAAGTCCCAGTGAAGTTCTTAGTGGTGTATGTTTGTTTCCACTCCCAAGCTCCCTTTAAGTCAGGTAAGTAGAGTAGTGAGAACTGAGGTCAACTTGTCTCACAGAGGTAAAACTGTTCGTTTTTCTTGCTTTACCTACAGGTCATTGGAGTGGAGTTGCCTGGCTTTTCAGGATGAATGGGGACAGAAAGTCCTAAAAGGGAACTTCTCATCTTTTTTTCCTGCCATCACCTTGTTTTCTTTTTCTTTCCAGGTAGTGTCCACGCTGCTCATAAACATTATCCCAGAGGAGTACATCCCACTGAATTTATCAGGAAAGGCAAAGATCACTGGGAGAGCCTGGGTGAAGGAGCCTCCTCGGCCTGTTCCTGGCTTTAACCCTGACTCCATGTGTGAGTCCCAGGTATGGCTGCCCAGCCGTTTCAGTTGGAGACTGCGAGTCATGGGTTTAGACAAATTGATTGAAAGCAGAGACAGGGACGCGGAGGCATGCACACAGAAGCAGATGTTGTAGTTTTTAAAAGAAACAGTTGTGCCCAATTTGGTGTTAACTTTTGGTTTTAGAAAGGTTCACAGCTGATTGCTAGCATTTGGCCCTCAGTATAAAATTTGCAACCAGCTTGAGAAGGCTTCTACAGCCAGAAGGCCTCGGGACTTGCCTCTGCAAAGTTTAGCAATGCAGGGCCTGTGTTTTCCCTGGAGACTCCTGAGTGGCTGAAGGGCAAGGAACTGTGGTGAGGTTTCACTTCTCCCAGCTTTGTGCCTTAGGAACCAGGGCTCAGGAGGGAAGGCGAGGGCAGTCAAACTCAGGACTGTGCTGCTGCAAGAGAGCAAGACTGTGGCCCGACTAGAGGTTTCCAAGGCCTCTGCGTGTTCTCGGTGGCGGGGTATCCTGAAGTCCTTAACTCACAGTGCTTTTTCACCAGGTCTAACGGACATTCCATTAGAACTGAAGCTGCCACTTTTCTTTCCCTTTATAGATCATTTTCTTGATGCATGCTGGCTTTTTGCAACCAGAAATCCTTCTTTTAATTAGCTTCTAATTCATTAACCCCACTTGGTGAAAGTAAAAATCAGGCCTTAAAAAGACGTTGGAAAGGTTATGTTGTCCTTATTCCCAGGGTACAGGGAAGGGAGTACGTAGGCCAAGGTCACAGTTATGAAGGTTAGACTCTAATAAATGTTCTTATTTCGAGTTGAAAAGTCTTTGTCAAGGGTACGTGACCTCAAGTCAGCTCGGGTGGCTGGGGATTGAAGGACATATGAACACACTAAAATGTCTGCATGTGGTGTAGTCCCTGAAAAACTTTTTTTTTAATGGTCTCTCTGTGCACACCTCCTTTATTAAAAAAAAAGAAAAGAGAGATGCCTACCTCTTCCCATCAAGGACTTGAGGCAGGTTACATTGGAGGGACAGATACAATAAGGTTACTAAAACGTGGAGTAAAGGGGAGGGGTGGTTCACACAGGAGGCGTCCCCTCCAGCCCAGCATTGGTGGCTGTCCCTTCTGCAGGTGATCATCAAGGAAGGGGAGCTGCTCTGCGGGGTGCTGGACAAAGCGCACTATGGGAGCTCCGCCTATGGCCTGGTCCACTGTTGCTATGAGATCTACGGAGGGGAGACGAGTGGCAAGGTTCTCACCTGCCTGGCCCGCCTCTTCACTGCCTACCTGCAGCTCTACAGAGGCTTCACCTTGGGTGAGTGCTAGGCGAGCGGCTCCAGCAGCCCCTCTCCTGGCCAGCACGCCATCAGGGATGTCTCCGGACTCCACTAGCAGCCCTCGGGAGTAGCCAGGCTGCTTCTACAAGGACATCCTCACTTGACAGCCTTGCATCTTGTCAGTGCTTTCCACCCCTCCGCCATAGCCAGTGTTTCTTCACCATCTACAGCACAGAGTGACCCCATCTAATCACGTCTCCATTCTGTCTCTTTCTCAACCCCATCCTTTACATTCAGCAGGGGTGTCCAACCTTTTGGCGTCTCCAGGCCACACTGGAAGAAAATGAGTTGTCTTGGGCCACACATTAAATACATTGCAACACCTAATCACAAAAAAAACCTCATGTTTTAAGTAAATTTACTATTTTGTGTTGGTCTATATTCATTGCCATCCTGAGCCGCATGTGGCCTGTGGGCTGCAGGTTGGACGGCTCTGCACAGCTTTCTGTCTGTGAGTCTGATTTTTCACATTCACTCCCATTCTTCCAGAATTCCCTGGGCACCTGTGCTCTGCAAAGGGCCTTCTTTGTCGTTAGAAGTGCCTGAGCCTCCCAACATGGTAGAGGCATCATCAGTGTTGTTGGAAATGCCATGTTGGGGCAAGCCTATCAGGGTCATCCTAAGATAGGAAGAAGACCTACCTTGTTCCTTTCTGGAAATGAGTACAGTGTTTTAGGAAGTTGGCTTTGAGAAAGAAAACAAGTGAGCTGTTACTTTCTGTGCACTGGGTAGAATTGAGATCAGAAGGTCTGCCCAAGGGCTCAGCCCCTAGCTAAGCTTATTCAGGGCATTGCATATCCAAGTATACAGAGTGGAGTCCAGGCCCTTCTTCAGTCATCCTGTGAGGAGTAAGTGACATGCTGCACGTTGAGCATTGAGGTGCAGTGAGTGTGGGAATTGTCTAGTCCACGATACCAGCAGTAATGGAAGTAAGACTCTTTTATGGATTTGCTGGTGTGCAGACAAGGTGGGAATCCCCCAGCGGGCCCCAGGGCCTGCCACAGCTAGGGTGCGTTCGAGGCCTGCAGCGGGGCCTCAGTAACTGTACAGTATATATTGTGGAAAAGTGTAAATAAGTACAGACATGAAAATAATTTAAAGTTGCCTAGCATTCACTTGCCAGAGATAACCACCAGTATCGATTCCATGTGCATCTTTCTTGACTTTCCAAGTACAAACACATTAAGAAAAAATGGGATTCTATACTACATGCTGTTTTGTAATCTCTCCCCTCCCCCGCATTTCCAAATATATTCGTAAATGTCCTTTTGGGTGAACTGATATAAATCTACATCCTCAGGTCTGTGGCTATAGATTACTGCAGTTGTGTAGATATACTGTAGTTTATTTAACCAGTTGCTGTTATTAGACAGTTAGGTTGTTTCCTCACTTTATTGCTGGGATGAACACTCCTAAACAAATATCTGTAAAAAACGAAAAGTAGATGAAGACCTCACACCCAGATCGTGATGAGTCCCAAACCTAACAAATAAGCCATGCTCACAGCTCTGCTTAGCACATGGTACAAAGAGAAATTGGCCCAAATGCAAAGAGCATCTTGGTGTTGCCAAGCTGGACTCCAGGCTATGAGGGAAGTGGGTGCTGGAGATGTTGCCTTTATTCCGGCCCTCATAGTCAGAAGGGACAGTGAAGGGACAAGGTGACCTCCAGCTCACCCCATGAAAGGACCCTTTCTCGTGGTTACAGCTTCCTCACAGAGGGGATATTTCTTTCACCACCTCCTCACACATGTTCTTCAGAGGCCCTCAGGTTTCCAGGACATTGCATTGGGAATTCCAGATATTTTAGTCCAGCTTTTAAATTGTGCAGCCATTGTTTCCCATCCCACTCAGATCTTGGCTGAGGAGCTTTGACCCCAGTAACACTCACAGATACAGACAGAAAACAGTTGACTGAAAAATGAAGTAGAAGGATATCCTGCGCAAGGTGAGGAAGTCCTCAACCCTATGAAGCCAAAAAGACAGGCTTCACTGAAGTGACCCTGCTTTCGTCCTGGGAAGGAGCCTGCGCGGGCGGCCCCTGTCAGCCGGGCTGGAGTGGGTCTGTCTGCCCGCACACCTGTTCTCACAGCTCTGTGGGTGGTCCCTGGAGCAACTGACTTCTGGGAGTCAAAGCCAGCAAGTTTTCTCCCTCCCTCTCTTCTTTCCATAAACTCAGCTTTTCACCCAAAACCTTTCCTGTACCTCTAGGCCAGTCATGCAGCGTGTATTTATTGAGTGGAGGCAGGAGAGCCAGTGCCTAAGAGCACAAGTGTGAACTCAGGCTGGGCTTTACTTTTTACCAACGTGACCTTGGGCAAGTACCTCAAGTTTGAACCTTAGTTTTGTCATTTATAAAATAGAGATTATAATGCTTGGCCTTACACTTGCCTTAAGAGATGGGAAGCACTTAAGAAATGGAAGCAGCTTCTTGAGGATGTTAACATCCTCATCATTATTCAGGTGCTTCCCAGGTTTGTGACACTGTGCTCCATTCCCTGTCCTCACTGAGTTTATACCCTGGTGAGAAGTCAGGCCCCGTCCCATCGGAGCTTGTCTGTTTTACTTCACAGGCGTGGAAGACATTTTGGTTAAGCCAAAGGCGGATGTCAAGAGACACAGGATCATCGAGGAGTCCAGCTGCTGCGGGCCCCGGGTGAGGAGGGCCTGGGAGGCCATGGCCTGCCACAGAGGGCTGGCTGCCCTGCAGAGGGAAACCCACACTGTCCTCACTTGGCTGCTGCCTCCAATGTGTTCCTTTTCTCATTCCAGGCTGTCAGGGCTGCGTTAAACCTGCCAGAAACCGCGTCAGGGGATGAGGTCCGAGAGAAATGGCAGGATGCCCATCTGGGCCAAGACCAGAGGGATTTTAACATGATCGATATGAAGTTCAAGGAGGAAGTGAACCATTACAGTAATGAGATTAACAAGGTTAGTCTGGCAGTGAGCACACTTATCACCACCATTTTGAATGCTGGTTTTTAAAAAAATTACATTTTGATTATCACTCTGGGCCCTTTAAAGCAATTTGGCTGTTTAGCAACTGACTTGGTGGGATGTGCAAAAAATTCATTGCTCTGAGGAACCAAGGGCCTCATTCCCTCACCCAGTTAGGGTCTGGAAAGGTCTTGGCGTAATGCTGAGTGGGAATGCTTTGCACTTTTTTTAATGTTCGTACCTTGGGCTGACTACATTAAAGAGGGCTAAAGAAAGAATATCCTTCCCTGTGGTGCCACAGCCAGGTGGTGGAGCAGAAGGAGGGACCAGAAACAACGTTGCTGCTTGCACAGTGGAGCCAGGGGCGAAGGCCAGACCTTAAATCCTAGCTCCACCTTATACTTGCTGTGTGACCTCAGGCAAGTGATGTAACCAGTCCTTGCCTCATTTGCACAGTGGGAGGTAGGAATGTTAGGAGTGCATCCCTCATTGGGTTGCTGAGAGGGTTATGGTCCTAACCTATATAATGCTCTTAACTGGCAGGAGCCTGCGGAAGTCCTCCCAAGTCCCTGTCAGCTTTTCGCTTAGCCCGTTCATATGCAATTAAGAAAGGAGAGGGAACTCCCTGCACTAGCCAAGACCACAGCCTATTCCTCTCTGTCTTCTAGTCCCAGAGGTGGGGCTCCCAGTCCTGTGACTTGAGGCGGCCAGCCTGACCCTCACCCTGCCTTCTGGGCCTCGGGGCCCAACCTGAGGAGTAGAGGAAGAGGCAAGGCCAACATTCAATAGAAGTTAGCGTTTGACTGGCTTTTAACAGCCCTTAGGCTCCCAAAAACAGGCTTCTCATTTGTAAAAGTTCATCCTTGAGAGGTTTTGAGCAGAGGAGCCTTCCCAGCACTTCTCCAAAAACCAGGAGGCTTGGCTCCCGGGCCAGCCTGGGAATGCTGGGGAGGGGGCAGTGTCCCAGAGGCATCTCAGAATTGCTTCTTGTCTCCAGCTTATCCCTTCCCACCCACTCTGTCTCTTCTGTGTTGGACAGAATCTCTGCAACTCTAGGCAGAGGCTTAAATAGACTCAGAGCCCCCTCCCAGCATTTCCTGTGGCCGCACACCGGGGTATTGCTTGCTCGCACTAGCCCTGGAGTGAAAGCAAGGCTCCCACATGCCCCTTGGGCAGCATGTTAGCAAATGTGAGTATGATGGGGATATTGGTCAACATTGCCAGGCCAGGGCCATGCTCTGCTGGGGGAATTCACAAGGGCATCGCCTCGGGTTTTATTTTTAACCAGCTGCTTTTTAGAATCATAAACTGCATATGCTGGCCCCTGTGCTTCTCCCTTTTTGCTGCTGTTTGCCAGTGACAGGAACCTCGTGCTTCCTGACAGATGGTGTCAAGAGCAGCACGTGGGGCCATTGTTAAACTTCTACGGGTTCTAGCAAGAAGGTTCATGCCAAATGAGACTTCTTACCTCAGGTGGGGTTTGCCGCTTATTTCTGAATAGATAGTGTGAGTTTGTTGCTTCCACGTTCTGGGTTTACCTTCTGGACCTGGGATTTCAAAAGGGGGCGAAGCCACTGACCAGGGTGTTTTAATCCGCAGGCATGCATGCCTTTTGGCCTGCACAGGCAGTTCCCAGAGAACAACTTGCAGATGATGGTGCAGTCTGGAGCCAAAGGTTCTACTGTGAACACCATGCAGGTGCGAGCAAAGATGGGCTGGCCAGTTTGCTAGAGGGTGGGGGGATTGCAAGAGGTAGTTTCCAGGTTTGTTTCTGATTTTAAAAGGATTTACGTCTTATATAAAATTCGGCAAGTACTAAAAAAAATAAAAGCCTGTAGAAATCAGTATAGGAGCTTACCACTTAACAATAGTGTTACAGATAAATACAGATGTAAGTATCCAGATATTATATGTAATCCAGATAGATACTGTAAATTTATAGACTATATTACTGTATTACAAGTATTTACATTATATATAAACACTCTGTGTATGTGTGTTTAATCTTAGCTGAGACCCTGCAGTTTTGCATGATCTGCTTTTTTCCAGGTAGTAGTTTAAGTATTGTCCTAGAGGTTTCTCACCTTTAATTTGAGGCCACTTATCTCCTCAGATTACCTCAGTGCTATGGCAGCATTTTCACAAATATTAGCATCTTTTTAAAAAATTTTTTCCCTTTTTTAGAAGTTTGTTGAAAAATGCAGTACAAGAAGCAAGACCAAGCACATAGCTAAACACTACAACCACTTCTCATACTACAAAAGGCCAAAGCAAGCATACCTAATTATTGCCTATTTAATCTAAGGATTTTGCCAATTTGATTCTCCTGCCATAGTTCCAATTTTGTCAAGAAATGTAAATAATTACTTGATATGTTTCATAATTTTTAAAACTTTTACAAAGCTTCTTCATTTTTGTCACCAAAGTAATACATTGAAGAGAGAGTTGTAAAACAGCCAGCCTGCAGCTGAGATCCTGGGCAGACATCTCCTGCGTTGACTGCCTCAAGCGGGTCTTAGGGGCCACCCCCTTGTTTGGTGACCCAAAACAGTGGGGATGGGCATCAAAGGCAGAAGGCCATCAGGAAGCGCCGGTGACTAAAGTCGAATCCAGACACACTGTTCTCCCCGCCCTCCCCCCACACAAAAAAATAGGCAATATTATTCTCTTTTGGCCTCAGATTGTAAGGATCACAATAAATTACTTTTTATGCAGGCCCCAGTTTCCCCCTTCAGACCAGCATTCAGGTCCCTTCTAGGCAAATATGCCATGTGATAATTCTGAAACAGCTTCTTTTAGAGCCTATTTACAACTGACACCAAATGTGAAAAATCTCCATCAGGCAACAAAAGGAAAACAAAATTACTTCCTTGAAACATTAGTTTCCCTGGTTCATTCACAAACCTAGGTTGACCTTTAAGAACTGAGTTTCCATACAGGCCCTCCCTCTCCTGCTGGGACAAAGCATTGTGTCGATCTTGGGTGTCCTTGGGTCCCCCCCAGATCTCATGCCTCCTGGGCCAGATTGAATTGGAAGGCCGGAGACCCCCGCTGATGGCGTCTGGCAAGTCGCTGCCCTGCTTCGAGCCTTATGAATTCACCCCCAGGGCTGGCGGCTTCGTCACTGGCAGGTTCCTCACCGGCATCAAACCTCCTGTATGTATTTTGGTTTTCCTTCTGGCTTTTCTCCTCATTTCTAGGTTCAGTGGTAGTAGGCCATTGAGTTAGTCCAACAGCTTCGAGCAAGGACAATCAAGTAATAAATACCCAGCCATTTGCTGCTGGCCACTAGCCACTGGCCAGTTTGGCCCATGAGGACCATAAGGACGCAACCATGTCATGTCCACCATTGTGACGCTAGAGCCTAGCACAGTGCCTGGCATGTGTTGGGAGCTCAGTAAGTGCTTGTTAATAAATGAAAAGATGAATAAGACCATTTCCGATCCACCTTTTCCTGCTGTGCTCCATCGCTTAACCAGTTCTTACCTATATTGAAGGCGACAGGGGAAAGGAAGACCCCTCACCAGGTGCTCTCAGTTGCCAAAGGTTTATTTCACAAAATCCCCCAGCAGAACTTCCCATGGCTCCTCCTTCACAGTGGGAAAATTGAATAGCCATAGCAAATGTCTGGTGTTCCCTTGGTCAACAAAAGAGTTCTCCCCCAAGAGGAGCGGTTTCTCAGATTCATCAGAAATGGCTTTTTGAAAGTTAGTACCTTTGGTTTCCTGGTGTAATGCATTTCTGCAAGGATGACTTCTATGGTCAGATAACTAAGTCCAGGTTGTAAACAGGACTGACCCTTTGTTTCAAGGCTGTCAGCTGATCCAGGGGCTTTTACCTCAGTTCTGTGCAGATTCTCCAGTTATCATCCATGGCCTCTGGCAAAGGATGGTGGAGAGCTGGCTTAGACCAGAATTTTTTAAACTGTGGTAGCGATCCCTTAGTAAGTCATGAAATCATTGTAATAGATAGCGACTGGCATTTCTTTATATAACGAAAGAGAACAAGATGATACAGAGAGCATGAGGAATGGGGTAGTTACATGAAGCTCTAATTTGAGTTATATATCTTTCTGTGCATTGGTGGATATGTATATGTGTTTGCTGATTACTGTTGTAAATGTATTTCTTTCTGTGGGTTGCAGTCAAAAAGTTGGGAAAATACTCTGTACCTCTGTGAACACTCTGGAAAGTAGAATTCAGACATGTGGGCTGAGCCGTACAATAATGAAAGCCAGGCCTTTTCTGTTCGGGAAATGGGGCAGGGGCATAATACTGAGGATGGAATGCACAATGCAGGTAGACACCCGGCCCCTGAACAGGTCCTGTTAAGTCTCATCCACTCGTCCCTCTGTTCTCGGGTAGGACAACAGTCACCACAGGGGAGGGCAGAAGTCCCGGGGGCCATCGGAGCCGTCACGGGCCTTAGGAGATCAGGCGAGGCTGCCAGAGGCGTCGGCCTGAGCCACTCTTGCGGAAGCACGCAGTTCTCACTGCCACCTCTGGGACCTGGGTCCCGCTTCTCCCACAGGAGTTCTTCTTTCACTGCATGGCAGGACGAGAGGGTCTGGTCGACACCGCTGTGAAAACCAGCCGCTCTGGCTACCTCCAAAGGTAAAAGCACCTGCTCTGCTACCTTTAGATGGGTTCCGCGTCCCGGTACCATTCAGGTCGGTCATCTCTCACATTTTCAGTGACAATTCAATTACAATTTTTTTGGATGAAAAAAATGTCTTTAAAATGTCCGTGGTTATCATGAGACAAAAAATAGCCGATATGCTTCCCCTTTTGAAGGATTAATAGCATGGGCGCTCAGAGTTTTGGCCACAGGGCCCCTGCATTCCGAGGGAAGTTACAGGCACGGGAAGGGCCTCAGTATTGATGAGCTGGTCCTCCGCCCGAGGAGGGCTCAGCCGTCCGGCGCAGCCAGCGAGGGCGCCAGGCCCACGGCCGCTGCCTGTAAGGCTGTAACTGGAGTTACTGTTTCTCTGGATGCAGATGTCACTGTGGGGCTCCCCAGCCTAGGTGTACCTGTTTTCTCTCATCTCTGGGAGGAAAGAAAACAAGGAGCCTGTTTGAGCAGGTTGGGAGGAATGAAGCTTAAATCTGAACAAGACCTTACTCCAGAACGCCCAGCAGACGGGGTGGCAGATGCCTGCGTTCCATCCTCCCTCCCTTGGGATGCAGCTTGGGTGGCTTTGCCTTGGGCATTTTTTTTGGTAATGGTTTTTTTTATGAGCCTTGACAACTGGTGCTGGTAGAAAGGGTGGTGGGAAATGGAGGAGACAGCAAAAATAGGTCCTTAGGCCTTGTAGGCCTGGTTTTAGGTTACATTCTCAAGGAACTCTGCTGAGGACTGGACAGAAGCGCAGGGCTCCTTTCTTTCTCCCCCTCAAAGGTCTGCCTGTCTACTCCAGTCTTCTCCTTTCTCCTGCTTCTGAGCTCCAGATTCTGCAAAGCCGCGGCCCTTGTTTTGGTCCATTCCCTTGACTCGCAGAATGGCAGCCCGTGGGGTTGGCCTGTCGGTGCAGAGCCCACCTGCAGCTCTAGCTGCTTTTAGTGCAGTGGGGTGAGCTCCCCTCTGGGGACATGGGTCATATGGCCACTTCCTTCCATGAGCAGGCGTGACACCCCACCTCCATCCTTTCAGTTATTTATTATTATTTTTTTAAATCCTCACCTGAGGACATTTTCTCATTGCTTTTAGAGAGGGAGGGAGAGAATAACAATGATGTGAGAAAGTGTAGAAAAAGTTAGAAAGTCTGGGGGTGGGAACAACCAAGGCCGTTTGAGTGCCGTGGGGAAGAAGGAGGGTGTTGGGGTCCTGGATGGAGTGGAAAAGCAGCAACCATTGACACAGAGGGCGCAGGCACCTGCAGGACCCGTCTGCTGGCGGAGGTTCATGGTGGAGAAGGCAGGTGCGGGGCTTCAAACAAGGGTGGAGCGGGCCAGTGTGGCTGTGGTGGAGACACAGGCCAGAGGTTGGAGGGCTGCCTCCAGCGGGTGGCGGTGGGAAGGAAGAGGCAGCTGTGGCGAAGATATGGGGGAGACAGGCCGAAATGCAGGGATAAGAGGCAGGGCAGTGTCAGGCCCAGCGGAGTTTTTGGGCCTCCATGGCAGCACGGTCACAGAAAGCAAGATGCTGCAGAGGGGAGAGAATGTGCGAGTGGCATTAGGGGGCAGCAGCAGGATATTCAAATAGACACGTTTCGTTGGACCCTTCGATGAGGCCTGAAGCTTGGGAGAGACCTGGGGACACAGCCTTGAGAGGTCACTGTTGTGTTGAGAGATGGAGTCGTGTGGGGAGAACAGAGCCGAGCAGGGCGCTGGAAACTCCCACTGCAGGATTTTCAGCTAAAAGGAAGTGGGTGCTCGGCGTCAACCTTGCCGTGTGGGCTGGGTGCCAGGGATTACAGTGGTGACTAACGCTGAGCTCTGTCTTTGGAGCCTGGGGAAAGAGTGGCTCTTAGGCAACCTCTTAAAATGGCAGGAGGAGAAACCAAGGCAGAGTAGCCAGAGATAAGGGGCCAGCACCAGGGAAGTGGGGAGGGGAGAGGCTGAGGTAGGCGGCTGACCACTGGGAGAACCGAGGGAAAGGGCACACTGGGTTATGGATACCACATCAGCATTTAGTTCCTACTGTCTTTTTAGTGTCCCTGACTGACAGCATCTCTGGACTGGCAGCATAGGAGAAGCATTGGGTGGGCAGACGGCCCCACCTCTTTGCCTGCCTTGTGGCTGTAAAGACACTGGTCCCTGGGGAGCTCTGCAGTGTAGCAGAGCAAAAGGGCAGGCAGTAGGCCCAGCAGTGGGGGCTGGAGATGGGAACCAGGGTCCAGCAGTGGCAGCCAACCTGTCGGGCACACGGCTGCAGCCGCTCGCTGGGAGACGCTGTAGCTCAGAGCCTGGGGCCTTGGAGACCCTCAGTCCTGGAGTGTAGTTTGACTGTAGAACAGCCGTCCCTTTGCACTGCCCGCCCCCCCCCCCCCCCCGCCCCTCCAGGAGTGGTGAGCTTGCAGGGCCCTGAGCCAGGTCTCCATGCAGGTGCATCATCAAGCACCTGGAGGGCCTTGTCGTCCAGTATGACCTGACAGTCCGCGATAGCGATGGCAGCGTGGTGCAGTTCCTGTACGGGGAGGACGGCCTGGACATCCCCAAGACACAGTTCTTACAGCCCAAGCAGTTCCCCTTCCTCGCTAGCAACTATGAGGTGGGTGCCAGACCCCCGGCAGCCAGGGGTGGCGGGCTTTCCAGGCTTTGCCACCACCCAGTTACAGTGGCCGTGGAGGATAGAGTGGGAGGAGTTTATAAAGCACCAGCCGATGCTGTGAAACACTTGCCATTTTCATACCCCGTCTGTGGGCTCTGAGAAAGCAGAACGGCATGAGCACCTCCAGAACGACCGCTGCCTTTGAGGGGCATTTGCGGGACCCTAATGCAAGCACACTGTGGACACTGTGTCTGGGCCTCCCCTTCACTGCAACCTGGGGAAGGTGGTCTTCCTTCTCTGCCCTTGTCACAGCTGGAATGAGCGGCAGAGCCAGTTTTTGAACCCAGACTCGTGACACAGGCTTGTCGTTTTCATGCTGTACCATACTGCCCCAGGAATGACCGTCATGGTTGACCGAGCAGTCACCCCATTTTGCTGGGTGGGAAACTGAAACTGATGTGGCCTCTCCGGAGTCACACAACAAATGGCCAAATTAAGGTTGAGCTCGGTGCTGTCTCCTTCCCATCCTGGCACCTGCCGCAGAGCTTTGGGGCATCACTTTTCCTTCCTTCCTAGAAACTCCCCCGTGTCCTGAACGGGCTCTGTGTGTGCCACTCTCCCCCCAGCCACTCAGATCATGGGACCACCACCTCCCAAGTCTGGTTTGTGCAGAGTGAGGATCCTCTGGAAGATGTCATGGCAGCTCCACACAGGCCATCTTGGTCCTGTGAAATTGTGTGACGTGGCCCTTGGGTCACACCCTCATCTCTTTGATCCTGTGTATGTGTGCGTGTGGTTTGTTCATTTATTTAGGTAATAATGAAATCGAAGCATCTCCATGAAGTTTTATCCAGAGCAGATCCGCAAAAAGCTCTCCGCCAATTCAGAGCCATCAAAAAATGGCAGAGCAAGCATCCCAACAGCCTGCAGAGAAGGGGTGCCTTCTTGAGTTATTCCCAGAAAGTACAGGCAGCTGTGAAAGCCTTGAACCTCCAGGATGCGAATCAGCTTGGCCGCAGCCCCGGGACTCACCAGGTGACTCGGGGGCTATTTCTCCAGTGCCCAGCGTGTATAGGCCTCAGTCAGGAGATGAGGGACTGAGGGGCTGTCTCCCTAATGGGAGGTATAATAATAAAATCTGGCTTCACGCGCTGTCAGGAAACACATGGCACTCAAATAGCAATTTAAGGAGGGCACTCTGCAAAGGTTCGGTCAGGGTACAAGGAAACTGGCTGGGACTGTTACCTCTGGTTCTGCACCACCTCAGGCATGAAGGGGCAGGGTGGTGGCTGTGGGCAGAGGCTCCTTAGAGAGGGTGGGAGGTGAATGCCAGGTGTCAGTCTCTCACCCTCCCCTCTGCTGCTGGGACCTGAAAGGCGGGGAGCAGCGGTGAGGCGGGGGAGCACTGTGAAGCAGCTGCTGTGGGACAGCCTTGGGGCACAGGGGGTGCGAAAGCCCAGATAAGGGGATGGGGCAAACTCAGGTCACCTGGCTCCTGGGACTGTCCTGGTTGGCCTGGGGCAGTCCTGGCTTCACCTCCTATCCTAGTGTTATTAATAGTGCCATTTTTTTTTTTTCTAAAAGAATCCTGGTTTGGACATTAACCTACCTGGTCACCCAACCTGTGCCTGAATGGGCCAGGATGAAGAGCCATAGAATCGTAGTCAAGCAGTGAGCTGTGGGATGGATTTAGATTCTCCCTATTTTAAATGCCGAGCTTGTTTTCTCATTGCAGTAAGGATTTTGTCTCTTTCCCCCACTCTCACTTGAAGCCAGTGCCTTTGATTCTTCTTATCCTCCTGGATGTCCCAGGAAAAGAAGCCATTCCTGGTGTCTTCCAGTATGGCTGAGGCCCGTCCTTCCTTTCAGGTGTTGAGGATGTGGAGTGAGTTAGATGAGCAGAGCCGAAGGAAATACCAGAAGAAGGCAGCTCCCTGTCCTGACCCCAGTCTGTCTGTCTGGCGCCCAGACATCTACTTTGCATCGGTGTCCGAAACATTTGAAAAAAGGGTGGATGATTTTATTTGTGAGTGGGCATCTCAAGCGGAGAAGAGTTTTGAGAAGTCAGAGCTTTCTCTTGACAGGTAATGACACTGATTTGTTGCTCAGTACGTGCAGAGGAAAAACCTGCTGTCAGGCCCTTCCCTGCCCCTCCAGAAGAGGAGGGCAGCCTCTCGGGTTCAAGACTCCAGCAGGAGGGAGGGAAGTGAAACAGAAGGCACCTTGCAAGCGCTGGGGGCCCTGGGCCATGAGCCAAGAGCAGGTAGGCAGGAGTGGACTTCACCTGGGCCAGGACAGAGAAGAGAGCTCTGGAGACAGAGGCTCACAGAAAAGGCCTCTCTTCAGTGAGGTGTGGTGGGCGTGGCTAATTGAGAGATGGAGAACTTAATTGCCACTCAGTGGCTGCCACCTCTGTGACTGAGAGCGAATTATTCACTTCCTTATGACACCATGTCGTAGTCTTTTATGAGGGGTTGGATCTGATTATTCCAATGTTCTTTTAAGCTTTGGGTTTCAAAGCCTTAAGGAAGAAGGACCACATGTTGTTCTCAGTCTGCACCCGTTCACACACACACAAAAATAAAACCAGTTAAAAAAAGTCCTGTGGTGAAGGCAGGTGGGAAGCCAGGCATGAACCAGCACTGAGCCTCAACGGTGTTAGAACATCCAAAGTGCCCCCAAAGGGAATGCCTGCTGGGGGCTGGCCTTGGGGGAGTAGTCAGGGGTCCTTCCTACTTCACTCACTAAGCCTCGCCTGCGGAGCTGGAAGACCAAGGTCACCTGCTCTATCCTGGCTGCTTGTCCTGCCCCTGGCGAATCCCGCCAGGTGCCTGGAGAGGGTGTCAGGGTCCAGGGACAACAGCAGGGAGATGGGACTCAGGAAGAGCAAGGAGCAGAGACAGATACTGGAGGGGGAGACCTAGATGGGAGGGATGGGGCTTTCTCTTTACCCATGAAATGGTTTCTCCAGCCAGGCCTCAGATTTCCAAATAGAACAGGTCATGCTGGTTACCACGGCCACCAGCAGGGCTTTCCCCCCAAGAGGAAGTCCTAGGTCCCCTGGCCCCTTCACCCACTCCCCTCAGGGTGCTGCCGTTTACTCTCTGAAAGACCATGTCAGTCCTTCAGCTGCACGTCAGTGGTGTGAGGAGGTTAGTCCTGGGGAGCATCGCATGGATTTGCAGCGCTGAGATGGGATGGCGATTTTGCCTTAGTGGCTCTTGCAGGGGACCTGTTAGCAAGCAGCAAGTTTTGGGTACAACTCCAAACTTCTGGGAGTATTTGAGGGTTTCTGTGACAGGAATACTGATACGTGTTCAAACCCCACTGGTTTGAAGTAATTGGGAGAGAAGACACATCAGGTTAGTGAAAAGTCTGACTTTTAAAAAGAACTTGCATAGAAACGTTTTGTTGATTTCTTCTTCATTCATGCATTCGGCCGTTTAGTCTCCAGTTGTTGAGCCTTCCCTTGTTCCATGCGTGGGGGCACTGCAGTACTCTGGAGGCTGTTCTAAAAGGAAGAATGGCTAGTAGTTACAAAATTGCAAAGCACACATACCTAAGGCAGCCATTTGCACTAATTAAGAAAATAAACACCCTTGCCTCCTGCACTCCCCCATCCCCATAATTGCTTAGTGAACCTCTTTCTAGTTGATACAGCAGGAGGTGAAGGCCTCTCCAAACTGTCACAACTAGTCGGGGAAAGGAACTAACAAAGGAAAACGTGAACCGTGAGCTCACACATTCTCACTGCTTTGGAGGCTTGTCACTGGCACAGTGTGGGCGCGTGACATTCTCGGAGAACATGAACAGTCTTAGCGCGGACATCTAGGGTTTAGTCACCCAGCTGGGACCTGTGCTGAGTAATTTAGGACATTTCAGGGCCACGAGCAGGAATTTAAGGGTTAAAGGATCATATGTTAGGAAATATCAGCCCAGAAAGAAAGGGAATAGTTCCATGCACCCTAGTTTTGGGTGGTATGGACCCCTCCAAGCAGACCGACAGGTGGTGTCTGCTCCTAACCTCTGTCATCTCCTGCCCCGCCTCCAGTTTGAGGACCCTGCTGCAGCTGAAGTGGCAGCGCTCGCTGTGCGACCCGGGTGAGGCGGTGGGCCTGCTGGCTGCCCAGAGCATTGGGGAGCCCTCCACACAGATGACCCTGAACACCTTCCACTTCGCCGGCAGAGGCGAGATGAACGTCACCCTGGGCATTCCGAGGTGGGCCACCAGGCGCATGACATGGGTCTGTCCTAGCTCACTTCCAGGGAAGAACTCATTTAATTAGAGTGTGTGTGTCTGGCTCTAAAAGACAGGGTCTCGTCAGAGTGGGGATCAAGGTTGGAATTTCCAAAATCCGGCTTTTCTGTGCAGTTCCTGTGGCTGGCCCCATAGAATCTCAGGCCTCTTAGACTCTCCATTTATCCCTCTGCCAACTCTTCTATTAGAGTTAATGTGGGATGGTTGTAAAACTTCATGTTCCTGGGTTCAGGACTCAGGAAGATGATGTTCATAAACCCCATGCAGTGCCACTTGGTTGCCCACTTCTGGGGCACTGTCCACCTAGAATGTGACCCACCGCGGCCCTGGCCCTTCAGGCAATAATGTATGTGTCCAGCAGGATGATGGGCAGTAGGTGAGAAGAAAGAATGAGAGTCAGACCCACTTGAGTTGGATACCTGGCCTTGCCATTTTCTCAGACAGGTTCCTTAGCCTTCTAGGCCTCAGGGTCCTCTGCTGGGGGGCCTCCTTACTGTGCAGTCAGGCTGAGCTCGAGGGCAAGGTGCAGAGCCTGGTGCCTGCACCCAGTCGGAGCACTGCAGACACTAATTACCTTTTGCTCCTAGTAAGTACCTGCTGTATGCAAGGCACAGGCGATAAGAAACAAGAATAAGACACAGTCCTGTCCTTAAGGAGCCACGCTCCAGTGGAGGCAAGTGATAGAGTTCCTTGCTGTCACGCATGGAGCCAGAGCTGGTACACTCTGACTCATATTTCCTTGCAAGATCCGAAGGTCTCTCTTAGATCCCAAAGAGCTCTGACAAGAAAGGCTTCCCACAGGTAGGGAATCTGAGTGACTTTGTATGATCTGATGCCCTTCTTCCATGACAGGTTGAGGGAGATTCTCATGGTGGCCAGCGCCAACATCAAGACACCCATGATGAGCGTGCCTGTTCTCAACACCAAAAAAGCACTGAAGAGGGTGAAAAACCTGAAGAGGCAGCTCACTAGGGTGTGCTTAGGGGAGGTAATTGTCTCTTGGACGTGCTGCAGACAGGGCAAGACATTTTCCTATGTCCTCCCATCTGCGAAGAATGGCTTTGCTGACAGTTCAGGCCCTGGCTTCAGGCCCCCGGGAGTGAGAGGGAAAGTTTCTCTGCCAGGTGCTGCGCAGGGGTGATCAGCAAGCTTTAAAAGTAATCATTAGCTATGCAGCCTTCTCATGTGCCTTAAAAATACGGACACTTCCTAGGTTAGCTTACCAGCCCTGCTGGAGCCCACAGCCTGCTTCCTGCAGCCTTTCTCTGGGTGTGACCTGTAGGCTCTGGGAGTTTCTTTGGGGTTTTGGTCCCAAAGAAACTTGTTCCATCCTCTTCCCCCGCAAGCCCTTGGGTTTTCCATAAATGACCTGTAATGCCTTCGTATCTGGGCAAGATGGGTTCTCCCCATGTATCTGGTTCTAGGTGTTGCAGAAGATCGATGTCCAGGAGTCTTTCCGGATGGGAGAAAAACAGGACAAGTTCCGGGTGTACCAGCTGCGGTTTCAGTTCCTGCCCCATGCGTATTACCAGCAGGAGAAATGCTTGAGACCTGAGGACATCCTGCACTTCATGGAAACAAGGTCAAGACTCAGGCCACTCTGTCGTTAGACTTTGCCGTGGCTCTTGAGCCCCCCTGGCTGCAGGACTCTGAGAAATGAGGGCTCATGTGCACAAGTTAGTTCTTCATGGGACGTGCCTAGGAAAACAGCCAGCCCTGCAGGTCAATCTGGAAACTACACCCGACTGGCTGCATTGTAGGTGTGACTGCACTGACCACATACTGCTTCCTAAACCCTGCTCTTTGTGGTTGATGAATCTCATGCTCTCAGGTTTGCAGGCTTTCAGACATGCAAGTACGTGTACCTTAAAGAGAAGTGAGCTCCATCACAGTGGTGCTGCTGTGGTGTCAGACCAGCCACTCAGTGTTCATTTTTGACATGGTGAGATTCCAGGCAGCACGATGTAGGACCTGATGCATTTGTATCCTGTTACTGAGCAGTACGCCTGTGACCTGCTGCTCTTAAATGCCAGTTCTATAACCAGAGTTACCTCCACTTCTTAGAAAGAAATTCTGGTTGCCTTCTGGTAGGGAGAGTGAACATCCTTTTTCTCTCAAGTTCAAGTCACTGTTGGACATTCGAGAAGCACAAGCCGCAGTGCAGAGTGCACGGGAATGGGAGGGTGGGGCCAGCTTGGAGGAGCCAGTGAAGCCCTTATGACTAGCCAGCTGACCCGATGGTGGGGTGCACACTCAGATGGCTTCAGGGCCCTGCAGGTAGCGGAGGCCGGTGAAGCAGGTTGGGAAGCCCTCGGCTGGGCCACGGGAGTGTGTGGAACCTGCCTCCAGGGGGTGGCAACATGGGCCAGATATTCTGATCCAAAAAAACAAGAAAAGAAAAAGAAAGCCCCCCCCCAACCCCCAACCTTTTTTCTGTCTTTGGTGGTTTGGTTACTTGCTTTTTATTTTATAAATGAGAAGTCTCCTAATTTTAAAACATCAACTAATTTATATCTTTTTAAAAGCCCAGTAAGGCCCAAATATATCCCATCTGTTGGCAGGAGATGGCCATAGACCCCTGATGACTGCTTCTAACCTAGACCACCGGTCAGGTCTTCTCCAAGTTCGTCAGAAATAGAGAACCAACGGCAGAGTAGAGGCAGAGTCCACTGCATTCTGTTGTCCCACAGACCTTTACTGAGTGACACCCATTAGAGTTAGGTGACAAGGCAGCACGGCCAGGAGATAGCAGCTGTGCTGCCATGGGCCCTCCCTCCTCTCACCTGAAGGTGTAAGCTGGCTTCAGTCTGGCCCTCTAAGTAGGTGGCATTTAGGGCAGTGGGAGCTGTGGTAGGTGAACTCAGATGTGAACTCAGCCCTTTGGATGGTGGTCACTGACCAGGCAGATCCTGTCCCTGTTTACATGCGCCCTGGGTGAAATTGTTGCCGGCTGGGCCTTGGGGACAACTGCCTCACTGGCCGTCTGTGTAAAGGTTTTCTCCGTCAGGCAGGCCCCTTGCTCTTGTGGTGCTGGGCCATGTCACAGGAGACCTATCTGGGCACCAGCCTGCCAACTCATTAATTAACAGGGAGGAACATACTTCCCAAGAGCCCAGCATGTTTGCGCTGGCCAGGCCGCGCTTTGCCGAGAAACGGGAATTAGGATTACATGGCCTCTTGAGAATTATCAGGACATGTGCAGATGGATGATCTGCCTCATTTCTAGTCATTTAAGACCTGCCAAGCAGGTAGGTTTGCAGGATACATGCACCAGGCTGTGCACAGAGCTCTTTTTACTTGCCTTATTTTCGTGAGTTGAAAATCCGTCACTTTTTAAAAATTTCTTGATGAGGGACAGCCCTGACTCTTTCCCAGCAGCGATATACTTTTTCTACTCCTACTTTGTATTTTGCTTGTGCGCTCGAAAAGCTGCGATAAACAGAGTCAGGTACAGTTAATCTTGGTGGAGCTGCTCTGTGACTTTAGCAGAATGGGCCAAAGGTGAGAGAAGGAGCTGGCATGTGGACTGGGGTGTGGTTGGGACTCCCTTTGTCAGGTCCAGCGAAGCAGCCCATTAAGGCCTCTTACAGACCGCAGGGGATGAGTGTGCTTGTGAAGAGCAACCCTGCCCACAAGAAACTTTTCTTCCTCCTCTCTCCCCCCTCCCCTCCCCTCTCCCATCTCCCTCTCCTGCCCTCTTTTCTCTCCTCTTCCCTTCCCTCCCTTTCTTCCCTTCTCTTCCACCTGTGGGATCATGACACTTTACTTCAGGTGTAATTGGCATACAGTATTATATGAGTTTCAGGTGTACAACATAGTGACTAGACGTGTTCATTGGGAAATGGTCACCAGAATAAGTCTAGTTACCATCTGTCACCTTACAAAGTAAATACAATATTTTTGGCTCCATTCCTCAGGCTGCACATCATGTCCCCATGACTTACCTATTTTATAACTGGGAAGTTTGTACTTCTTAATCCCCTTTACCCATTTCACCCCACCCTACTGCTCTGGGAACACCCATCTGTTCTGTGAGTTCGGGTTTTGTTTTGTTTTAGAATCCACTTATAAGTGAAAGTGTACAATATTCATATTTCTCTGACTGACTTCACGTGGTATGGTATCCTCTAGGTCCATGCATGTTATCGCAGATGGCAAGATTTCATTCTTTTTTATCTGTCTTTTCAAATTAGTGTTTTGGTTTTTTCAGATAGATACCCAGTAGTAGAATTGCTGGATCATAAGGTAGTCCTATTTTTAAATGTTTGAGAAACTTCCGTGCTGTTTTCTGTCGTGGCTGCACCAATTTACATTCCTACCAACAGCGTGAGGGTTTATGAGACTATTCTGACACAGGATACAAACAAACAAAAAATAGAGACACAGTGACACTTTCCCAGAGGGAGACATGTTAGCATTTTAAGGCCCCCTAGATAATTGTACTGTCACGTGTCACTTTTAATACTTGTATAAATTATCTGTAAGATGGGCTGGAGGAGGTGAAATGGAAAGAGCTTTGAACTAGAGTCGGGGGGTTTAAGTTCTGGCCTCCAGGCCGCAGCCACGAAGTGACCGAGTTGGCCATCTGCAGGTATCACCTCTGTGAGTCTAACTTTGAAAACAGCAGGTGGTGGAGCTATTGCCAGGCACTTTCAGAAACAGCCAAGGGTCATGTTCTCTGTTTATAATTATTTATGTGGAATGAGAGCTTTCTCTGCAGCCTACCCCTCCTGTTCCCTTTCAGTTGCCATGTTCTGACAAATAGCCAAACCTTCCCAGAGCAGTCACTGTGGCCCTTTGCTTCCCTTGCTCTTGGCAAAATCACAGAAGGGCAAACTGTTTGCACCTCCAGGAGAACTCTAGCGCACTGGTAATGTGCCTACCACTTACTGGTCAGGTGTTTCATCTACTTTTTCACCTCTCTCATTCTACACCTGTTCACCAAAAGAGGCAGACAAGGTAGGAAGGATTCCCAGCTGCAGAGATTAGGGAAGGTCTCTTGTGAGAATTACATCTCCACTGAGATGCAGCCGTGTGTGTGTGTGTGTGTGTGTGTGTTGGGAGGCAATGTTAGATAAGGGGCTGGGAAAACAACTAGTAGAGCTAATGGCTTGAGTATGCGCCCACAGCATGCATGGAGGTGGGTATGAGCAGATGTGTAATTAGGGTTGGGGACAGTTGTAGGGGGGCTTGAAGTGCTAGAGGAAGCCTAGTGCTTCCACTCTCGCCCGCCCCTTCTCATCTCCACTCTGCAGTGACTGGGCGCGAGCTGGGAGTGGCTTCACTGTACAGATGAGATCAGAGAGCCTCCTCTCCAGTCTCCAGTGGGACAGGATCTTGATCAGAGCCTGTCCTTTCAGAAACATCTCTTGAGCCCCCACTTCCCAGTTGGAGCGTGTCTTGCTAAAGTCAAGCTCACCCACCCCGCATTCTGGCCCTGTCATCTCTGCCCCCAGTGTCTAGTGACCAAGCTCCACCCTGGAATAGTGGATAAGGAACCTTTTTTCTGCAAAGGGCAGAAAACCCAGCAAAACCATGTAAACTTTGAAAAGTTTTTAGAAAATAATGAGGGGGAAGAGTAGCAGGGTTTTTTGTTTATAATGAGCAAAATAGTAAACTTGCTTCTCAGATTAAGACTCTAAGCTCCAGTCTTTCATCCTTGCTTTGCCCTAGGGCACATGATAGGTGCAATAAAGGCTCAGAGAATACAAGGTGGTTGCCTCGACGCTGGAGGTGCCTGATACTTTCCATAATTAAACGCAGTCCATATTGGTGTGCTGTTCTAGACCGATGAAGCAGACAGGCAAGAGACTGTATGAACAAAGAAGCAGGGGCGAGTGATGGGGTGAAGCCCTCGGGGAGCATAAAAAAAAATCTCTGGAGGGGTCCAGGGGTCAGGAAAGGCCCCCCCAGGCTGTGCTTGAACTGGTTCTTTTAAATTGGTTTGGTTCTAACCTGATGACAGGATTTACTGCCACAAAGTAAGTTATCACTGCCTTTGAAACTCCAGTGAGCTTTTCCCCATCTTTGTTCTTTCACTGAGCCACTGGAGACCGCAGCAAACAATCGGGCCCCAGGACTAGATCAGGCCTGAGCATTGCCACTTGCCCGAGCTGCACTGGCAGGCAGTCAGGGCAAGGCCTAGTGCTGGCTGGACTCCCCTGTCCTACTGTAGATTCTGCTGTTTGCTAGACGACAGCCACAGCTGCACCAGCAGATGTCATTTACTGAGCACCCGCTCTACCAGGCCCTCGGACAGGTATCGAACATAGTGTGATTTCCTAACCCTTAAAACAAGATTGCATAAAACTTACTAATAGCCATATTTTGCAGACAAGGGAGTTAAAGCTCAGGAAGCTGTCGCGCTCAGAGCCACGCTCCCTAGGAATGGCAGAGAGCACGTGTTCAGACTAGGCCTGTCAGGCTGTGGAGCAGTGTTCTTTCTGACAGGCCGGGTACCATTCAGAAAGAGTAAGAGCGGGGGAAGTGAGCTGGTAGGAAAGGTCAAGCCTCGTGTACAATATAAATCCTCAATATCAGCCTCTGTGGGTGTGCGACCTTTGGACAGAACCTCTCACCCCTGCAGCCAGGGGAGAGCGGAGATGCTATAACTGAACGGATCTGCGTGGCTTTCTTCTTGCTTTAGATTCTTTAAAATTCTGGTGGAATCCATCAGGAAGAAGAATAACAAGGCATCCGCTTTCAGAAGTGTGAACACTCGAAGAGCTACCCAGCGGGATCTAGACAACCCTGGGGAGTCAGGGAGGAATCGGGTGAGTGAATCCCCTAGGGGCCTTTGGGGACTCGCGCAGGGAGGGTCCCTGGGGTGGCAGCTCGCTTAGTCTCCTCTTCTGGGACGGGTCCATGGCAGCCCCTTGCTGGCGTTGGCCCATCTCTTCACTTACCTTAGCATTTATCTCGGTGCTGAGAGCTGAGAAGCAACAGTGACTTCTCAGGTACGGTGGGCAACGCAGGCGGGGGGGCAGCATGGTCTGGTTGGCCCTGGGCAAGGGCCCCAGGTTGTTGATCTGTCTGCTCTCAAGACCCCTCTGTAAGTGGTTTATTTATCCTGAGGATAGACACAAAGTAATGGTACCTGCTGGGCTTTTGGAAGTTCTTTTTCTGTTTCATTTTTTCTCTGCCTTTTGGCTTACCTAGGCCCAATGAACTCAGGCCCACAGGGTACTAGCAGGGACCAGAGAGGCATTGTGAAGCAGGGAAGTTGGAGTTTAGTGGCAAAAAAGGAAAAAGCCACTGGAGGCAAAATAGTCCAGGAATGATAATACGTCATCTGCCAGGGAACCCTTGGCAGTGTGGGGACAGGGCCCCGAGTGTCATCTGAGCCAGCAGCTTGGAGCTGTGCAGCAGTAGGCTGTGCTGATGCAGCAAGCCTGCCTTAGACGGGGTTGCAACAAAGACTGGCACTGTCACTGCCTGCTCTGTGATCTCGGCTGCATCACCTCCTCATCCCTAAAATGAGGTACTGGAACAAGTACCAGATGGCTAGCTCAAGCACAAATGGGCACGGTCTGTCTTTGAAAGGCTGCCCAGTCCTTATTATTAAGTCACCCAGAAGGAGACTAAGAAACTAGGAGCCAAGGTCAGAAAGAAAAAGGTAGAAATACTTGGTTTTTAAAACGCTCAGCATTCCACCAAAACAGTCCTCTGTCTTTGTCTCCACCTGCAACAAAAATATTTGGAACAATATTATGTACTATCTTTCAATAAATTAGAAAGTCTTGGCATTTTAAAAAAATGTTTTTTAATGTAAGATTTTGGAGTTTGTACATGCAAAGATGAAGACTGAATAGGAGATGTGGGATCAGGGCTAACACAAAGTAGGTACTGGGTGGTCCACCTTGGGTTGGGTGGGAGAGTAGAGAGCAGGTACGAGGAAGGGGAGTTGGCTGGATGGGTGAGTGGACAGAAGAGTAGGCAGTTGGATTGGTGGCTGGGTAGATGACTGGACATGATCTTTTTCCTCCTTGTTCTCACACCACAGGGAGGGCAGGAAGGGGAAGAGGAAGAGGAGGAGCACATTGTGGATGCTGAAGCTGAAGAGGGAGATGCTGATGCCTCTGATGTCAAACGCAAGGAGAAGCAAGAGGAAGAGGTGCGGTGACTCTGACTGGGGTGTAGGGGCCATGATCACATCCCTCCTTCTCCATCACACTCAAGGGACCGTCCTGGCACATAAGGCTACTCCTTCGTATCTGCTGGAACCTGTCAGAAACCTTGAAGCAAAACCAGCCTGCCCAGCACACTCTCAGCTGAGAGGGTGTTCTTGGGGTAGACATTGGGCAGGTACCATCCCAGGGCTGCCCTTTGGGTCTGGCTGTCCCTGAGATTCAGTCAGTTTCAAAGACCTAGTGGCCTTTGGCAAGGAGATGAGTCAGACTGTCTTCTGTTTTTACAATGAAAATATGCCTCCCTCCCCTCCCCCCAAAACAGTCCTCTACTGTCACAGTGGCTGCAAAGACAGAGGACAGGTTAGAGGGGCTAAGGAAATTCACAGGGAAGAGAGCTCGAGGTGCAGGAGAGGAGGGGACTGGGGAGTTGGCATTCCCAGGTGGAGGGCCAAGGTGGGAAGGAGGAAGGCAGTCCTGGCAAAATGGAGCAGGTAGGGCACGGGAGGGCCTGGCAGATGAGGCCTCTGCAGGCCCAGTTCCGATAGATGGTGAGGCCCCAGTGATGCAGCCTGCGCCCTGTTCCATGCCAGGTGGACTATGAGAGCGAGGAAGAGGAGGAGAAGGAGGGGGAGGAGAACGAAGATGAGGATGTGCCGGAGGAAGGGAATGTCCATGGGGAAGGCGCCCACAAGGCCCAGGAACCGGGTGAAGAAGAGGCGGGCTCAGGCCCCGAGGAGAACTCGCCCCCAGCTCTGCCCTTGAGGCAGTCCCGGAAGGCCACCTGTGGCCAGGAGCCCAAGGGAGCTGAGGCCGTGGAGCGCCGGGTGCAGGCTGTTCGTGAATCCCACCCGTTCATAGAGGACTACCAGTATGACACGGAGGAGAACCTGTGGTGCCAGGTCAGTGGGGGTCAGCGCCACAGCAGGGGGTGGGGCTGGGGTAGGAGGGAGAGTTGGCTGCTCTCTTTTTAATCCTAGATCCCTTAAGTTCAGAAAATGGTGGCAGCTATGGACGCCCAAGTTATGGCCTCACCAGTGTGACTTCCTCTTCTCTCTGATGTTTCAAGAAGAGTGTGTGTGTATGTGTGGTCTGATGTGCCAGGCCCTCTAGGTACTTTTAAACATGTCACCTCTGTCAGTCCTCAGTACAGCAAAGCGGTAACATATACAAAGCTGTTGTGGAGGCTAGCAGGAGTACTTTATTTCTTACACCTGTAGCTCTTGGTCTCCAACTTGGGGGCGACACCGTTCTCTCACAGGCTGGGTGGTTTGAATGCCTGGACATCTACAGGGAGTGGGTTTTTTTGTGCTTTGATCCAGCTCAGTGGTTCCCAAATGGCAGTGTAGATAAGAGTCATTGACCAGGATTACACCCACAAAACCCTGTGTATTATGCTTGTTGGTAATTGAAAAGATATTAAGGGCGATGTTGAGCGACGTGATTTTCACTGTTCTCACTGACATCTGTGAAAATACTGCTCCATCGTTTTCTCCTCAGCCTGGGTGACTGGAGATGGCTGCTGTGTATAGGCGGCTAAGCCGCCCAGCGTGCATGGGTGCAGACCCACTGGCCCAGCGCCCCCAGCAGGGTCCCTGTCCCCAGCCAAGGTGTTTACTAAGAGAGCTTCGGTGGAGTGCCCTGAGGAACCAGTCAGTGTGGCCTCTGCCCACTTCGTGGGGGCTTGGGGTGGCCATCTTCCTCTGCTCAGCTCTTTCTCCTCTTGCAGGTGACGGTGAAACTCCCGCTAATGAAGATTAACTTTGACATGAGTTCCCTGGTAATGTCCTTGGCCCACAGTGCTGTCATCTACGCGACCAAGGGCATCACGAGGTGCCTCCTGAATGAAACCACCAATGCCAAGAACGAGAAGGAGCTTGTCTTAAACACAGAAGGAATCAACCTTCCAGAGCTATTCAAGTATGCCGAGGTGCGCGTGCCTGTGCAGGCCGTCTGCTGGCCCGGGTCAGGTCCTCACGCTGTCCAAGCCTCAGGCCGCTTGGAGACGAGGCTGCAGCCACTTTACCTTGGCCTCTTCTGAGCTGCTGGCACCTCTAGCCCAGTGTCCCCAAACCGAGTTTGTGTGACCTGGCCCACCTTTTGGGGGTGTACAGTGCACGTGAGCCCACTGAAGGTTTACAGTACAGAAACCTACTGAACTTTAACCCTGAGTTTCTCAAACTAATTTGGGTACAAATACTTTTCCTTGAAATTAAAACCTCCCCAAAGTACAGTTGTAAGCGTAGTTGTAAGAAACAGTTGGCTGAGTTGCTGGCCTGGGAGCTGCTCACTTTATGTGGGAAAGGAGGCCCTGGGCACACAGGGGGTCCAGGCCCAGCCCCCACGCGCGACGCTGGTAGAGGCCATGTGCTCCTGCCCCCCATCTGAGTTCTTTCCTGGTTCTTCCCACTGCCCTGAGACCCCCACAGTCTGCAGAGATTCTGTCAGTTCCCAGAGAATACTGAGGAGCCGGGACCCCTCAAACCCAATGTCTTCTAGTCCACACCGAGCCGCAAAGCTCCCGCATCTCGCACATTGCTCCGCCACAACAGCTGCCCACAGAGGCCCCTTCTGCCCCGGAGCCTTTCACCAACCTCTCCAGAGGGCACAGCAGGAAGGCTCGCGCCTTCTGAGGGGCAGCCACTGGCAGGGCGAGCTCTGTGTCCTCCTCACTGAGTTTGTTTAAACAAGGCCAGACAGGCTACCAGGGTCTCCAAGGTCTTCGACAGTGGGGATGGGGGGAACCTGCCATTGCATGGAGCCACCTTGGGCGGGGCCCAGGTTACCCCTGTGGAGCTGCCCCATCCCTGCTCCACATGCCCTGGACAGGTGTTTGTATCTCTGCTATGGAACTTTCCTCACTTATCGGGGGACACCTTTATCCTAGGAAACAGGTATTTCTGTTAAATAAACAAAAATACCTTTGACCCTAAAGTGGGTACCAAGTCATCGCTTAGCTCTGGTAATGAGGAGACAGACCTTGGGGCCTGGCCAGAGTCCTGTCAGCAGCTCTCCGCCACGTTGCCGCCGCTCTGTTGTCAGTTGTGCTCAACTGCCAGACAAAGAGGCAGTGCGGCCTGGGGGCACATGCTGTAGGAGGGAGCAGAAGGCCAGGCCCTCCAGGTCAGTGCCCCCCTTCTCCTCCAGGTCCTGGATTTGCGCCGCCTCTATTCCAATGACATCCACGCGATGGCCAGCACCTACGGCATTGAGGCTGCACTGCGGGTGATCGAGAAGGAGATCAAGGATGTGTTTGCTGTTTACGGTAGGAGACACTGCAGGCAGACATCGGGAGATCCCAGGGTGTCATCTAGAGGTGTCAGGGAACTGAAATTGGGATGCAGTGAGCATGTAGCCTGTAGGAGACCCTGAGAATGACCGACTTACGTTTCTGTCTCGTGGCAAGTCCCATCACTGAGGAACACCACTTATTTCTCACCCGCCATCGTCGGAAGAAGCTCCTGTCTGACAGCTTGGTCCTGTCGAGCCCTCATAGTTCCAGAGTGCAAATGTTCTGTTAGGTTCCCATGCCCCGCCCCACCCCACCCCTGGCCTGGAACCCGTGTTCTCTGGGCTGCTGGACAGCTGGGGAGCTCGGGAGGTAGTTTAGTGACCAGGGATAAGAGAGGGACTTATCCGAACTAGGCAGGGACCAGGTGACGGGGCTGCAGCAGAGCCCTGGGGCCTGATACGTGAGCCTGTGTGCTGACTTTTACCAGGTAGATCCGCCCCAAGGTCCCCTTGTTACCGCTTACGCCTGATGTTTATGCTCATGTGGCAGGCATTGCAGTTGATCCCCGCCATCTCTCCCTGGTTGCCGACTATATGTGCTTTGAGGGTGTTTACAAGCCGTTGAACCGCTTTGGGATCCGGTCAAACTCATCCCCCCTGCAGCAGATGACATTTGAAACCAGTTTCCAGTTCCTGAAGCAGGCCACCATGATGGGTCAGTGTGCGGGCCGGTGTCCTTGGCCTCTCCTCAGTCTACCCTGGGCAGATGCGCTTGTTCCTTCGGCACCATTCCTCACGCCTTCCCTGCGAGTGAGATCTCCCTGGAGGAGGCAGCTGGGGAGGGGTGGGCCGCAGGCAGGAAAGCCTGTGTTTTGAAGGAAAGGGAAAGGGGCCTTCCTCAAACGCAGGAGCAGTGCTGCCTCATGTAGTGTCAATCTGTCCCAGGGACTCGGGGCCGTTCCTCGTGGCCTCCAAGGGCCCCATCCACCTCATGTCCATGGGGAGCCCCCACCTCCTCGCATCACCCACAACTTCTCCCTCAATCACTAACGAGTGCTCCGTGTCTCTCCCAGGGTCCCACGACGAGCTGCGGTCCCCTTCAGCCTGCCTCGTGGTTGGGAAGGTTGTCAGGGGCGGGACAGGCCTGTTTGAGCTCAAGCAGCCCCTGAAGTAGCAGCCACCACAGCGCCATCTCTCTGGCCAGAGGAGAGCCCAGAGGACCCAGGTGGGGCCTGGCCTGGCCTGACCTGACCTGCCCTTCACGTGAGAGGACCAGGAGACCAGGGTCCCAGTGGTTCAAAGTGACAGTGCAAAGCATAGCAGTGACGTTGGGGTTCCAAAGAGCAGCTGGCTTTTGGGCTGGACCAGCTTCCCCAGGAAAGTGGTTGACCATCCTTTTTCCTTCCCCTCTGTGGGTATAAACAAGGTTCACCAAATCCCCCGAGCCCCTCCGAGGTCTCAGGGCCTTACCCTGTGCTGCAGGAGGCTTCAGAGGCGAAATGCCCGGCCCGTCCATGGTAGAAGGCGGGGGCCCATTGCTCTGGGCAGCCAGTGACTGCGCGGGATTGCTGGGGCTCTCAAGCAAGAAGAAAGCGCCCACGGCCTGCCCCTCCTGGCTGCCACAGCCCCAGGGGACCTAGTTCCCAAGGACTCTCCACCCAAGGCTCTTTTCCCTGGGCCAACTACAGGGTGGTACAGCCTTCCACCCACCCAGCTTCTGTGCCTGGCTCCTGGCATGTGGCCACATGTCCTTCTCAACCAGATTAGCTCTGAGCCTGAGGTTGGTCTCTCCAGGGCCCCGGCAGCTCACCCCCACACATAAATCTCCGAGTCGCTGGCCAGGCTGCGCTGTTTGAATGAAAGGCTGACTATCTTCCCTGGCTCCGCGCAGTCCAGCATTGAGGCCCGTGTCCCCCCTGCGCAGACCCTGCTCCGTCTGGCTCCCTTAATCTCTGGCACCGCAGCAAGGGGCCCTGGTGTGAACTGAAAAGTCAGAGAACTTGTACAAAGGCTTTGTAAAACCAGAGGCGGTTTCTATTTTTGTCTAATGTTATTCCAGCTCAGGCTGAGTAATAAACATCACTGGAATTAGCTATTGGGAGGGGGAAAAAAATTTAAATCTTGGGTTTTTTTATTCTTTCCTTGTTTGTAATTTCTGCATTTGTGATTTGAGACCTGAGGACTGGGGTTTCTCAGCACAGTCACATCGTGGGTCCTCTTCCTGTTCTGGCAGAGGACCCCGGGGGAAGAGCTCGGCGCCAGCAGCCTCCCTTTTGACCTCACGCTACCCACAACATCCCCCTTCCAGAGCCAGCCTCTGGCCCTGAGGCCAGGAGAGTGGAAGCCAGTGGGAAGAAGCTGTGTGTATCTGGCGGGGGAGGGAAGGCCTTGCTTGGGAAGAGTGACTACACTACTTTCTCTAGACCATGATTTTTCAGCCAGAACCAGTGTGCTGTAGGTATTTTTAAACATGCAGTACCTGACTGGTCAGGAACACTGACGTCTTTTCCTGTAGATTGATAAATTGAAAAAATGACAATAGCCATCCAGTGTCAATAACTCAAAATTATACCTTTGGTCAGATAGGCAAAAAATATATTTTGGGGGCATGCCACAGAATTTTAGTAATTAGTTTATGTATGTCATGAGGTGAAAAAGATTGAAAATCATTGCTCTAGACACATGACAGAACCCAGTCTGGGCCTCCTGCGTCCACACTGGGAAAGACCCGGCAGAAACCGCTCACCAGGGCTGGGGCCCGGAGGAACACAGAAGCGTGGGTCCCTGCAGGCCCTGCGCCACAGGTTAAGCTGTGCATCTCGGAGGTCAGGGGCCACTGCACTACCCGATTTCCATTCACACCAGAACGTGAGAGCCAGGCCGCAGCGCACCGCACTCTGGTGCACGGATGGACTTGGTTGTGTGTCCCCAAGGCCGGGTACAGGCACAGCAGTCGGCTCAGCTCCACCCAGTGCTGAGGGTGCAGGGGTGAAGGAGCAAGCCCAGGTGGCAGACAGGCCATGGCTGCACTGAGGCCAGGTCCCAGTCCTGTGTCAAGAGTGAGGTGACAGCCCCTGTCCTTCCTGCCCGGCCCATCCATGTATTTCCTGTTTATGTGAAATTTCTCCAGAATATACCTCAGTCCTGGTTTGCGAGCAGACGTCCCAGAACTGTAACTCAGTGGGCCAGGAATCTCGCCTTGCTCCCTATGGGGTTGTACTCTCGCTTCACTTCAGAAGGCTTTGTGGGTGGCTCCCCTGCTGTTTAAGATGGCATATTCTTTGGAATATTCTCAATATTGTAAATGCTCCTTCTCTGAGGGCACATTTGAATTTTTGAGAGACAAGTAGGTCCAAGCCAAAATGCGTGAAGAGGATGGACAGGGCTGCATAATTCTTTCCTAACCGCAGGGGACTGGAGGGCGAGTGTTTGCTGGGGTTCACAGGCGCCCCTGAAGCTGTGAGTTGGTAGGAGCCCTGAGGTGCTGCAGCAGCCGCTGTTCCAGCTGTCCTGCCCGCCTCACCCCTTCCTGTGTCCACATCCTACCTATTTGCTTGCTTGTAACAATTTTTTTTTTTAGTCTCCCCTTTCTGGGTTCTCATCAAAGACACTACCAGGACTACTTACAAGTACCCCTGTGAATCATTGAAACATTTTCTTTCTGAATCAGAAGGAAAACGAATGTCTGAAGCACCTTGTCCCATTCCCAATTTGGAACTTGAACTTTCCTTTCTCTCTATTGTCCCCTAACCCCCAAATATATGCAGAGTAGGTCTCTGAAGGCTCCTCCTGGGCCTCACTGATCCTTTCAAGGCTCTTTCAGGCTTTTACTCAGAACACTGTGAACGTGCCGGCTCCTGCATGAGTGTCCATTGCTCGCTGTTGTGTGGGGCGGGGCGGGAGGGGGTTGGTTTAGGGGTTTGTTTTTAAAAAAATTTTGTTAACAAAGTTTAATCTTAACCATTAGTGCAGTTCAGTGGCATTAGGTAGGTAGGTTGTTCACCACCATCCTTCCACGCAAAACAAACTGCTCAGTCAACGGCAGCTCCCCATTCCTCTTCCTCCAGCCCCTGGCAGCCACCGTTCTGCTGCTGCCTCTGAATTTGACTGTACCTCATATAAGGGGAATCATTTGGTGTTTGGCCTCCTGTGATTGGTTTATTTTGTTTAACATATTTTTCAATTTTTTTTTTTTTATTTTAGAGAAAGGGGAAGGTGGGCAGGGAAAGAGAGAGAAACATCTATTTGTCCCACTTATTTATGCATTCAATGGCTGATTCCTTTATGTGCCCAGACCAGGGATCGAATCCACAACCATGGTGTATTTGGGACAATGTTCTAACCAACTGAGCTATCTGGCCAGGGCCTTATATGATATTCTCATCCATGTTACATGTGTCACAATTTTCTTTTTAAGGCTGAATAATGCCCCAATGTATGTTTAGATCATATTTCATTTATCCATCAGTGGACACATTGCTTCCACCTTTTAGTTGTGAATATTGCTGCTATGAACGTGGGTGTGCAAATATCTCTTGAAGTCCCTGTTTCTGATTCTTTCGAGTTTAGACCCGAAGTGGAACTGTTGGATCATCTGGCAGTTCTGTTGTTAGTGTTTTGAGGAGCCTACCATGTACTTTCCACAGTGGCTATACCATTTTACATTCCCACCAACATTGTGCAAGCACAAAAGTTCTGATTTCTCCACCTTCTTGCCAAAACTTCCTGTTTTTATAAATAAATAATATATATGTCAGTTATATGTAGAAACCATTGTAATGGGTGTGAGGTAATATGGTGGGTTAGATCTGGGTGGTTTTAATTAGATGTTGGGGCCCTCAGGGAGTCTGCATCTGCAGAGAGAGGGGACTATTTAAGAATTGTCTGTTGCTTGCTAATCTTAAAATTTGAGTTGGCAATTGAAGGCTGTAAAGGTCTAGAAAATGCTTTTGAAATAGGAAAACCTGGTTCTTTAAAGGCTGGCTAGGCAAGAAGTTGTCAGTGACTTCTCTGTGCAGACGGAGGCTGTGTGGGGTGGCCCCAGGCTGCAGGCGAGCAGGGCCCGGGCTTGGCCATGCCGTTCAGGGGAAGGAGTCGCTGGGCCCTCTGCAGCCCTCCCAATCCTGGTGCAGTTTTATCCCTCCGGCCTCGTTTCCCTAGGGCTCTACTTCAGTCCCAACCTCCTAAATACGTACCGTGAGGAATTTTAGAGCTCCCACACCATGAAGTCCCCCCTTTTGCCAAAGTCCACTTAGAATAGGGGTTCTTAACTCTGCACTGGAGCCACTTTGGGAGACTGATTCCGAGCACCTTTCCCAGAAACCCTGCTTTAATGGACCTGGGTGTGGCCTGGGTGTTGAAGAGCCCCAGGAGAGTCTGCTGTGCAGCAGGGTTGAGAACCACCCACTTGGGATAAGCCCTGCATTGTGCAGGGTCACGACTTCTGTCAGCTGTCAGTGTGATGACAAGGGAATGAATCATTGGTGCCTGATTTCCCCTCTGAGAGAAAGGGGGGGGTGGTAATTGGTAAATGTATTTTCACTTTTCATACAATTCCAAGAATATAGATCTTATTTTGACCTGAAACACTTTTAAAAATACAGGCCTTCCTGGAATAACAGCATTTCTTGATTAAAATTATCTTCATTAAAATTTATGAAATGATACCAAATAATTTGTTTTGAAGTTTTAAACTATAATAATTCATCTCTTTACTACATTTCAGTTCTATTTGAAAATAAAACATTTTAAATGACTTCGTTAGGCTCATTAATTTATTATTGAGAACACACCAGTTTCCAAATTCAGCGTGAGATCAGTAATCTTGCCAATGGTGTCTACTGACAGTTATTGGCAGCATTTTCCTTTGATGAGCTGCTCAAGGTGGAAAAGCCGGTGGGAGGGACCGCTGTGAATGTCATAGGACCATGGGTTCTAGGTCTACAAACACTGCCCTGGGCACATGCTTGCCAGCGCCTGTCTCGTGGAAGAAGGTGTGAAGGAGACCTCTCATCACCCAATGATTTTGAGTGATGATCTTGTCACTGCCCATTGGGCTGGATGCTGTATTCCAGGCAGTAGAGCTCCCAGCAGGCATCGCCGATCTGGACACCAGCCTGGCCAGCGTGGATGGAGGGGCACTCACACATGGTTGCTGCTTAGTGGCTGCAGAGCAGATGGAGAGGAAGAGAGGCTGTTGCTTTTTACAGTGCAACTCAGGTGATCCGTGTAAGAAACTGCCCCCACTAAGACCTTAAGATCTGTTCCCTGGCCTCAAAAAAAAAAAAAAAAAAAAAAGTGAAGGCTCTCTGGGTGCTGTGACAGATGTTTTTTAGGAGGCAATGGGATTCAAAGGGTGCCCCAGTAAGGTCTTCCTGTGGGTTCAGCGAAGACCTTTTGTGTGGTGCTCTCAGCCAGAAAGCAGGAGGCCCGCGGCTCCTCCCAGCCAATTAGAAGGGGCTGCTTGTTCAACCTAAAAGCTCCCGCCAGCAGAGTCCCTGCAGGGACAGGAGGGGGACACTTGACCAGAAGTACCCCTTAGAAGCCACTCTATGAGAAATTTCCCTTTAAAGAGGTAAGCCTGAATTATTTAATGAAGATTGTACCTCAAGTTTTTTAGGCAGCACCTCTCCCTACCTATGAGTGGTAATCCGGGCGTTCTGTCCAGTTTAGAACTCCTTCCAGCTCTGGACTGTTCACAGGCCCAGGGAAAGGCCAGAGCTTGGTTCCAGGGAACAGGGCTGAGCACCCCCATTCATCTTGGCTGGACTCCAGTGTCATGAGGTGCTCAGGTGACTGCCCTTGAGCAAGTCTAGAAAATGGGTTTGAGCTCAGGGGCCTGGAAGGCATCCAGCCTACATATCCAGACTGTTCCCCTGCTACCCCTCCCTTCTCCCGCCTGCTCCCACCCAACCTTGATGCCATTATACAGGCACCCAGAGTTGCAGGGACTACTACACAGGT